TTCGGAGAGTAGCTTTCTGGCATATGAGTTGTTGATCCTAGGTTGTAGTGCTGCAACCTGAGTACTCATCCTCGCTAGATCATCCAAATCAGCGGGCCCGGACAATAGATGAGGACCATATAGGCATAGTCAAGTTTAGAGGAAGCAATGATCAAGCATATAAGATGGTGAAAGCGGATATTGAAGAGCTGGTTGAGAATAGTCAGACCGCAAAAGAGACAATCAATACACGATACAGTTAGTGTAACAGTATATACTCATAGTAAAGCACTGCTGATGCTTCTGTAGATATGACAAAAGAAGACCAGGAATGCATCCTTCACTTACGCGTTACTGATCCCCGCCATGACAAGAAGCGGATTGAAGACACAAAAGGTGGGCTGCTAGAGGACTCGTACCGCTGGATTTGTGAAAACTCCAACTTTAGACAATGGCGGGACGACCAGCAGAGCTGGCAGCTGGCGTAGGAAGGGCAAAGGATCAGTGAGGAAAGCATGAGTTGCATTGAGGTGCTAATGAGTGGCTATATAGTGAAGAGAGACCAGGGGTTGCAGGCAGCAACGGTGACAAAACAACAGGTGAACCCTGTCCAGCTGAGAAGTGAACCCTGTACAGCTGAGACGCGTAGACAGACGTGCGTAGGAGCATTCTAACTGGCTGCCAAGAGCCAACTGCTGTGGATCAAAGGCGACCCCGGCAAGGGTAAGACAATGCTGCTCTGCGGCATCGTCAACGAGCTGGAGAAGTCAGTTGCTAAGACAGACATCCTGTCCTACTACTTCTGTCAAGCCACCGACTCGCGAATTAATACTGCTACGGCCGTTTTACGAGGTCTGCTGTACTTGCTTGTCGACCAGCAGCATTCGCTCGTCTCGCATATTCGAAAGGAGCACGACCATGCAGGCAAATCCCTCTTTGAGGACGTGAATGCCTGGGCTGCCCTGTCCGAGATTTTCACAAACACCCTTCAAGACCCGAGCTTGAACACTACGTACTTGGTTGTCGATGCGCTCGACGAGTGCATAGCAGACATGCCAAAGCTGCTAGATTTTATTGCCCAGCAGTCTTCCACATCCCCTCGTGTCAAGTGGATTGTCTCTAGCCGCAACTGGCCCGATATTGAGGAACGGCTAGAGAGGGCAGTGCACAAGGTGCAGTTGTGCCTTGAGCTTAATGCCGAGTCCGTTTCCGCAGCCGTCAGCACATTCACCCGGCATAAAGTATCTCAGCTAGCGGAGCAAAAGAAATACGACAATAAAACAAGAGATGCTGTCCAAAGCTACCTGTCCTTGCATGCGGATGACACCTTCCTCTGGGTGGCTTTAGTCTGCCAAAACCTTGAGAAGATACCACGATGGAATGCTGTCGCCAATTTGAACGCGTTTCCACCTGGACTTGATTCTCTCTACGAGCGGATGATAGAGCAGATATCCAACTCAGACCACGCCAACCTGTGCAAACAGATACTGGCCTCAATTGCAGTTGTATACCGACCTATTACACTCCAAAAGCTAACATCTATTGTTGAGTTGCTTGAAAACATAGCCAGCGACCTAGCGTCAATACAGGAGATTATTAGCCTTTGTGGGTCATTCCTTACTATTCGAGAAGGCACTGTCTATTTTGTGCAACTCAGGTTGAAAATTGATGTGAACTCTGTCTTATTTCGGGGGCCCGAAGGCCAAACTATATACTACGTAGGAAGTGACTGTATGCATAGGCAGAAGCACTAATTGGAGGCAGCAGTAGGCAGCATTAGGCAGGGTAGGCCACCGTACCCCAACCCCTCTCTGTAGAAGTTGTAACTGGCTAGGCATGTAGGCAGCTACTATGCCAGCAACTCCAAGTCTGTACGTAGGTGACCGTGAACCGTATGAGTTGTTGATCCTAGGTTGTAGCTGTTACAACCCGAGTGTGCATCAGTCAGCCAAAGACTTTCTATTGGCAACAGCATCTAGCAAGATCTTTCCATCTGGGAGCAAAGACGTCCACTACGCAATCTTCTCGAGATCTCTCCAGGTTATGTCCAGGACGCTCCGACGAGACATCTACAGCCTAGGTGCGTTGGAGTATCCCGCCGAGCGAGTTGCACAGCCAGATCCGGACCCATTAGTAGCAATACGCTACTCGTGCATTTACTGGATCAATCACCTCTGCGCCTGGAATCCAAACGCCTCTATAGGTCACAGCGCTGACCTTCAAGACGGAGGTGCTGTTGACAGATTTATTAGAGAGAAATACCTTTACTGGCTAGAGGCTCTTAGCCTTTGCAAGAGCATGTCAGAGGGGGTAGTTTCTATAGCAAAACTTGAGGCTTTAATCCAGGTAATATACCAGTCACTACGGTTAGTTCTATATAAAGAAGACATGCTAATCTAACGTAGGGAAGAGCAGATACAGCTGCGTTAATAAAACTGGCTCAGGATGCACGTCGATTTATCATGTATCACAAGTGGGCAATAGAAAACAGTCCTCTACAGGCATATGCGTCCGCACTCTTGTTCAGTCCAACTTGCAGCCTAATAAAGGGTCTTTTCAAGAAGGAAGAGCTAAGGTGGATCACGATAAAGCCGGCTATAGAAAATGAATGGGGCGCGTGCCTGCAGACGTTTGAGAGCCATAGCGGTTTGGTCAGCTCAGTGGCCTTCTCTCACGACTCAACACGGCTGGCGTCTGCGTCAGACGATAAGACAGTCAAGATCTGGGATGCGAGCAGTGGCGACTGCCTGCAGACGCTTGAGGGCCATAGCGATTGGGTCAGGTCAGTGGCCTTCTCTCACGACTCAACACGGCTGGCGTCTGCGTCAGACGACAAGACAGTCAAGATCTGGGATGCGAGCAGTAGCGACTGCCTGCAGACGCTTGAGGGCCATAGCGATTGGGTCAGGTCAGTGGCCTTCTCTCACGACTCAACACGGCTGGCGTCTGCGTCAGACGACAAGACAGTCAAGATCTGGGATGCGAGCAGTGGCGATTGCCTCTCAACGCTTGACGTTGGCAGGGTGCTCATGCACATGTCATTTGACACCACTGGTTCGTATCTTTATACTTCACGTGGGACTATTAGTATTAGTGCAACTCAATTAGTTCCCACAACAATTGCGACAGATCCTCAGACTCCAGAATACAAAGGCCTGGCGTGTAGTTCAGATGGGGCATGGATAACACGTGATTCTAAGAAGGTAGTATGGCTACCGTCAGAGTATCGGCCATTATGTTCAGCAACAGTGGTGGGGAAGCTACTTGGCATTGGTGTTGGGACTGGAAGAGTCTGGATATTCAATATGTCAGCCTAGTATAGGCTAGAGCATTTATATCAAGATAATTTATTATCTTTATTTTTTTTTATATCTCTATTTTATAGAGGGGGCCGGGGATTAAGGTAAATATATACCCTCCTAATTTGCCACCGCGAAGCTTTAAGCATTCGCTAATTAGGAGACAAGATAGCTAATTATAGAACCACACGTTGCAAGGTTTGCCACTTAGATATCAGCCGAGACGAACGCATCAATTACGCTAGTAGGGAGGACGGCCGACCCGCTCCAACCATACTCTTGTTAGCTCAAGCCGTACGCATGCCCGCCGTGGGTGGCTCGGCCCAAGGTGGTATTGCGCGAAGACGAAGAGCAGGCACGAGGCATCATCAACGAATATAGGCCAGGACAGGCGGACATCTACGTGGATGCATCGGTGCGGAACGGACGAGCTGGCATTGGCATATACGCAACACCCTCGGGAGCGTCCATCTCAAAGACAGTGGCCACCTCAGACTGGGCTGACGCGCACCTCACAGAGCTATTGGCAATCAGCGAGGCAGCCAACTGGCCGTGGGCCCTATCATGCACTGCAAAGGATCAAACAGGGTCCCTGGTGCCAGCCTCGCATATACAAATCTTCTCGGACGCGCAATTGGCACTGCTATCGGTGCAAAGCTAGAGGGCAAGTGCCTGTTAGGAAGTAGTGGGCGAGATCATAAAGAAGCTCCGCATAAGCAATACCACGCTGTACTGGGTCCCTAGCCACTTAGGGATTAAAGGGAATGAAAAGGCTAATCAACTTACTAAAAACGCAATAAGAGCGGAGAACAAGGAGCTGCCGCGGCAAGACAGCTACCTGTGGTATCTTATAAAGCAAGCGTTAAAGAAGGCTAAGATTATAACCGGACCGCTTCTGGCAGGACGGCCAGATATAGGCAAATTCACAAGGAAGATTAACGCAGCGCTCTACTTAGGCAAGGCAGCAAGATTATACCAGCAACTAAACAGCGCTAAAGCTATAATTCTTACACAGCTCCGGACGGGCAAGATAAGTCTTAAAATATATCTCTTTAAAATTAAGGCGTTAGAGACAGCAGTATATAAGTGCGGGTTAATTAAATCTATTCTATATTTCCTTTTCTGCTGTAGGAAGTAGGAAGAGTAGAGGTTAAAGCTTTAATAGCAGTATAGGAAGCAATTTAGGAACCTCACTTGGAGTTGCTGGCATAGTAGCTGCCTACATGCCTAGCCAGTTACAACTTCTACAGAGAGGGGTTGGGGTACGGTGGCCTACCGTGCCTACCGTGCCTACTGCTGTCTCTAATTAGTGCTTCTGCCTACGCGTACAGTCACTTCCTACGTAGTATATAGTTTGGCCTTCGGGCCCCCGAAATAAGACAGAGTTCACGTCAATTTGCAACCTGAGTACCTCTTATACGCACTAGAAGGTTTCTTAAGCCGGCAGGAAGAAGGTAAAAACCTTAACGGGCTAATAGAGTAATAGAAGCCAGATATTAATATAGTGTAAGCTATAATCTAATTTATAATAAAGATAGGACGTCTATAGTTAGGCAAGCAAACAATAGTAAGTATAGAAGATAAAAGCAACAAGTAATAACTTCTTTAAATCCCTTTACCCGCCTATAACTAATCCTGTGGCAAGCCGCCACCTAATAAGCCTCTGCCAGCGTGCTGCCAATTAAGAAGTATATAACGCCGGAACTGCCCTATATATAGAAGGAAATAAACTAGCTTACTACTACTTTAACTAACAGAATATAGTAATATATTACTTTTCTCCCTTTCCTTTATTAAGTATAGAGTTAGATAAGTAATAAGCAGGTCTTATAGTTGGCCTCTAAATTAGAGCAGGTATAGTAATAAAAGAATATATGTAAGGGTTTCAATGCACGTTAGCAGGCCTAAGGCCGGGTGCGTCCCTTGAACTTAGTTAAGAATCCGCTGGCGAGCAAGCTACGTACAACGGGCAGGAGATATACTCCTGCCAAGCCCGCCGAATAGGGGCTAGAAACGAGGGCGGAGCCCGAGTTGTGCAACAGGGGTTTATCCCCTAATATTACCCCCCTCCTCCGTACAGCAATAGAGAAAGGAAGGAAGGAGAATATACTAAGAACCCCCCTCCCCCCCTAGTCAAAATTTGGCCAACTTTTTAAGGCCGGCCTTGTCCCTCTTCTTAGCCCTCTTCTTAACCCTCTCTATTACTCCCTTGAGAGACTCCGCGGCTCCCTCTACGTGTTCTCTTTGCTACTTCCTTCTACACTACGTCGCTCTCTGTGTTTCCCTCTGCGCAAATTTCCGCATAACCTCCGCGTGGCCTCTGCGTACCCTATTTGGGATCTTCTTTGTCACAATGTCTCTTCTACATGACTCTCTGTGTACTCCTCTGCGTGTCACTCAGTACCCTCTTCGACACCATTATCTGTGCCACGTCCCCCTCTACGTCCCTCCGCATATGCCTCCGCGTATCTCTGCATACCTTCTTTGGCATATCCTTATACGCCGCGTCCCTCTCTGTGTCCACGTCGAACGCCCTCCACGTGCTATCTTTGGAACTTCTATGTATGCCACCTCCCCTCTGCATATCCCCTTGCGTACTCCTCCGCGTGCGGACTTTATTGCTTTCTTTGACGAATACTAGGAGACTCCAGATTCTATACATCAGAGCATCAGATTGCTCTCATGCTGCCGCTGCATGAAGTCCTTCAAGGGGGGCCTCAAAAATCTCCGGCATGATGTAAAGTTTCTTACGCTTTATATTCGAGGGCATGTGATCCGTGGGTTTTGCCAGCACTTCAGGGCCGTATGAAGTCCGTCCTCCGATGGTCCCAAATATCTCAGGTGCAATGTAAGGTTTCCCGCGCCGTGAATTGGAGGGTGTGTGATTCATGGGTTCTGACAGCAGTATGACGCTGGCTGAGGCCCTCTGATGGCCCTGGAAATTGGGGGCAAGATGTTAACGCCTAGAAGTTAGAGATTAGAGTACCTATGGAACGCAACTATTAACAGCAATATGATGCTGGCTGAGTGCCTCCGATGAGCCCAAACAAATTCGGACAAGATGTCAACGCCTGGGCGTTGCATATTGAAGTATCTGTTATACACGGCTTTTGACAGCAACATGGCGCTGGATGAGGTCTTCCGATGGGTCTAAAAATTTGGGGCAAGATGTAAAGGGTTTGGCGCTGCATATTGGGGCACATGTGAACCGCGGCTTTTGACAGCAGTACGACGCTGCATGAGGTCCTCCGACAGCCCTAGAAACTCGAGACAGGATGTAAGGATTTGTGTCTTACGAATTGGAGCACCTGTGGACCGCGGCTATTGACCATAGCATAGCGATGCATGAGGTCCTCTGATAGGTTCGGAAGTTTTAGGACAAGAAGTTAAAGGTCTTGAGGCTTTGAATTGGAGCGGTTGTGAGATGTTGAGACGGGCTGAAGATGGCGGCGTTTGAGGTTCTTTGGTAGACTAAGAAAATTCGGGGTGAGATGCAACCATGTTGAAGTCGTAAACCGAATCGCGGACAAGATATTGAGATAGGCCGAGGATAACGACGCAAGAAGTCCTCCATCAGTCTTAGAAGGCGCCGAACGAGATGCAAAGGCCTCGATGTCGTAGATTAGAGCCAACATAGGATGCACCTATGTAGCCTATGGTGACGCTGTATGAAGTCCTCCCGTGGACCAAAAAAGATTGGAACGAGATGTAAAGATTTTGACATCGTGATTTGCACCTAGCTACTGTGATTGCGATCTAGGCAGAATGCTTCGTTACTTGCAGCTGGAGATCGGGCCTCCGGTAGGGTCCAGATAAGCTAGGCAGAATGTAAAGGTCTGGAGATCGCAGATCCAGCTGGTGTGGAACCGCCCTTCAACCATTTATCAACGCCGGGGACTCACAAGAAGCACGGAAAGAAAGTAGACGAGATATCAACTTGTCGAAGGTGTGGGTTAAGATGCCGATATCGAGGCTGCCTTTCAACTTCTTAATAACGCCCGGCGGCCTCTAGCCTCGTCCCAATGGGCTAGGCGACAGGTAGAGCCAACAAGACTTTATTTTGGCGTTGATGTTGATAGTCTGTTCTAACCTCGCCGCGAATTTCTTGTTGTTCACGATGAAGAGCGTAAGACACGAAAAGTGCTCCTGAAAGTAAGTTGAAAGACTTATGACAAAGACCAAAAAGTGGTACGTAGGCTTATCAAGAGGTCCTGTAGCGTGTAAATTGGACTTGAACGTTGAACCTCATACAAAAGCTTCGCGATAATGGGATTGACACGCGCCATCACAGCGCACACAATCGCTAGTAGGGAATTGTTGAACTAATGATGCTTCGTTAACATACAGCACTTTCTAACTTTCTAAAGTAACTCCCCGCATTCTAGGACAGTCGTATAGGATGCTAGTTTGGTCTTGTCGCGGTCTACCTCGTAGACTAACGCTGATCTGCAATCGACACCACCTGAAGTGCTCTGATGCGGCAGAGGGTTCAAGAACATGTCGAGTACAGGAAGATGTTTATGTAGCCGGGGTGATGTTTTCCAAGAGGAGGTCGTGCACTGGGAAGCTAGGAAGATGACCCCGCACCTAGCTGGCTCTTCCCCACGGCATCGTGCGCATCCGAGTCCAGATGCGGGCGCTTGCTCATCTGAAGCTGGCTTATGATGGTCGAGGTGGCGCAAGACAGCAGATGGATTCCTCGGGCGGAGATGGACGGCTCATAGGTGATGACGACCGGCTCATAGATTCCAAATCGCGGAAGACATGTCACGATAAAGCAAGAGATGCGACGTACCACTGGGCGCTAGATGGCACTATTGGGGCAGTGCAAGATCTGACAGGGAGCGAGACGTGCCAAGTTTCAACTAGTGGCTGTTGCGGCGGGCTTTGGTGGCGTGGTGGGTGAGACGGGCAGTCAGAATCACGCTCCGAGTTTCGCACCTCTCAGCGGCTCTTCCTTGCACTCACCTCTCCACCATTATGCCGCCGCCTCCGCGAGTATAGGGCTGTGCTGCCACTCACTCGTTCGCATCTCGTATCCTTTTACTTGCGAACCGTTTCTAGGCGACTTCAAGATATGCCCGCCGTTTCCGGGAACCCCGCTATCATACTTCACTCGTAGTCATCCTCTGCATAATTGCCCTCCACTCTCGCCGGGCAACTCTTCTCTGTCCCTCGGCCGCATACCGTACTATCGTCTATTATGGCCTCTTTCCCGACCATTTGGCTGGCACTGGCGCTGCTCTGGTCCATGGCGGCAGCTCAGCAGGTCGTGTCCTCGAACACGTCCACCGCACAGCCCTCGGGCACCTTTCAATTGATGGCTACTTCGCAGATGTCGACTATTGCAGAACTTATTGCTCTGACAGACTCAGCTGCGAACATAAACATGGTACTGTCACCATCGTCTTACACCGATCAAGGCCACATGAAGCTAACTATTGACAGCCTCCACCAGGCCTGACAGGAACCCTCTTCCTTACGAACACTGATACCGTGGTGAATTTGACCGAGAGAAACATAGCATATATTAGCTGCGATGCTTCAGACTACCCAGGGAATCTCCAGGCCTCTGATCTCCTGCAGCGCGCGGACGGGCTGAATGCAACAGCCTCCATTCTTTACAGCACTACCTCCAATTTCTGTCAACTCGACAAACCCTCTACTTCAATATCTGACTCTGTTGTGTATTCCATGACGAACTTCTCGGAATCCTCTACAATTGTCAACGATCTGACACAACCACCGCTCCCGCCTTCTCAGCACTTCTTCATAACAATCGTGCACAACGGCACAAATGGAGGCAATAGCACCAACAACAGCTCTAATAGCAATCCATTGGGCCCCTCTCCGTCAACGGCAGTCGCCATGATCATTTTATACAGCATTACAGGAATTATTACTGCGCTTTTCCTAATCATTATTGTCACGGGTGCTATTAGAGCGCACCGTAACCCGGAACGATATGGCCCCCGGGATATGATGGGTCGACCTCGACAGAGTCGAGCTAGAGGCCTTGCACGAGCCATGCTGGACACCCTACCGATCGTCAAGTTTGGAGAGCGGGAGGCGCCTAAGCCCACAGATGTGGAATTGGCGTCCACTGTTGAAACTCGCGATGTGGGCGCCGTGGATAACGCTCACGAGACTACCACACAAAGTAGTAGCCAGGAAGTCAGCGACGCGCCTTCTGCCCCTGAAAACGGGCAGCGTCACGAAGAATCAAGGGATGAGAATGGCATATCAGCTGCCGAGCCTCTACCAGCTGTCGCAGCCGGTACCCCATCTTCTGACGAAGGACTCGGCTGCTCAATCTGCACAGACGACTTTGAGAAGGGCCAGGATATTCGGGTGCTCCCGTGCAATCACAAGTTCCACCCCGCTTGTGTCGATCCTTGGCTTCTGAACGTGTCTGGCACGTGCCCTCTCTGGTAAGATCGCGTGTACTAAGTGTCCCCTTCAAATCTAACTCTTACTAATATCTCAATAGCCGTATCGACCTACGCCCGACTACGTCAGACTCAGCATCAAATCGCGACAGTCAAGACGCAGACTCGCCAGAGTTACTAGCTCCGCCTTTGGAACCTGAGACGGAGCATTCCCACCGCCGTCGTTCTGCTCTTCGTGATATGCTTAGCCTTCGATCGAGGCCAAATGCGACCGCTGAGGAACGTCTTGCTGCACTAAGGCGTTTGAGGGAGGAGCGTCGACAGGCCGAAGACGCCCTTGCGGATTCCAGCACTGTAGTCAATACAGGTGTAGCTGGAAGTAATGCCGATGAGACGCTGGATGCATCTCGGAGAAAAAGGATGAGCGCACGCCTTCAGGAAGTTTTCAGTGTTCGTACGAGGAGAGGCACTGACAATGTTCCCGAAGGGGAGGCATCGAATAGCTCTGGTTCTGCTGGCGGCGCTCCGAGATCAGATCCTAGTAGAGGACCCGAGTCGCAGAATAGTAGCGAGGGTCAGAGACGTAGCGGAGATGCATCCGGGTAGACTCTGTGTTTGGTGGGGTCCCTTCTTTTCACAGCGCTGGCGTTTGGGTATGATGTGCTTCGGCCTTGGCACGCGTTAGCTCTGGACTATAACGGATTGAGCGTATATCATGTTTATCAGCATGTGGTCCGACGTTGGTTTAGAGTCGCTCGACTCCGGAAGGGTGTGATGCACTGTATTATGTATGATCACGAGGTATATTCGTCACGACAGAATGACTAGGAAGACGATGTATAACTTATTGACTACAATTTTACCGTAGCCAAAACGGAGCTACGACCATGAATGCCTCGCCATAAGTCTGTTCCGCTTTGTGCTGGTCCGTAAATTCGCTAATCGCGTATCGGTGCACTATAGATTATATCTACACCAATTGAAGATGTGGCCCACTACTCTGGCGGGTCCACGCGCAACAGGTTTGAGCAGTCGTGTCTTCGGACTGCGAGTAATTAGCCACGTGATCTGCCTGGGTCCCTGAATCAATCATATACAGTACTTCGTAGATAACTCTGAACACGGAGATAATTCGGTATGCAAATCAATATTGGATCCCTCGTCTAGTAGCGTCTAGACCCTTTGCTGGGCGTGCCACAGTGCTCATCAAATGGCCCGATGGACCCTGAAACCCAATTCCAACGTCTGTGAGCACAACCGCGTCTTCACCATCCAGTTTTCAATCACTGTGTCGTAATTTCAAGCTTTGCCATCTGAATTACCTACCCAAAGGCTACGCCACATTACAAATGGCATTCTTCCACCTCTCACCACCCCACACAGCACGCTACCGTCGCGAGCAAGCGAATTGAACCTCACCTGATATTGCGGCTGCATCTGTACCTGCATGGCGGACCCATCTAGCCTCCGGCCCAGTAGCGTCGCTTTCAAAGTCATGCTCCGTCCACCGCCCCGTATCGTCTCGCGATGATGGTCTCCACTCTTTCACATCTCTCGATCCTGCTAGATCATCTGATAGAACCACTAGCTAGACCCGGCGGATATCAACTCCGTTTGCGTCATTGGGCTTTGGAGCGGCTCTAGGCGAGCAATGTCTGCCCATCGCATCCTCTATTTAGGCAGCGCCGCTGCTAGCCCCTCGAGACTCAGAACATTGTTCAGGAAGCTGTGTCGCGTGGCCGTCTTCTTGGACTGATCGAAACACGCCGTGTGGTCCTCAACGTTTTTGTTCAAAGATGGATTTAAGCGGCTTTAAGTGAGATACTTACAGTGCTGGAATCTTCAAATGGTCCTCAAGCCTAAACTTACAGGGGTGGCGACTTACCTTACCTACGTTGGACTTGGCTGGAAAGCTTCGGACAATTCGACGTAATTGCTGAGCTCTTGAGGCCTCTGTAGTCCTTATGTTGCACATAACCCACCCTCCAGGTTCGATTTGACACCGTCATCCTTAGCGCCAGATCACGACTGCACCCCGATTTCGGACAAGATGCGCGCATTGCATCGAACCGCCTAGCCTTCGCAAGCCGACATGCTGGAAGCCCGCAGCCTAGCCAAACCATGACGCAGCTGCATACTGATGGTTCGATAAGTCAGACCACCATGCCTCGGGTATTGTGGGGTGGGCAGAGTGGACTCGGTAGGGCTGAGAATCCCAAGATGATGCTCAGTGTCGGCCTCGACAGCAGGTATGGGATTTGGCCAGAAGCCCATCGTCGCCCCAGAAGGGGGCTCGCCAGAGGTCGCTTGTCCTACAGCAGAGCAGGCGGCATGTCTAGCTCCCGCGATCAGTCAACTACGACCTTTCCGGAACCCACGCTGTATAGTGCTATGATAGTCACATCATAGCGAGCAAAGGGTGGGAGATCTTGTGCAGATTGGATCAGCAGCTCCGCGATTGCCAAGGGTCGGGCAGCGACTCTGACGTGCGCTCGAGGTGCCTTGAAGCGTTCCCTAGAGACGATCACCAGTCTGTCTGTAGCGATACCAGAGCTTTTATCTTTTTTAAAAACATGCGACAAGTTAGGCAGATGTAGGCGTTGTCGGAACTTTGTTAAAAATCTTTTTGCCCCCACCATGCCAACGTCGCCACTCCGTCCGGGCTCGTCAGGTGATCGTAAGTGCCAGAAAGATCTGTAGTACAACAAGTTCCACGGCTCGCCACGACGTTCGAGCAGCTCTTTTAACTCTGGTTATAGGCGTCTCCGATGAAGATCCCCAGACGTTAGAAGCGATTGAGGCTGCCATCCAGCAGCTCGAAGCAGCTACCGTCGATGCGTCGCGGACGCCTACGACGACCCAGCCGGCATTCCAGGCGGTGCACCTCGACCGACTGGCCGATTTATACTTCTCTAAGCACGAAATAACAGGGAGTGACCAAGACCTGCAGCGCGCGAACTCCCGCAGCAGAGACGCTTGCGTTTCGGGGGCGCGCGCTAGCTTCCAGCAACCTCCTGGGCACTCGAGGGCCGCACAGTGGCATGCTCTCCAGGGCAGCCGCCTGACGCTCCGGTATGAGAGATTCGGCGATCGCAAGGACTTGGACGACGCAATTGATGTCTATGGCGAGGCGTTGCGCAGCTTGACCGAGGAGTCCGGGCTTCAGGCCGTCATCCTGATGAACCAAGCGAATGCGCTCTGCACGCGGTACGAAGCCGACGGGGCAACAGAAGACATCGAGGCCGCGATCCAGAAAGCACAGAGCTCGCTAGCAGCTAGTGGCAGCAATGCTGCCACCGTGCAGAACGACCTCTCCACAATGTACCTGTCCATGTACGAAAAAGAGGGCGAGGTGGAGCATCTCGAGCAAGCCGTCTCCTTTGCGAAAGAAGCCGTCGACAAGACCGATGCCGGGGATGCTCGGTTGCCCACTCGCCTGCTGAACCTCGCGAGCTGCTTGAGAGCGCTCTACGACCAGAACGAGCAGTTTCTGCATATCGAGGAGACCGTCATCACGTTGCAGAAGGCGGAGCAGGCGGGCAGGGGCGACGGCAGCTCGTTTCTACCACATATCCTATCTCGTCTGGCACACGCGCTATATGTGCGGTACACGCGCGCCAAAGAGTCGGCGGACTTGTTCGAGGCGATGGCGAAGGGGGAGGAGGCGTTGGAGCTAGCGACCGGGGTGTCGGAGAGCAGTTTTCATCCAGAAGTGCGGCGGCACTTGACAACGCTGCTTAGAACATGTAGAGAAGAAGCGAGGGAGTATGGGGATACGGATGATGGAGGCCGAGAGGCAGTTGTCGGGACGGGTGCGTGAAGTCGCTGAAGAAGTTTGGTGCACTTCAAAGCCGACGTTACGAACTTAACGGAACCGGAAACGAGAGGGTGGTTGAAATTGCACAGCGCGTTGATGAAGCAGCCATGGTGATGCGCGCTGGCGCTTGTTTGGATCGCGAGAGGCTGCGGTGTTGTTCGGAGGTAAGGGAGGGAGGGATGGAGGAAGAGGTATGGGAGGACTTCGGGACGACGATCGAAGCTGCAATATCGAAGTCAGAGACGCTGCTGCGTATGAATTATTCGAAAGGGGGTTTAGCCTAGCCTTGAGTGGCGTGCCACTGTAGTAGTCCGCCGTCAGATGATACTCTCATGCTTCAGTGTGGCTCGGTCCTCCCGAAGGGTTCCATGGGATCGTGACACTTGACGACACTTCAACTCTCCTTCGCGACTTCCACATCCTTCTCGCAGTATCTTTCTATACCAAGTCTTATTGTTTATAATATCCCCTTCAGTATTGTGGTCGACAGTAGTGATGTTGTTTCTCGGAGGTATGTCCGTCTCCGTCAAATCCTCGTATCTTTTGCCAGCTCAGACATGCCTGCATAAAACATTAGCTCTCGATCTCTTTATGAACTTACAATGTCCTCAATGCTACCATCTCCATTCTGTCACTTATGCGATGCTGGCAAGATGTAGTTCAATTAGCCTTCAACTCAAACCTGCTTTGCCCCCGTCTCCACCGCACCAGTACAACCTCGGAAGTTCTTGCATGTCGCCTTCACCGCAGGGAGGTCTTGCGAGTGGACAAGTACTGTGTACGTAAGCCGTTAGACAGGAGTCGGCAGCGGCCCGATGGTTGGCTCCTTGGAAGTCCAAATGAATTTGATCGCCGATCCGTGCTCGCCGGCGAGCCGGTTGGGCAGGGTCTGTAGGGAGGCAACGTCAAGGGTAAACGAAATAATAGGTGCCCCTTGAGCTGCTAGGCCTGCTCTAACAGGTGCAGCTTGCCACAGGAGTAGTGGTATGTTGAGAATGATCTGGTCAGTTCGCCATCAGTGAAAGCCGCGGTATCAACGAAGGAAGCGAATAGACCCATGGCTAGATGTTCATATCACGGGGATTAACAATATATAGATAGCAGCGAGGCAGACACGGATGAAGCACCTGATGTCGCGGCTCTCGTGCCCATTTCGCTAAGTCTTACGAAAGCGAGACAGAATAGTGAAGGGCTGTGGTATCAACGAAGGGAAGACATCAGGCCCAGACCAGCCGAGAACATACTCTGGAGATGAGTAGCGTCTAAATAGCAGTGAGGCTCGCATAGAAAGAGCATAGTGTGCCGCCTCATGCCACTCTCGTTACTTCGTACTAGAACTTGGCATCAGGGGAGAGTCTCGTGACATATCATTCTCTTCATATCACGGGCATGAACGCACGAGACGCCAGCCGGGCTCGCCGAGGGTCTTTGGCCACCCTCCTGCTAGTGCTCGTGGTGCTTCACCATATCTATAGAATGTGAACTAATGGGTTACAGCGCCAGTCTGTGCACACATTTTCGCCACCGCCTGAGGTGGTGGTCACTGAGAAATTCATGAATCGCTGTAAGGCATTATCGCTCACTGAGCCATTCGCAAACTATCTACACTAACTTCAACTGAAACCCAGCACCACTTTCCTCCAAGTCCCTCCCTGCGAAGATGCCACTGAAGTCAACCTCGCCAGCATCAATCTTCGGCGCCTGCCCCCTCTGTGGTGCACTCGGACTCGCTACCTTCCGCCGCTTCTCCTGACCCGCCTTGCTAGGAAACGTTGGAAACATCGCCGTCGCCTTCGGCCTAGGATCTTCTTTGAAGTAGGGATGAGCCAGCATTTCCGCAGCCGAAGGCCTTCGCTCCGGGTTCAGTGACAAGAGACTCGTCAACAACGCCGCACCCGCACCCGTCAAAAACGGAAACTTCGACCTGATAATAGAGCCTTGTGTTTGAGGCGTCCGCGGTAGCCTCAGACTCTTCGCGTTTGGAAGGCGCTTGAAGCCCGGCCACGACTCTTCGGTTGGGATGCCGCAGAGCTCGAAGATCTTAGCGAGCTCGTCGACTTCGTTCTTGCCCTGTAGGAGGGGCTCTTTGGTGAGGAGCTCGCCGAAGATGCAGCCAACGCTCCACATGTCGACGGGCTTGCCGTAGGACGAGGTGCCGAGGAGCAGTTCGGGGGCGCGATACCAGAGGGTGACGACGAGTTGGGTCATTTTTGGGGGCGAGGGGTCGCCGAAGTAGCGGGCCATGCCGAAGTCAGCGAGTTTGAGTTCGCCGCGGTTGTTCATTAGGATCTAAGAGATGTTAGAAGGGGTTGGGGAGAGGGAACGCGTGTTGGCGTACATTGGAGGTTTTCAGGTCTCTCTGTTTACGGATTAGCTAGCTAGCCTAACAGATCGAGTGAAGACACGTACATGGAGAATCCAGTGATCGTGCAGAAACTCTACAGCAGAGGAAAGCTGTAGAAGCAGTGTTTTGATCTCTGACGGTAGGAAGGGCTCCGCCATGTCTTCTTGTAGAGTCTTGAGATCGTGTTCTAGGAATTCCATGACCAAAAAGACACTGCTAGCAATCAGTCTTACCGCACTGAGAGATTGAAATATAGATACGAACTCATCTAGAGTGTCGCCCACGACCACCTCCCTCAGATCGACAACATGCCGGTGCCTCGACTCTTTCAGTGTTTGAATCTCGCGCAATGCAGTGACAGGAAACCCATCATTCAGGTTGTCCATCTTCAATTTCTTCAATGCGACCACCTCTCTCGTCGCCGTCTCCCGGGCTCTTGAAACCCATCCATAGGACCCTTCCTCGATATGGTTGAGGCGCTCAAAGTTGTCTACGTGCCTGCAAGGTCCCCATTCGGGTGCCGCAAACCGCATTAATCGTCGTGGCTGATCCGGCACGTCCCCGTCGTCTCGCCCATTTGATAGCCTCCTCCTCTTTACCGGTCTCTCTGCTCCATTCTGCAGTCCATGGGCGGACTCGGACTCAGCGGCCTGCTTGCGCCTCGCTTCTGCCTCTTCAAGCTTGCGCTGCTTCTCAAGCTTTGCGCGCTTCTTTTCTTCCTTCTCCTTCTTGCGCTGAGCTTCGAGTGCTGCGTCTTCTTCGTCGTTCGCCCATCTGGATGCCCCGCTAGCCATGTTTGCTGCAATGTGTCGTGGTCGCGAGACATCAAGGTTGGTGGTGAGGAAAGATGTCATAGCTCCAGCCTCGGTGAAACACCAAACATCAAAACGCGATCCATCCAAAACTTTTTTCGCTCGCCATGGACTGCGCGCATAATCCAGCCCCGGTATGAGAGCCAATCACCGCGGCATCGCGACCGCTGTATCTCGATGCACCCACCAGCGCCCTATTGTGCGCGCTTCGTTCGCCAGCGGCTCGAGATGGTCGTCGTCAGAGAGTCGACAGTGGTCAACGCCGCTTGCCAAATCGCTGGCTGAAGCTATAACGGTATTTCCCTACCCTCTTTTCTAGCGTTTCGATATCTAATTCAGTTAAAGACAACAGGTCCCGTTTCTGTGGCTGCTTATATGCGCCAATGCCTCACGTCGCCCGACGGAGGATACTACACTAGTCGCAATGATGATGGAGATCAATTCGGAAAGAAAGGGGATTTTATAACTTCTCCAGAGATATCTCAGGTCTTTGGGGAGCTGGTTGGCGTCTGGGTTGTGGCAGAATGGATTGCCCAGGGTAAGAAGAGCTCGGGAGTGCAAATAATGGAGGTTGGGCCAGGAAGAGGTACTTTGATGGATGACATGCTCCGCGTATGCCTCCTGGATCTATCTAAAAGTATAGACCATAGACTGACAGGTCACAGACAATTCGAAATTTCAAGCCGATGGCTGACAGCGTCGAGGCTATCTACATGATCGAAGCTAGTCCGTCCCTACGAGATGCTCAGAAGAAGTTACTCTGCGGTGATGCAGCCATGGAAGAGATTGATATTGGCTTCCAGAGCAAGTGTAAATACTTCGAAAACCTCAAAATTATATGGTGTGAGGACATCAGATTCATATCTAAGGGTTAGCCTTCCACTTCCCATTACACCCAACTACATGCTAACAACCACAGACGCCACCAAATCACCCTTCATCATAGCCCATGAATTCTTCGACGCCCTTCCAATTCACGTCTTCCAAAGCGTCGAACCCACCCCCAACACCTCCCCAATCCTCACCCCAACCGGCCCAATCCCCCGCCCAAAAGCCCCCCCAAGCTCCCAATGGCGCGAACTCCTCATCTCCCCAACCCCCGAACACTCCCCCTCCTCCACCACCCCCCCACTCCTCGACTTCCAACTCACCCTCTCCACCGCCCCAACCCCGCACAGCCAATACCTCCCCCTCACCTCCCCGCGCTACGCCGCCCTCGCCAAAACCCCCGGCGCCATCATCGAAATCTCCCCGGAGTCCCTTTCCTACGCCGCCGACTTCGCGACCCGCATCGGCGGCTCCACCGACGCCCGCAGCGCTCTTCCGTCTGGCGCCGCGCTGATCCTAGACTACGGCCCCTCGGCAACGATTCCCACGAACTCGCTCCGCGGCGTCCGCGCGCACAAGCCCGTCTCCCCGCTCGCGGCGCCCGGCAAGGTGGATATCTCGGCGGATGTGGACTTTGTCGCGCTGGCCGAGGCGGCGATCAAGGCGAGCCCCGGGGTCGAGGTGCATGGGCCGGTTAAGCAGGGGGTGTGGCTGGGTGCGATGGGGATTCGGGAGCGAGCGGAGGTGCTGGTGCGGAAGGCGAGGGGGAAGGGGGAAGGGGAGGAGGGGGTGGGCAGGATTGAGGGGGGGTGGAAGAGGCTGGTGGATCGGGGGCCGACGGGGATGGGCAGAATCTACAAGGCCATGGCGATTGTGCCGCATGTTGCTGGGAAGGATGGCAGGCGGCCGGTTGGGTTTGGGGGGGATGTGGGGGTATAGATGGGCTTATGTTGTGCGGTGTCTTGATGCACCCTTAGAAATGTATAAGATGTAATATATCAGATCACAAAGCGTGGACGTGTTGTTTTAGATATGCGTAATACACACTTTCTAATGTTAGGGGCTACAAAGTCTGCCTGGGGGTGCTCCAGTCACTGTTGAGAAACCAAACACAATATAACATCCTCAAAACCTCAATTCAAAAAACCACAACCCCTTCTTTCAGACCTCGCCACAATACCCAAAACCCCTTTCACCCACTCCACTCAAACTTCTCCCTCACAACCCACACCATGTCCCCGTTCTTACAAGTATTCCCCACCTTGACCTCCGGCGTCCGAAACGCCACACCCGTCGGCAAAAACCCGTCCCCGAGCCTCACCCTCCGCACCCACTCCCCATCCCTCCCCTTCTTCCCGTCCTCCCAAACAAACTCCCACCGCTCGCACGTCACTTGCGCCCCAATCATCAGAACCCCCTGACACCACTGCCCGACCCGCACCACCATCCCCCTCGCGCAAATCAAGGGCATCTCCAGCGTCAGCACAACGCTATACTTTGCTTCCGTCCCTACATCCGCCGCCGTGGCCGCGACATCCCGCCACATCTCCTCGTACGGCGTCTGTAGCCCCGTCGGCGAGTACGTCATCACGCCCGTCTCGAGCGTCAGCGCCGCGTCGTGCGGGACGGGGTGCAGCACGCCCGCGTCCAGGACCGGCGCGAAGTTCCGCAGCGGCGGAGTCGTGGCCGTGGTGGCGGCTGGCGGCTCGCCCGAGATCAGTGTCGACGCGGTTGAGAAGGTGGGCGAGGCGATGTCGATGAAGGGGTCGTCGGTGCGCGCGCGCGCGGTGTACTGCTCGTAGGGGATGGTGGTGGGGAGCCAGTGGGCGGGGAGCAGGGCGTAGTGGGAGTCGAGCCAGTGCCACCAGCGGGCGTTCTTGGGCTGGGGCGCGTTGCTGGAGGTGGGCGCCAAGCTGTGGGAGAGGGAGTCGGTGTCGGCATTGACGGCCCAGCTTTCGCTGAGGCCGGCGAAGGCCCATTCGAGGCGGTGGATTGGGCCGCCGTTGTTGGGGAGGGGGAGCTCTGGGTCGGACAAGTGGAGGCGTTTGTAGATGCGGATGTCGACGTAGTAGTTTTCTTTGGAGGTAGTGACGAGGGTGGAGGTTGGTTCGGAGGGAGTGTCGCCTTGCTGTTTGGTGGTGTTAGGGGTGTTGATGGGATGGTGGGATGGTGGGATTGGTGGTGGGATTACCCAGCAGATGTACTCTCGTACTGAGATGTTTGGCATTGACATTTTGGCGGTGCGAGTGAGCTGAACAGTCTAGATTGGTAGGACGGCTCGTGTAGGTTGCATTTGAAACTGGGACGGGAGGCTTGAAGCAAATGCTTTTGTTGCTGTAACAGGGATTTCAGAGAGCCAAAGTAGAGACTCTCCTGAGAAACTATTAGAATGATATGTCATGTAGCGTTGTACTGGAGGTTGAAGAAGAAAGGGATTTGCATCCCTATAACGCAGACGATGGAGCGAGGAGACGATGTCGTGAATGAAGTGGCTGTCTTCTCAGCTAGAGTAGACTTCCCAACGAGTGAATGAATGCCCAAGCCTAGGAATCTTGTGTGCACCAACGAGGGTCTAGGGGCGATTGAAAGATGTCTCGCGTGAGGCGTCTATACTATATGTATCAATGCTTGCTCGTTTAAGGTTCGCACAAAAGCTGTTGTTGCAGGAGAAGGCGGGTGCTTTTTTTGAGGTGGGTAAACAAAAAGCCGCACCAGGAATAGCGTTGAGGAGTTGGCCTAAATGGATTGTACTCAAGCTCACAAAGCTGTAGCAAATAAATGTATTCACGCTGTTTGCCTGACAAAATACAGTAGTTGTCCAGTCCAGTTGTTGCGGTGACGTTTGTTCGATCGGCAGGTCGAAGCGAAGGAAACGGCGCTAAAGCTCACCACCATTGGAAGAAGCCTGGCGGCAGGCATGGTTCAAAGCTTCCAGCTCCACAACGTAGATTGCAGGATTCAAGAAATTTATCGCATGCTCTCCTATCCTACGTGCATTCCTCGCTTTAATCTTAACAAAATCGATTAGTGCTGTAGTGCAGAAAAATTCATATTGTCGAGGTTCAGGTTACTAAGCGAGTGTTCCATTTAACTAATGTTACCATGCCTGGCGGTACTTCGCGAAGTACACATGACTCCAAACACTGCTTAGGGGCACTTCAACACATTGGACTTTTGACAACATAGTCTGCAGAACCTTGAGGTTGACAACAAGAAATCTACCAATTCCATTCCCTCGTCGCTAGCGGAAGCTACATATCCAGCTCTACCCATGTCCTCCAGTATTCAAACACGCTTAATACCACAATAAAGAGTGCAACTTAAGCCTTCTCCACGGCTTCCTCCCTCGCCGCTTCCGACGCCCTCAATCCGCCATCACTGGCGCTCTCAATCCCCTTGGTCCTCGCAGTCGTCGAGTCGCCAAGATGCTCAACGCCATCCTTCACAATGACAGTGCCCTCATCCGGCGCCTTGCCGCCGAGGAATGTGGTCATTGTTTCTGTAGTCCCGTCGACATTGTTGATGGAAACGTCCTGCTGCCCCGTCTGGACCGCGGTGCTTGTGGACGTCGACGCTGGCTCCTCAGAGACCGTCTCTTCAGTGGCCGGGACCTCTGCATCCTTGGTTTCAGCAGCAATCGGCTCCTCGGACGACTTGACTGTCGAAGCTTCAGGTGACGTCGCAGCTGGCTCTTCCGGCTTGACGGCCTTGGGCGATTCAACGCCTCCAATCTTCTCCTCGAGCGCTTTTGCCACGACCGCAGCGGGAACCGTGACGTTGCCATCTTCGGTAGTTTCCCACACAGTAGTGGCTTCGACGAAGGAGAATGTCTGCGCAGGCTTAGCTGCAGTTCCGGCATCGGCTGCAGCACCAGATGGCGAGGCCGCCGGTTTGCGACGTTGTGGGCCCTTTGCGCGACCTTTACGAGCGTCGGCAAGCGGAGCTCGCTCTTTCTCCTCGACCTCTTCTTCTTTAGCCGGTTCCGCCACTTTAGGCACCTGTGGGCCAAGCTGGAGGCGACTGTTAAGGTCGCTCATGAAGCCTGCCTTGAGTGCTGCAATCTTTCCGCCGGCAGGGCGTGCGGGTACAGCAGGTTTCGCCTTGGGTGCAGGCGCAGCACCTTCACTATCGCCGACCGTTAGGACTTTCTCTGCGGAAGATTTTGAAAGCGGTTTCGCGGGTCTCGCTGGAACTTGAGGCTTCGGGCGTTCCGGAATGATAGGGGCTTTCTTGTCTACCGGCGACACATCTTTCGCCTGGGCAAGTGGAGCTGATATCACTGGGCGCGCAGGGATCTGTGGTTTCTCCACCGTGGCCGGCGAATCTTCTAAGTATTCATTGGTGTCTTCTGTCTGAGGGCCGCTGACAGTGGTGACAAGATTATGGTGATCGGGCGTATCTTCCCAAATGTCGTGACTGGGAAATCGCTGGTTCAATCCAGGCCGAGAGTTGACATCACTCAAGACATCCTTGTTAAATCCCGATTTCGCAAAGCGCTTTGTCTTTTCTGGCAGGAAACTTGTCTGGTCTTCAGCGGTGAGATTTTGTTTTCGGTCTGCCTCCGCCTCGGGCTTTTCGAACACACCACTGGAAGCAGTAAAATCACCATGTGTTTGCGACTCTTCTGGTGCCTGAGGTTCATCGACAGTCGTTTGTAACTGTAGACTGCTCGGAGTATCCTCCCAGACGTCTTGACTAGGGAAATGATGACGAGCCAGATCTGGACGCTTCAACTTGTCCACAGCAGTCTTGGCACGATCCTTCGGCACGTGTTCTTCATCTTCGGGGAACAAAGGCTCGTACTCCTTGACGTTATCTAATGGAGTACTGGTGTGTTCATTCTCAGAGGGGCTATTAAACCTCGAAAGGCCGGCCATACCGCTGTGGACACTGTTGTTGCGACTTGAGCTCCTACTTGTGCTCTTGCGTCCGCTGATGTAGGATGGAATGCCGTCAGTGTCATTGATCGTGTACTCTCCGCTACCACGACGCTCGAGCTCTGGAGAGACGGCCGGTTGCATATATTCTGCGTCAGGGTTCTTTGCAACTTCGTCCGAGGCGAGAATTGGGACACCGTATCCACGTTCTGAGATCCAACCACCCTCCTTTTCAGTGTTGCCTCCGTCTGGACCAAGATCTTCTTTCGGCGGGTCATAGCCACCACCTCCTATTTTGTTGTGGCGGTGGTGAGGAGGGTCAATGTGAATGACATTGTCCTCTGTGTCGCTTTCCATAGCATGTTCTGACCCAGCTTTCGGAGTCTTGCCATCCGTCGTATTTAGGGGAGATTCAGCCTTCGAGCTGCTCGTGCGAGCTTTGGGTGCATGGATAGACTGAGGGCGGGACGATGGACGGGGTGATGCCATGCGAGAAGCATACTCTTCCGATGCCCTGTATCCGATTTGCTCGTCAGGTGTGCCTATTGCTTCGCGTGAAGTACCTGTGTGGGTTTGGTTAGTTCAGCCAAAGACTGGCGAAGTCGCCATCAATAGCGTACCCATTCCAATGCCTCTGCTAGCTGATTGATGCACAAGCTTAGCAAGGTCATCCCCAACCCAATGATAGTCCTTGCGCGTTTCTGGAACCGCACGTCCGTATTCTCCTTGCTTTTCTTTGGCAAAGTCCTCGGGGTGCTTTTCGTACCAAGTTCTTTCGAAATCGTTGCTGTTTATGATACCGTGACCGTGCAGACCATAGCTGCCAGGCGGTCCGTGGAAGATTTCCCGTCCGCTTTTAGTGCGTGAATGATGACGGCTGGCCGGTTGTCCTCCATTGTTGAAGAAGCCAACTCCTGTTGCGGGCGCTGCAGCGGAAGGCTGGGGTGTTGGAGCTTGAACATCACCGGCGTTGGGATACATGGGCACTCGAATGCCGATCTCTGGAATGCCGTGCTCTTCATCATCCTTGTTGTAGATTGACTGAGGGCGAGTAGAAGTGCCGGCAGAGGACGCTGAACGAGGGGTCCCTTTTTCGTCAGAGTCAGCAAAGAGCTTCCCAACTGCGGCTGCAGCTTGAGAGGAATCGGTACGTGTGACGGTAGCGATCCTGCTCTTTGCAGTGGAAGTGGCCAGAGAGGCTGTTGGAGCATATAGCGGCAAGTCGCCAGCTATGTTCTTGGTCTGTTTTGGTGATGACTCCTCGGCGAAGTCCTGCAGACTCTCGTACTCGCTGCCCTCCTGGCCGATGGACGGCAGAGTGACGCTGGAAGGGCGAGGGAGATTTGCACCCAGAGACTCTTCTCTGCTGCTGACTCGGGGCATGCCATTATGGAGGAAGGCCGGATCGTTCAAGGGCGAGCGAGCGTAGGTGTCACGGTTCGGTGAGACGGAACGCTCCACGCTGCGCTTGGGACGCGGCGGGATCTTGGGCACGTCAATGTTCCCAGAGGTGCTGGGTGCATCCTGCGCGCGAGCCGGGCGAGGAGGGATCGTGGGAGCGGCCATAGTGGATAGCCAGGGTAGGTGGAAGAACGGGAGTGCGAGGGAAGATGTCTGTGACGAATTGAGGTCAGCCGCGAGGGCAACGGGGCTTTCAGCGTCTCAAACACAAGAAGTCAGATAAGCCAAGCTCAACAACTGCGAGAGCGCGAGGGCGGGCGAATGAACAGGTGGGACGGCGAGAGCTCTTAAACCAGTTCGAGGCGTCTCGCAGCTGCACGACGTCAAGCGGTCCCAGCAAAGCTCCACTGAGGCAGGGCGGTCGGCCAATCAGCACCGCCGCAATTGACCGCAAGATGTGGGCAGAGCCGAGACAAAGAGGCGTTGCACTCACCAATGGCGGTTGTAGTGAATGTCGTGCTCACGGTGCGCAGTGGGCCATGGAACGAGTCGTCAAAGAGGAGATGTTGGCGCGCGAGCAGGGCGGCAGCGTGGCCACAGTCAGGCTTCTTATATGTGGAGGAGCAGTGACGCTGTGCCTGCAAGAATCGGCGGCCTAACTCGCAACGGGCTCGAATCGAGAGCAGCCGCCTGGTCACGCCTGCAATTGTCCCTCACGAGGCGCGTCGCAACTCGACCTAGGCAGCGTGGTGGCCGCACGTCCGACGACACCTCAAGTGCCTCACTGCAGCGAGCCATTGTGCAGGTGCCCGGCATCGTAGTCCTCAAGCTCGGGCGGCACGACGAGGGCGAAAGTTTCTGCTGCACCAGCTGCACGCCACCATGCAAACCCCGCGAATAACCTTGGAAGTCACCTGGAGGCCCACAAGGCCGTGCATGCGAGCTAGATCAGGAACGCCGCCATCGCCATCCACCTGCTCCAACGATCCGTGGCTCAGATGGGCAGTCGACAGGACATCGTCAGCTTCGTTCCAAGATCCTGACCACCATCGAGGAGCGAAGCACACTCGCCTCACCAAGACTCTCAAATAGACCATAATCGTGTGAGGTACACACATGATACTACTTGGACTTCACTCATGCATGCTATTACGTATGAAGCGTTGCATATTAGGACAGCTGCATGTCAGAACATGGCGTGAGGATGCACGAAATCGACTCAATCGATATTCAAAGCCTATCGAGGTATCGTACCCTACAAGCTGCCTACTTTTGGTATTGCAGGAACCGTGACCCGAATAACGCCCAGCTTGATAATACAGTCAAAGGGACGGACTATCCCACTCAAACCAATCCAGGACGAAAGCAACCGCAAGAATCTGGGTGCAACCCGTCTTTCCCGCTCCCTAAACATGCTACAAGCAAATAATCTGGTAATAGCACAACATCATCTCGCTCTCATTGCTCCATGTGTTCGTTGCTCACGCAAGTCCCTCCATCGTCTCCGAAGTGTGTGTCTGTATTGTACTGAGATCGAGTGTAGCTCAAACAATCATCTGTGCAACTCCTTGTCCGCCCAACGTCTTGCTGCCCTGGAACTGTTGACCCTTTATTCCCGCTAAAGCATAGAACGCGGCTGCGATCAGGAGGACGACGGCTGCGGCGATCAAGCTAGTAGCTTTGACGATGATTCCCAGCCATTGGATCAGACTCATGACACCGTAGATCCCGGCACGCATGTAGTTTGAACTGAACTTGCGGATGAAGTTGTCGAAGCCGGCCGATGTCGGGCAGATGCGAAGGAGGAGCGGAATTTCGACGAAGATGAGGATGAAGGCACACACTCTGCGAAGACATTAGCCGGTCAGGTTCGAGTTTCGGAGGCAGAAGCAATACATACAAGCAGATTATGCTGAAGAGGATGATTAGGTGGAGATGGAAGATGTTCGCAATGCCCAAGGCAAAGCATAGGATGATGCAGAGAACTCCAGTCCTAGTTAAAGAGTCAGAGCTGTTGCTCAAGTAGTTGCGCATGCTTCTATCGTGTCGTTACGACAGCCTGGTGATTTGTTGCTCCAAATAGACCTCCGCTCCGTTTGTTTTGGTCTTCCCAACCCTCTTTCAAGTAGAATGAAGCAGGCCCTTGATAGACACCTCGGAGACTCCGTGTGCGTGGGCTCCAGAGCTGTGCAAGATACATGTCGAGAAATGAGGGTAGACTCGACTCACCATTGACCGTATATACCTGAAGAGTATCCTGTCAGCAATGCGCTCATTGATATTGGTGCGGCCTACTTACTGAAGTTCCTGCTTCTGAACTCTTCTGCTAACGTCATCTTGGCTGAAGATGGGTTGCGATTGTTGGGAGCGTGGCGTGGGTGAATATGTTGGTGTTGACGTTAGGAGAGGTGGTTTGAGCTGTTGTTTCGGTTCAGCCGACCTTGCCGGAGGTTGCGCAACGTGGAGGGAGGCTAATGAGTGCGGCGGGTCTGTGAGCTTTAAGAGCTATCGGCGGGCGGATGTGATGCGTAGTCGTTTGTGGCGATGCGGTCTGTGAAGTGTCTGCAGCGATGCCTTGGGAGCTGCGCAACACGTCTCCCAGACCCTTGGAGCGGCAGGTGCCGCGAAGGGAGCCGCGAGTCCGATTGTCTGACAGCGTGAAGAATTGCTGACCAGAAGCGAGAAGCGATCCCTGATATAATTTTAGGATTGCAAATGGAGCATTCCGAGGCAAAACTTGGGCCCTCTATATACGTACGCTATAGACTTGCTTCGTCTTCATTACTATCTGTCCCAAAAAATCCAGCGTCGCGGTTGCAGTTTCACCAACCGTTGCCAAGCTAGATCGGCGCTATTCAGCCTTATGAATCTTGGAAAATCAGTCCATCAACTTCTAATATTAACAGTCTTGCACAAAATTCAGTAGCTTGATAGTTTTCCCTCCATATACAGCCCATCCGAGGGTAACCTCATGCTCTTCCATGACCGCTTTTCCCATAGAGTCAACTTCCAACTTATGAGCTTGCCGAAGAACCGTCTTTGCAAGAAGTTGCTGTGATACCTCCAGCATTGCGTCAGAGATCCTCAAGGTAATCTCAACAAAATGACAAGTTGGGACGATGTACGAGTATTCTCTAGGTCAATGGGACAATAATTCCGGATGTGTAGTGAGGCGCATGAGGTTACAATAGTAGTAAAACAGGTACTCAAATGTCAACAGTATCCAGAGTGGTATCGAGAGTACTCCAAGATAACGAGACTTCCCTGCTCCCTGTTTCGCACGCATGTAGTCCCAGAGCTTTTGATAATCATCCCAAAAAAGCCCATTCGCTTCATGCTCCTTGAAGTATCCTCCCTCAACGCCTTAAAAGTTATACAAATGCAGTCTTACAATCACAGTATGCCGTCAGAATCGCCAGGTGGTCTTGGGTATCGCTTGTTCTCCCAGTTGTCATCGTCGAGTTTCTGTGAGAGTCTCTGAAGTCGCCATTAGTACTGCAAAGCTAATAAAGCAGGATCGAAAGGCTTGGGCTTTTCAGAGAGACGTACAAAGTACTCTTCCCGTATATCGAACTGCCTCCTCTCTTTCTTCAAGCCCAGAGCATTCTCTTGTAGAGAGGTCTTGACCTTGTGATCGTACCGTTCGTATCGTAATGCGGTAGCGGGGGTAAGGAAAAAGCTGCCGGCGACCATCGTCACAAGAAATGGGAGTCCGAAGAGCAAGAACGGGTGCCGACTCAGTGATGCACGATAGCGGGAAGAGAAGTCGCCAGCTTTGGAAGCCGCTCTAGAGGATTTGAACGGCTTTGATGAGAATGCGGGGCCAGGCATTTCGTCTAGATGGCAGCTTCAATGATGCTGTGATAATTATAGATCGTACTCAATACGGCTGAAGCAGAGATGCATGGGATGGCGCGCTCGAACTGAGGTGGTGTGGTCAGTGGTGAGAGCTCCACTTCAAAAAGTCTTGGCTCTTCCGTATCCGCTCCGCTCGTCACGGGACCACCCGTTTTCTCTTAACGCGACTCGGAGCCTGCATCCACCACGCAACAACCCGTCAACAAACCCTACTTCAAAAGCAGCCAGCCTCTCTGTCTTTCCACCGACTCTCTGGGTCCCCAAGGTCTCCTACGTTCCTACACATTCACTGGGGAGTAGCGTCATTTTTCAAACATCAATTGGAGCCTAGACCGTACTAAACCAACTCGTGGGCTTTTCAATCTATATGCGAGTCTCGTAATGGCAAGCTCAACCCACAACTCAATCAGTCATGGCCCGTAGAGCAGGCGATTCCACGCAGCGTCCTGCGAATCTAGCCTTGACCAATGGCAGTGTTCCCAATGGCGCCCCTCCGCCGTCAACTATTGCTGCTCAGATCGTCCATAACCACTCCAACATCAATGCTCAGCAGGAGCCTACTACCAAAGCGGTGTTTGGACAGTTGCTGCAAGAGTATCTGATTGATCCGAGTAACGATGAACCGAACTCGCAGCTGAATGCGGAACTTATCACAGTCGTGGCCGAGGCAGGACTTGATGTGCTAGTTCGAGAGAACCTGTTTGCTCCCGATCTACTTGTACCTCAAGCAATCGATAGTATATCTGTCATTAAGTTGACGATCCAACGAAGGCCCGAGCTGCTTCTGAGCACGAAACGAAGCGAAGGGAATAGCGTCGTCCACCCGAAACTATTCTTGCGGCTTCTGCCCAAGATCCTTCCCTTGATGGGGCATTGCCAGCTCGACGCAATACAGGAGCACCTTCAAGACTTGCTATTGAGCTGTGTTCAAGTATTGCAACGCACGTCAGATCTTTGGCAACATGCAGTTTCGCTCATCCAACTTTACCGCTCCTGCGTTGATGGTATGTCCCAATGACTTTCTGAAGCTCAAGCTAACATACTTGAAAGATATTCTGCGTGCCTTGGAAGCATCCTTCTCCCGCCAGTCCTCTTCATGCCCTGCATTCGCGATAACTTTGCCTCCTTCTAACGGCATAAACGATGCATGGCCCGAAAGCCAGCACTTAGTTGCTCTCCCTCAAGGAGCTCAGATCACCGTATCTTCGCCCTCACAAGCTACTATCATCGCTTTTAGTCTCACTAGTATCATTGCCGCTGCTGATGCAAAAATTTTGAGAAGCACGTTGACTCACTCTTGGCACGACAACACTCTCCAGGGGGCCTTGGACAGCTGTGCACGTCTATGGTTACTTCGTGCTCGCTGGACAAAAGGAAACGAGCAAAAATCGCCAAAAATTGATATAGCGTATCTTCAGAGTCTAGAGGCTGTCTCAATTCGTCAAGTTCCTGCGTCCGGCTACCCATACCTAGCTTCTGATAATGCTGCCGCTTCTCTCTCCTACGGCCTTTCTGACGTCCTCAAATCGTACCGTGGGGCTTCGTTTGATGGAACTCTTCAAGGCAAACTCACATGGACCCTGGTACGATTAAGATCGCTCCTGGATCAACCTCAAGAGGAAGCTGCTCGGGTTTCATGGCAGCCAGATGGCCCGAAAAAGATTGTGAATGAGATTCTCAACCCAGTGCTAATTCAGATATGCCAAAAGTCGGGCATCGTAAGTGACCTAACTAGAGACTTCCAGGTAAGCTTCAACATTCAAGAATCTTGAAGTTTCGTGGCTAATTCCTTGTAGGTAGCGGTTTGCCTATTTGTCCCACCCGATGAGTGGCCAAACGAGCAAGATGCCATAAGAAAGCATATCATGTCGACTGAGCCAGTCTTTGATGACATCGACCTCGAACTAGAAGCCTCCTCGCTTCTTAGAGCATATCGAGAAGCCGCTCTCCACGAGGCTGATAGGCCCCAGAAACGACCAAGACTCCAAGCGACTGAAGATGGCAACGTCTCCCGCGGCTTGTACGAGAGTTTCGTTGACGAGATTTCAACCCAACTAGGCTCAGGGAACTCGAGTCTAGTGGGGCTCCACAATAGTGCAGTGTAAGGACCCGTGAATGATGTCTTCGTCGTTTACTATTCTGACCAAACACAGAGATCACTATCTAGTATTGCCGGAAGATAAAAGAAATGTTTTGTTCTCTGCAAATTGCCTAGCAAACATTGCGTGCGCAGGCGCCCACAGCTTAGAGGCTACTAAGTCAAACTCGGGACATCTCGACTGTTTTTCGTGTAGAGTTTGCGACGATACTTCCTCAGAAGGACTCACAAACCCTAGACCATACTGGAATGGTGGCAATCATGGAGATGATTGGAAAGAGGTGATCTCTACTCTGGCCGCGCTTATCGAAACCCCTGAATTCCTAAGATCTACAAAGCCTCGGATTCTCATGGCACTCACCATTCGTAGAGTGTTCAATCACATATCCGATGGTGAATACCTTGATCTAGACCTCTCCTCGCTAGGACAATGGTGTCTCAGGTCTCTCCGAAGCACTCTTCGCGAGTTACGGATCGTCGCAGGGTTCGTGAATCTTCTAGACACAAGACCATGCGCTAATTGCAATGTAGGAGAGCTCTCACGGCTTTCCTTAGGCAGGGTGTGCCCAAGGAAGTCAAACGAAAAAATCGATTGACTGCGCTTAATTTCTATCGAACTCTTGCTGAAAGAAACGACCTCCCCATACAAGAAACACTCATCCTGGCCTATGGTCGAGCTGCACGGTAAGTAATCTCTTTAGAGCTGTTTCTGTCGCATGGCGCTAAAGCTTTTCAAGTGTTTGCGGCGAAGATGAGCTAAATATCATACTAATTCATCTCGTGGAATACCTGAACCACTCTAATCCATTGCTGTGTGGGGTAGCTTATAATGAGGTACGAATGGACACCAAACTACCTGACTTTGCTAACAAGACACAGCTCTCCAGTCTTGCCGATTCTTTCAACCAAAAGCCTACCGATATGCTTAGACCATTCTGGAGAAGCATTGGCCCTACAGTCATCAAAGACTTGCAAACCCGACCGCAGAAGGCTCAGCAACTGTCGGAGTTACTGGGAATGAGCGTCAATCAGATGCTATTGATGACACAAACCGAGACATTACCCTATCTTGTGTTAACCAAGAAGAAAGACGTGTTGCAGAGAATTGCTTCAGCTCGCGGGACGTCAATCCAGGATGTATGCACGCAACCTCGCAAGAATCTCGCTGCAATCTTAGCGCTTCTACTACGCCAACAATCCCCAGATGTTGAGAAGAGTGCCATGGATACTTTAGTGGAGATTGCACCCGCCTTTCAAGAAAACGATAATGACTTGTCAAGCTGGATAAAGTTGGAGCCAATTCTAGTTGCATGCGAACTGCTTAAAGCCGCCGCAGAAGAAGACGAGTCGAAAAAGCCTCAAGTATGTAGAAATCCTGATGCAAAATTCCTGGCTAACAGGACTAGGTCCACCTTGCGTTTCAATCGCTGGCGATGCTTGCAGGGGGGAAGACGGGTTCAAAGACGGCCACGAAAAAGGCCAAGGCCTTGGTGCTTTTCTTTGAGTCGCACGTCCTCGGGATCATGGCTCATTTTTCAGAAGTGTTGGACGCTCCACATGAAACGCATCCAGTTCAAGAAAGAAGGCGTTGCGTTGGTGCCATCGAAGAGATGATCAATTTAGCAAAGGGACACGTTAACATCGCACTACCTCAAGTACGTTCGCCTCGAAGTTTCCCTGATAGCTCTTTGTAGGAAACATTGCTGACTTCTAGACAGATCCGGGCGTGTTTGCAGTCTGCTATGGGCGACAAGCAACTCAGCGACCAGACCTTTTCTGTTTGGGCAGCTTTACTGACTGTCGTTGACGAGGAAGACATTGAATCACTGATCGATCAGACATTCGCCATAATCGCGCAGAACTGGAACTTTTTCGGAGAAGAAAGTCAAATGAAGGCCTACGATACCGTCGGTAATCTGATCAAGACTCACAGTACTCTTTTGCGGGATCGAATTGACTGCGTCCCATCTCTGGCATCCATTCCCCTAATGTCAAAGTATGATGCCGAAATCAATCGCTTCAAATCCAAGGTCGAATTAGGCAATCACTTTGACACCTTCAGCCAAAGGTGTAGAGACGAAAACGCCGTCGTCGTTACAAGAGCATTGGAGGAACTGATCCCTTTTCTCGAGGCCAATCAAATCTTTCTTCACGAGTCTGCAATCAGCCAGAAACCCACACGCGTACTCTCACAGCTTACTCGTTCTATCCTGGATGCATGTAACAGGTTTACGGAAGAGCATTTCGACATCACCATTCTTTGCGCTCGATGCTTAGGACTAATAGGCTGTCTGGATCCTCATAGAGTCGAAGCTGTCCGAGAAAAACGCGAGATACTAGTTCTTTCAAATTTCGAGCGCGCGATAGAAGTCGTCGACTTCACGGCATTCCTACTGGAACGTATCCTTGTCAAAGTTTTCCATTCGGCTACCAATGCGAGAGTCCAGGGATTCCTTGCATACGTTATGCAAGAATTACTGAAGTTTTGCGGCTTCAATGAGATTGCGACACATCGACCGAGGTCATCCCAACCAACACCAACATATCGTCGCTGGGTCGAGATACCAGAGTCAGTGAGAAGCACTCTAACTCCATTTCTAAGCTCAAGATACATGATAAGAAGCAACTTACCTCAGACTCCGGCTCTACAAACATATCCACTTTTCACAGAAGATAGCAACCATGCAGACTGGCTCCGGACTTTTGTTTTCGACCTGCTACAGAGGGGAAAGGGAGACAACGCCAAGATGATCTTCCCAGTTCTCGCGAGGATCATTCGAGGGCATGACTTATCTATCGCCAGTTTCATCCTTCCCTTTGCCGCGCTGAACGTCATAGTTGGAGGCACCGACCAGGAAACCTCAGATGTTAGCCAAGAACTTCTCACAGTTCTAAAGACTGAAATCGTCGAGGGTGACCATGCCGGCGCTGAAAATATCAAACAGTGCAGCGAGGTACGTATCACGGCCTTCGAGAGTGATTCCAAATGCTGATACTTTATAGAATGTCTTTCAAGTTCTTGACTATCTTTCCAGATGGCTGCAAGAAAAACGGAAGGCAATGGCAGAAGCTAGGTCAATGGCGGGACGAACTGGCAGGGGAATCAACGAAGACGACGAAATGAAGGACATCTCACAGATCAGCAGCGTCGAGCGGATTTTACAAGGAATACCCGCGGAAGTGATCTCTCGCAGAGCAGTTGAGTGCGGCTCATACGCCCGGGCGCTTTTTCATTGGGAGCAATACACCCGTCAGCAGCGAGAAAGGGCGGAGAGGTCGAAAAACATTTTCCAGCAGGCTGCATATTTCGAACATTTGCAGTATATTTACGCCCAGATCGATGAGCCAGATAGCATCGAAGGAATATCCGCGCATCTGCACGTCCTGGACCCAGATCAACAGGTCTTAGAACACCGTAAAGCTGGGAGATGGACGGCCGCACAAAGCTGGTACGAATTGGCCTTGGCAGAGAAGCCCAATGATCCAGACATTCAAGTCAACCTTCTCACATGCCTGAAAGAGTCCGGACAATATGGTGCGTATTTCTTCAAGATTGACGGAACAACTACTGACTTGTTAAGACTCGCTTCTCAATTATGTTGAAGGATTCCATACTTCTTCCAATACACGTACCCCGAAGGCGTTGCCATTCGCTGCAGAAGCGGCCTGGGTCACGGGGAAATGGCAGAACTTGGAGAGGATCCTTGCTTCACCGTCTGAAGAGCTTTCTCAGGTTTCACAAGAATTCGATGTTGGAATTGGGAGAGCATTACTGGCCTTGCGACGAAAAGATCAAGCAGACTTCATGAAGACAATCGCCGCTGTTCGCGAGAATGTTGCTCGTGGGTTTTCGCCTACCTCAACTGCCTCAATTCAAGCCTGTCACGATCATCTTCTCCGGCTGCATGTCCTCTACGAGATTGAAACTATTGGTGGAATTTCCAGTAGTGCCCCCGATAAAAAAGACATTATTCTTGCAAAAATGGACCGCAGGCTGGATATTCTGGGCTCATACACCTCTGAAAAGCAGTATCTACTGGGCATAAGACGTGCCGCAATGCAGCTATCCCAGTAAGCGAGATTGGTTGCTTCCTTTCTGCGTCGAAACTAACAAAACTAGCCTATCGTTCACGAAACTTGACGTCGCGTCAGCGTGGCTTACTAGTGCAAGACTCGCCCGCAAAGCTAACTTCACTACAACTGCCTATAACTCCGTGCTTCATGCTGCTCAACTCGGAGATGATGCCGCAAAGATCGAACATTCTCGACTACTGTGGAAAGATGGCCACCACAGGAAAGCCATTCAAAATCTCGAAGGCGCGATTGCGAGCAAAGCTTTCGAATCCCAGAATTCTGGGCCAATCGACAACTCTGTGAACATCTCAGCTGACCAATTACAAAGCGAGAATAAGCTTACCGCAAGAGCCCATCTACTGCTTGCGAAATGGCTAGACAGAGCTGGCCAGACCATGTCGTATGATCTGAGGGAGAAATATCAGACGGGCATTCGTGCATTTCCTCGATGGGACAAGGGTCACTACTATCTCGGACGCCACTACAACAAGATTCTGGAATCGGAAAAGTTACTACCACGAAGCAAACAAAGCTTCACTTTCCTCGCTGGGGAGCTGAACAAGCTAGTGATCGACAACTACATTCGCTCCATGGTCTATGGAACGAAATACTATTACCAGATGGTCCCGAAAGTACTTACTCTATGGCTAGATCTAGGAATGGAGGTAGAAATGGCTGCACAGCGAGCTAGTGCTGAACTGGAGATTGCGGCCCAACGAGTAAGGTGCCTAGAAAATATCCACAAGCATTTGCGGAAGTATATGGTGGATCGAGTCCCGGCGTATGCATGGTATACCGCATTTCCACAAATAATTACCCGCATCAGTCATCCAAACAAGAGTGTTTACGACGTCTTGTCCGCCTTAATCATCAAAGTGGCCGCAAAGTATCCTCAGCAAGCATTGTGGAGCTTACTGGCTGTTCCGAAAGCAACCGCTTCTGATAGAGCATCTCGAGGAGTGCAGGTGTTGCAGAAATTGAAGGTATGTTAGCATGCTATACCTTGAAATCGTTTACTAACGCCTCGTAGGACTTCAAACGCACCAAATCCGATTCGCCATTCCCTGACCTCAAAGCTCTTATCATGAACGGACAGAGATTATCAGAAGCTCTTCTTGCTGCTTGTGAAGTCCCCGTTGAGACGAGGGCGACACATGTCAGTCTCACACAGGACCTCCGCTTCAACCCTAAGCTTGCCCCATGTTTGCTGGTGGTGCCGATCGAAGCAACAATGATCGCTGCTTTGCCGGCTGGGGACGGGACGAAGACCATTCGAGCTCACAATCCTTTTCCGCACGATGCTATCACAATAGCCTGTAAGTTGTCACAGTCTGGTTATTTTCACTTTGACTGACGACATCTAGCTTTCCAAGACGACGTTCTAGTTCTAAGCTCTTTACAACGACCACGAAAACTCACTGTAAGAGGATCTGATGGACGCCAGTATGGTCTGCTATGCAAGCCGAAGGACGACTTGCGAAAGGACCAACGTCTGATGGAGTTTAATGCGATGATAAACCGAGCCTTGAAGAGAGATATTGAATCGAGCAAGCGACGCCTTTGTGAGTACTCTTCTAAGCACTTGCGTACCGTGCTTGGATCGAAAGCTAATCGAAGCCTTAGATATCAAAACCTATGGAGTCACACCCTTGAATGAGGAATGCGGCACGATCGAGTGGGTAGAAGGCTTGAAACCTATGCGAGACATCATCCTTAGACTCTATCGCCAGAAGAATGTGCCTATCGACGTAAGTCTTGCTCTCTCTATGATATTCACCACCCCCGATGCTAAAGTATTCGCAACTTAGTATGGAGAGTTGAAAACGTTGCTTGCAGAGGCGTGCTTGGAACCTAGCAAGGTCAACATCTTTACTGAACGTATTATCAAAAAGTAAGGAATATCGGGAATGTTTATATCGACCTATAATAACTCACAAGCCTACAGGTTTCCTCCAGTGCTGTACGAGTGGTTCATCGAAACATTCCCCGAGCCCGAAGCCTGGCTTGCCGCACGGATCCGCTACACACGCTCCTGTGCCGTCATGTCCATAATTGGACACATTCTAGGGTTTGTACAACGTCTTCACTGTAGCGGCTCATTAGCAAAATCTGACCAATGCTCACAGCCTCGGCGACCGCCACGGCGAAAACGTCCTCCTCGAAGAAGGTAACGGCGGCGTCTTCCACGTCGACTTCAACTGCCTCTTCGATAAAGGCCTCACCTTCGAGAAGCCCGAGCTCGTCCCGTTCCGCCTCACGCACAACATGGTCGACGCCATGGGCCCGTCGTCCATTGAGGGGCCCTTCCGCACCGCCGCGGAGCTGACCTATCAGCAGTTGCGCCAGCACGAGGACACGCTCATCACGATCCTCGAAACATTCGTGCATGACCCTACGGCTGATTTCCTCGGTGGGAAGCGCAAGAAGCGGATTGAGGGCGTGCCGGACTCGCCTAAGGAGGTCCTCGAAGCTGTGAGAGGAAAAGTAGGGGGGCTTTTGAGGGGCGAGAGCGTGCCGTTGAGTGTAGAGGGGTATGTGGAGGCGCTGATTGCAATGGCTATGGATCCTAGGAATCTGGCTGCCATGTATATCGGGTGGTGTGCTTTCTTCTAAGCTGGGTGTGGCATTGGTCGGCGGGATCAGGGGGGAGGGCTATAGAGCCCTTCCAGATGATGCAGCAGAGTAAATAACCATGTATAGCCAACCTTGCTGATACACACAACACGATGACATTTGCTAGTTCGCAATCCGTAGTGATATACTTTCTGATGCTACCGTTATTCTCTAGTTTGAGTTCCGCGTGGCTGGATCTGTAGATATTAACGCGGCCATGAGCACAATATCATATACCAGACTAGCTCCATCAAAACGTGTAAAGAGGAGTTCCTTGTTATCTATCAGAGTCCAACACCTATTCGCCTCGATCTATGTGTATTCCCTTGTCCCAAACCCAGCCCACGCCCACAAAAAACAAGACGCAAAACACCAACACCAACCCATGCCAACTGCCTCATCCACTCGCCCCCTCAAATACTCGCCCTCCTCGGCGCCATCGTCCGCCTCAACTCCCTCTCCTTCTCCGTCTCCTCCATAACCGGCAAAATGCCCTGCTCCCTCAACTGCCCGAGAAACTCCTTCCCATACTGGTACCCGACATTGTACAGCTCGTCAAACTTTGCGAAATCCAGCGTCCCGTACGGGTCGATCGGCGGGCGCATGTACCGGCACCCCGGCGTCGTCTTCGCGCGTTCCAGCGCGTCGATGCTGCTCACATACGCGAGCCTGGACTGAATCTCGGAGAGAGTCGGCGGGTTGGGGTAGGAGCTGAATGGGTTCCAGCGATTCAGCAGCGCCCAGAAGCCTGAAAGCGAGTCGCCGAAGCTCTGGGGGGTCGTGTCGTCGAGGGAGCCGACGTCGACGGCGAAGATGACGTCGGCGCCGAGGGATTTCATGTGCGCGACGGTGAGGTTGTCGATGTAGCCGCCGTCGAGGAGGAGGGAGCCGTTGTCGCACAGGGGCGGGAGGAGGCCTGCTAGACTCATGGATGCGCGGACGTAGCGCCAGACGTAGCCCGAGGTGTGGATCTGAGAGCGCGATTTGGAGATGTTGGTCGTGTTGCAGTAGAATTCGAGCCAGAAGTCTTCGATTTGGGCGTTGCCGAAGGTTTTGAAGATGCCGCGGTTGAATTCGTGGCCGGTGGTGTAGGAGGCGCTGGGCATGTTAGTGGTTGGATTGCGAGGGAAGAGGTAGAGCTTACGAGGGGTAGGTGAGGTCGAGGGCAAACCTCCACATACTACCCATGCGACCTGCGAACTTCTTTGCTCGTCCGTACATTGGTACGACGTCAGCATCCCAGGCGTAAAGAGCGCCGATGAAGGCACCGATTGATGTCCCGCCGATGATGTCGATGGGGATGCCTGCCTCCTCCATGGCTCGGATGATACCAATCTGAGCGATTCCTCGAGCACCACCACCGCCGAGCACTAGACCGACCGACTTTCCACATAGCCTGCGAGCTATCCGGTGGAAGTCGCCCTTGAAGGGTGTTTCTGCGGAATATAGCGGAGTCTGGCGAACCTTTCTCGACGTGTATTTTTGGATCTCGGCTTGCAGAACTTGCACACGCTGTTTCAGTGCGTTGCCGAAACGACGGCCAGCTGGATGTACTGGCTCAGGCGTCGTACGGAATGACATTTGAATATGATGATGACTCCCATTGACCCAGGGACGATTTCGTAGCCAGCGACGAGTTGTTCCCGGAGGACAATACCTTTCAGAATGCAATAGTACAAGCTCTTTCCGCGCCGTTGTCTTCGTTGTGAGTAGGAATCGTTCGTACTCGCCGATGTTTGGTTGATGATCTGCGACACCGACCAGGAGAATGCAATCAGCTTGATTGATACAGGTCTGAGTCCATGGTGACTTGACATTGGTATCAGCAACGTAAAGAACAAGTCCGTACTTCTCTTCCAAATCTGCCAGGTACTGTGAGAGCTTTAGCTTTCCCATCCGATTGAAAGCGTGCCTTCCAAGGTGGTTGAGGATTGCGGCTTGATTGAGAGACACAACACCATTTGGCGTTCCAATCTGAACGAGAGCATTCATCAGCCTGCCACTGAACTCTACAACAGGAACGCCTGCGGTGACTGGCAGAATGGCAACAGTGCGTAAATTGACTGTCGAAGAGACCTTACTTCTCGTTGCTTTCGTACTTCGCTCTTTGCCTTGCTCGTGGAGAGGGTCGTTGACTAGCGCACGCATCCTTGAAGCAATGATTTTTGAGATCTTGATTGTGATACCAGGATGCTCAAGTGCCAGGCTGTTGAATAGAGTCTTCGGGAATTTCGCCAATTCGGCGTCTCGAATAGCGTGCAACGACCCAGGTCTAGCCGATTCGGTCAAGACCTCGAGCTCCCCAACGCTATCACCCTGTCCATACTCCCCTATCACCTGCATTTCATCGTTCTCCCCTTCTCTGATTGCGCGAAGTCGACCATTAAGAACGATATAGATGGCGTCGCTATCATCTCCTTGGTTGTAGATAACCTGGCCGGCATTGACTTGGACCCATTCCAAAGCGAAGTCGATGTGCAATATTAATCGAGGTAGAAGGGTCGTTAAACGCTTAGCCATTGTAAGAAGAACGACAGGGTAGCGGTCGACGATTCTCTCGATGGATGCCCTAGGTAAGAATCCAACATACACATCTGTCTTGGCAGTGACATCGATGAAAGATCTATACGAGGAAATGGTTCCGAGATAGCCGGCAAGTCCTCCGGGCTTCGTCAAGAAAAGACTTTTCCTCTTCTTCGACTTCAGAATATCGCTCGTGGCTGCTCTTGAGGCAGCTGGTCGTCTATTGGCGAAGGGCCCTGCAAAGAGATCGGACTCCGCCATACCGGTTGTTGCTGGTAGAGTGCCTAGGACGTTGTTTTCGGAATGATCATCCTCAACAGGAATACTAACATCGAGAAATCCATCAATCACATAATACAGACCAGGATTTCTCTCTCCTTGTTCCACCAAGACAGCGCCCTTTGGAAAGAAGACAATCTCAACATCGTCGACAATTTCTTCAAGAATGTTGTGATTCCCGCCAACGCTCAGTGCGGATAAAGATGCTGAAGCGACGGATTCTGAATCGGCTTGTGAACCCTCGTATTGATCAATGAAGCCGAACGCGTTAGTGAAAACGGCTTTCTGGCGCTTCGCATCGAATGAGACCATGCGAGGAGAGGCCTCAACGGAGCCAGACTTTACAGGACTCTCCAAGTTTGTCAGACCAATAGCTTTGAACATGCAATCGAGGACTGCTTCACGGAAGACGCTGTCTTCATCCACAGAATCGTCTCGTCGAAGCTGCGATGGGCCGCGTAGGGTTGAGTTGAAGGGGTTGAATGTACCAGAATCCAGAGGCGTTTTCCCATCCCGGATGCCACGGTCTGGGGACTGATAAGGCTGGGAAAAGCTCAGCCTCGAATGTCTACCGCCAGCTCTAGGTAGATGCGAGTTTGTCAGTAGGTCACCTGCGCTGACTCCCGCTCTCTCGTTGCGATTTGAGGATCCTATTGGTGTCAGCTTTGTGGGAACATCCGAGCTGCCATCCAAATCCGACCCTGATCGTGCTGCTGCTAGTCTAGCTTGTAGGGCTGCCCCCTTTCTTAGACCACTGCTAGACCTGCGCCGTCGACCAGCTCCAGGATTGTGGAGTGCTATTCCCTTCATGCCTTCTTCAGGGCCAATGCGTTCTCTTTCTTTTGAGAATTTCTCCTTCAGTCGCGCTAGGGCAGAATCGCGGAGAAATCCAGGCAAGTCGTATGTGGTGTATTTGTTCATCAACCTTTCAGTTCCCAGTACCTCACTAGTAAGGCCGAGGTAGGAGTGACCAGTTTGCAATGTCACTCGTTGAAGTCGAGTGAGAATGACTTGTACGATATGAGCCGTTGCTTTTGGATATACTCGAGTGAGACGTCGAAAAGCAGTCGCGGGGATAATGGCAATTGTAGTGTCCACCGTAGCTCGTGCTACAATATCAGGATGCGCAGACTTGGGTTTCTTAGATCGAGACCGGGCGTGCTGCGGCGGTGGTTTGCGGGGCGAATTTGTTTGCTCCCCATTCAAATCTAAAGAAAGAGGCGGCACAGTAGGAAGACGACCTCCAGCAGTAGGGCTCGCCAGCCCATCCGCGCGGCGATCTCTTAACCCAGTCTGTGGGGGTGTCCGAGGGGTTCCAAGGGGACTTGTTGGGTCGGACTCGAAGCTAGCATTTCTGGAAGCAGCGGGTCTTGAGGGTCTTTCATGGCCGAATCCAGCTGTGGGCCCATTTGATTGTATGCCAGTATCTTCCTCATCCTCATGTCGGAGTTTCACGTCCTCAGTAAATAGTGACAGGATCGAGAATAATGAAGACATCGGGGCTCCGTTCTTGACTTCTGTAAGCAACTGATAGCCCTGACCGTGGTCCGGCTGTGCATCCTCATCTTCCGAGTTTTCTGGTGTTCCAACATTTTCTGACCCAGGCCCTTCACGGTTCGATTTGACAAAGATTTGCACCATGCCATCGACTACCAAGCAAAACCCCTTCTCTTCCTCCAACAACAGAGTCTCTCCAGCTATCAACTTCCTCGTTTGCATTGTCCTCGTTAACTCGTGGAACACTGGCCGTTCTAAGTATCCAAACACCTTGATAGCGCTCAGGAACTCGTCTAGGTAGTTTGAAAGACCCCGCTTTGAGTCACCTTCCTGTGTATCTGGGAAGACCTCGACCTGTGGTTCTTCGCGTTGTGGTTCGGCGGGTAGTCGAGCATACATAGTCAGGAATCGGTATCTCACAAAGTAGCTGATGGTCGACACCAGTAATATGATGATGAGCATTCTATATTAATTAGCGAAAGCTGAGGATTCTCAGTCTAGGAAGCATACAGCGTGGTGAAGTTCAGGGTCAAGGTCAAGCTCATGGAGAACAGGGTGAATAGCCATGTTGGGAGAGTGATTGTGGTGAAGGTAATGATCCAGTAGAGAATGCTAGGGATTACTCTCAGAATAGAGAGAATCACGCGCCCCAGGAGGCCCATAGCAGAGGAAGGAGCTACTTCAGCGGTTTTCAGGGCGGCCGGGAGCGAAGTGGCAGGAATAGTGGCGGCGGAGAAGCTCGGTATAGAGGAGACCATGTCGACCAGCGTCTCCGAAGTCGCCATTGTGTGGGTTTGCGGTCCCGTGGACTTCACGAACACGTGAGAATCAAGGCGGCTGGTGTCCCTGGGGGTGGGCAGGTTCCTGCAGATAACAGAGTCGCATCGGGCGCATGGCTGGCTGCATCGACGACTTGGAAGAGCGCAAGCAGCCCACTGACAAAGGTCCGAATGGACGACTTGGGATACGGCCCGTGCGTGAACAGCTGTGAGCTTTCTTGCGGGAGTGGTGAACGACGACACTTCCAGTGCTGGTTATTATTAGTTATGTACAGCAGATTAGACTCGCGCGGGCAGTGTAGATAGAGCTTTGGAGCACTCCGTACCTACCTCGTACCCTGCGACTTTGTTCCGTAGAGCTGTGGCTGGGCTTGTGCATGCCAAGCAGTCTGCACAAGTCAAAGTCCCACTTCCTCGCGCCTCGCAGCACTCTTCACTTTCACGCGTCGCATTCGCAGCCGACGACCCCCACACCCGCGGCCCGCCATGCCAGCCTTCAAGGATGACCAAATCATTGTAAGCCACGCTGTCCTTCAATTGAGATGTGGCATGACCTTCCGCTAACCCGTCAAGATCATTGCGCCTGGATCGGAATCCACAGTCGCGCAGCTAGGCCTCCCTGAATCCTTCACCCCGCCTCGCCTGCGCGTCAGGTCGCGCATGTTTCCTGCCGAAAAAGAGGGGGAATGGGAGCCTTACAAGGTGCGAAGGCGGGCGGTGGCCAACAAGGTGGAGAAGCCAGCGCTGCCGCAAGAGGAGCAAGATGAAATCAACGACATGAAGAAGTCGCTGGGGGAGCCTGACGACGACGAGGTTCTCTACGAAGAGGACCCAGTGTCCGAGGAGGGCGCTGTGTGGCCAATATCAGAGGGGAGAATCGTCAATTGGCCATGCTTCTTCGCCCTAATGACCCATGTCTACAATACGCTCAACCCGCCTTTTCACACGCCTATTCTCCTCATAGCACAACCAGCCTGGACCCCACGAGAGCACGAGAAGCTCACCCAGTTCTTCTTTGAAAAGTTTAAGACTCCTGCGTTTGGTCTGATGGACTCTGCGGTAGCGACGAGTTGGGCATATGGGGTGCATACATCCACTGTGATTGACGTCGGGCGAGACAAGGTTGATGTCACTGTCATAAGCGAGTTCATCCCTCACACTACGGGCAGAGTGGTGGCACTTCCAGGGTGTGGAGGCGAAGGCATGACCCAACAACTCTTGAGCCTCTTCAAATCCAAGGACAAAGGCTTCACACGGGAGATGTGCGAGCAGCTCAAGAGAAACCCCATTTGCGAGATACTTCCCATAGGCACTCCCTTACCAGGGACCACCGATATGAGCTCGTCTGAGACCATCACAAATCCGGCTGCCGCAGCCTCTACAGGAGCAACTGGATCAGGCCCAGGGCCTGCAGCTGCAATCGGCACTGCTCCACGAGGTCCTGGTCTCGATACCGAGGTGGGTGACGAGGCGAATGGCGATGATGACAATGAAGGGGTCCTTGACGTGGCTAGCATCGTCGCAGGGGGTAAAATGGAGGAATATCTAGCGCGCAAAGAAAGGGAAAAGCAAGAGAAACTTGCCGCCAAGAAGAAAGGCGCAGAAGCCCCTCAAGCACAGTCGAAACCCACACGGCTGCCGAATGCGAAACGAGAAAAGGCCACTTTCATGTACGAGGACCATCATTTGCTAGACACGCTCAAGGGGATGAATTTGGGTACCAAAGGTATGGCGGATGCCCAAGCTGCGTTGGATGAGGGCCCGTCAAAGAAGACAGATAGCGGCGAAGCGGCAGAAGAGCTAAGATCGGCCATAGAGCTCAATGGTGATGCGGCATCGTTGTTGACGAGCTCAAACACAGGTCCCATTCGAAGAGAGATCGAAGTCGGCAATGAGCGATTCCAGGCAGCAAGCGGCGGCGTTCTTGAGAAGATTGCAGACGCCATACATCGAGCGATATCTTCTATCGAAGAAGTGAATAAGCGGAGTGAGCTTTGGGATTCTCTCATCATCTGTGGAAACGGTTCCAAGATAAGAGGTATGTTCTGCCTTGTCCCTCCATAAACAGCTACTTACGCCTTACAGGCTTCAAAGACGCTCTAATGTCTACCTTGTCCACAAAGTATCTCATCTCACCCTCCAGTGCCACGATTTTTACATCCGAGCTCCCTTCAAACATCTCCACCCCTGCAGGCACGGGTGCAAATACTCCTCAGCCCCAACTCGGCCCCCACGGATCCTCAAGCCAAGTCAACCCTCTCCTGCTAGCAGCTACCACTGCGCAGAACCCACATCTCAACCCAGGCATGGCAATGCCTTCGATGCACAACAGCCACTCTGGCCATGGCCAGACGCCAACCAGTATCCGGACCGTGAAACCACCAGAGTATTTCCCCGAGTGGAAAGACTTTGGCTATGACGAAGCAGCCTTCTTGGGCGCACAGGTCGGCGCCAAGGTGCTTTTCATCGTCGATCAGGGGCAAAGCAAGGGCTATATGACCCGACCGGATTACAACGAGCAGGGGCCTACTGGCATCCACGAATATAGCTTATAAGCTGGATCAGTTCTTGAGTGAAAATGACTGGCTGCTTCTTAGTTGGAGTTTTGGAGCCTGTCTGGCTGGCGTCTGGATGACAGCTTGGTGGTCAGATTCGTTTAGACGATGCTACTGCTGAGGGAGAGTATCAATGAAAAGCCCGTGGCCTTACGTAATGATATAACTAGCTTCTCCGTCTGTATGTGCTCCGTGGAAGACCCTCACACCCCTGTGTGTGATCGAGTCTTCACGGTGATGTAAATCACCTTCTTCAACTGGCGAGCTTAATACTTGTTCAAACCAACCCGACCACGAAACGCGCCCTACTAGTCAATACTACTTCTTCCAGAAACGCTAGGAGGCCGTAACAGCCGCAAAAAGGTTAGATCTCTGTCCCAGCACCTCGGAGCCTGCCGTCTGCCGGAAACCGGTCCGTGTCGACTTGCCCGATGCGCTTAACGCCCACAGATCTGATTCGCTAAGCACGCGGCGGCGTTGCTTTTACCAACTTCAACCACACTTGATAAAGAACCACCATGTCCCTGATCTGAATCTAACATCTATGCTTTCTCCTTATCCTTGACGACGATCTTGTTGCTTGGGCTCCCAGAACCAGAAATATTTTATGAGAATACGATCTGTTATTTTTCACTTCTCGCTGTGGAACCAGTTGACGACGGCGGACGGCTTGTCGTACACACAATTCCTTATCAATATCTAGCCCTCAACTTTCATATTTCAGCTATCTTGATACCCTATCTTCAACTCACATATCTCTCTTCTTCTACCGTTCTTTCTGGTCGTCATGGCTCCGTCTCTCGAGAAAACCATCTACATTGGCCCATTTGTGCACAGCAAGAGTCTCGCTGAGCTGGAGATCTGCACAAAGGGTGCGATCGGCGTGGACGAGAAGGGCGTTATAGCATTCGTCGAACGGGACGATGTCGAGGGCGTCAGCAAGAAGGAGGGTTGGGAGAGTGCAAAAGTGGTAGAGGTGAAGGACAACGGATTTTTCTTCCCGGGATTTATAGGTAAGGTTTTACATCTCATACTCCATCTTTACGGACGTCATCTCCACTCTCTATATGCCTCTCCATATCCACCCCTCGACACATGAGACCACCAAACCCATCCCCTCAACCATCCCAAACACCCCCCTAACACACCCAGACACCCACATCCACGCCTCCCAATACCCCAACGCCGGCATCTTTGGCAAATCCACCCTCCTCGACTGGCTCAACACCTACACCTTCCCCCTCGAATCCTCCCTCTCCGCCCTACCCCGCGCGACCACCGTCTACACGCGCGCCGTCTCCCGCACCCTCTCCCACGGCACCACCACAGCCGCCTACTACGCCACCGTCCACGTGCCCGCCACCAACCTCCTCGCCGACATCTGCCTCGCCAAAGGCCAGCGCGCTCTCATCGGCCGCGTCTGCATGAACTCCACCCTCAGCCCGGACTACTACCGCGACGCCAGCGTCGCCGCCGCCATCGCCGCGTCCCGCGAATGCGTCGAGTACTGCCGCCGCATCGACCCCTCGGGCGAGCTCGTGGCGCCCATCATCACGCCACGCTTCGCGCCGTCGTGCACGGAAGAGTGCCTGCACGCCCTCGGCGCGCTGCAGAAAGAGACCGGCGCCTACGCCCAAACCCACATCTCGGAGAACGCGCCCGAGATCGCGTTGGTCAACGAGCTCTTCCCGACCCACAAGGGCTACGCGGACGTCTACGACAAAGCCGGGCTGCTGAACCCCAAGATGATCCTCGCGCACGCGGTGCACCTGACTGCGAAGGAGAAGGAGCTGGTGGCGGCGAGGGATGCGAAGATCTCGCATTGCCCCGCTAGCAATACCGCGCTGACGTCTGGCTGTGCGCCTGTGCGCGACCTGCTCGACCGCGGCATCACCGTCGGCCTGGGCACGGATGTGTCGGGGGGTTTCTCGCCGAGCATTCTGGAGATGGCGCGGCAGGCGATTTGGGTCAGTCGGCATGTGGCGATGCATGAGGGGGACCATGCCAAGCTCTCGGTCGAGGAAGTGCTGTACCTCGCGACGCGGGGCGGGGCGAAGGTGGTGGGGCTGGAGGAGAAGGTGGGCGCGTTTGAGGTGGGGATGGAGTGGGATGCGCAGATGGTGGCGTTGGAGAGCGTGCCCGAGGGCGGGGAGAGGCATGAGGATGGGTTTGTGGAGGGGGTGGATGTGTTTGGATGGGAGGCGTGGGAGGATCGCGTCGCGAAATGGTTGTTTGGGGGTGATGATAGATGTACGGTTGCGGTTTGGGTGAGGGGCAGGTTGGTACACTCGACGGGGAGGTATAGGGGGTAGAGTGAGGTCGGGAGTGCGGTGGTATGTTAGAGTTGGATACCTAGGTTTTGTGTTTATGTAGGCGTTTCATAGATGCTAGACGCGTTGGTTTCGACTTTATGGTGCTAATGGGCATATTCTCTAGAGTATAGCCAGTTGCATCCATTTCAAATGCAATAACTCTTAACTACCAGTCTAAATCCGTTGAGTCTTGGGGCTTCAAAGTTTTTCAAGCAGCAAGACGGCCCCCTGAGAGTATTTTGAGCGGATTCTGATTTAGGGACAACGTCGAAAGCGATGCGATTTGTGTCTAAAACCAGGAACGTAACATCTACGATCTGAGAATCGGGCGCGAAACTGATAGGGGCTGGAAGGTTGAAGGTTGGCCGAAGGGTGCTTCGATTGGGGGGAGGCTGGTGATGGCAGTTGGTGAGGCCAGTCTGATTCTTGCCCTGATTCCACCCTGATTCCCGACTGTTTCCAAATCTCTTTCTCTGAACAGTGTTGGTTCACTTCAACGTTGAGGGGCGAAATATGGTTGAATCTGAGTATTTATTCTGTGATGTGCCTCTTTAAAGGAAATCCTGCCGCTGTAAAGACTCCCATCCGACAGCCTCTCCTTCAAGCCAACAAGGCTGGAGAAATTACGGCTTCATGCACGCCTATTCACTCCTCCCGCCCAAAATCACTCCGGCCACACCCTTATTCCTGCCCGCCCTTGCTCTCGTATGCTTATGCTCTTGTCGTGTCGTCGCTATGAAGGTTGATCGTTTATTTAGGCGGCTGGGTAGACCAGTCTGAACACATCGTTGAAGACGTAGAAAGTGCCGGCTTCGGGGCGAAGCTGGAAAGTCTGCGTGAAGCTCATCGGTCGCTCCGATCCCTCGACCTAGTCACAGTTAGATATCGCCCCGGTATTTCAGCTTGTGCCTCTTGTATTCGCGTACCAGTAATGCGCCTGTGACTAAGACTAGGATACCACCTTCTTCGCTAGAGGGTTGCGCATCCAGGGTGTCGGTGCGATGTTGGACTGATGTGAAGGGAAGGCTCTGTTGTTCGCGTTAGATTATGCAGCGTGGGTCGGCGCGTACGAGGGAGGAATATGTACTTGGAGTTTCTCGAGGATTGCGTCTGCACCTTGCGCTGGGGTGCCCTCGAAGGTGAGCATGGATTGATGGCGCTGTAAAACACTTGTCAATATGTGAGAGTAAGGCCATGCGTATTGTTAGAAACATACGTAGAGAGCCCCGAGATTTCCTCGGTTGGTATCGAACTGCTCATAGTAGAACTTGACGAATTGCTCTAGAACTGGATGTCAGACTTGGCGCGATATTGTACAACCACAATAGTAGGTCCGCTGAATAGAGGTGTGCGTGTCGAGACAACTGGGGAAATCACTTACGAGCAATGTTCGCGAAGTCCACTGTATATCTGATTAGCTATTGCGCGATGAGGGGTCGTCCAGAGCGCGAATCCGGCGTAAACACACCTGCTCCAGCCATGGCGAGTGTCGAGGAGTTGAGACTTGGGGAGGTAGGTGGTGGATGGCACTGGTAAGGGGGAGGAGCCGGCTACAAACACAGGCACAGGCAGATGTGGCAGACGCAGAATGGTGTTGGAGCTTCTCCTGCGGCCTGGTGGGGTTTTGAAGATGCCGCTAAAATTGATCGGAGTCCTTGGCATTTATAGGCAGAAATTCAAATTTCGGCTCGCCTTCTCTCGACATCAGCGCCTCTGTGAATCGCGCTTCCTCCAAATGCGTTAACACTCAGCATACAGTATCACTATTAAAGGTCAGTCACCTTGTCTTACATAGCCTGTCCCATTCAAATGATGATTACCTTCTTCTTCTATTTGTCCTAGATCATCGATGACGATCAAACACAACAAGCTCAACAGTCTGATACGAACTATGTCACCGAAATTCATGCATCTTGCCTTTTCTGATGTGTAACTGACAATTCAATTGTAGAATATATATCTTTCCCAGGCATCTGTCCCACCTAAGACTCGAATGATATCTCAAACATATTTTGCTCTAAGCAATACCTCTCGCAGCTATCAGGTGGCGGTATAAGTCAAAACCAGGGACACCGCGTCATGGCATGAAAGTCATGCCAGATTCATAGATGGCTGCTTGCGCAAATACAATCTGTTACTCGACCTAGAGTCACCGCCCCAAACTCGCAACCCAATGTTGGAATCATGGTCTTGGCTGCTGCTCACAAGCTCGTAACAGTGAACGCAACTTAAGGCAGAGGTATCATTCTCAACATGGTAATTCTAACTGCCGTCTAGAATCTAGGACACAAAGTCTATGAACACAACTTCCGCACCTGATCAAACTCCCTTGCCTCCAAAATACTCTACAGACCAACCGACTGCAACGACTTGACACAATCCACAATCGACTGCTCCAACGGGATGTACTTCAGACCCAACACCTCGATCGACCTCGAATTATCCGCTGTGAATGGCCCAGCCTCACCATAATCACCGCCCGGCGTGCTTTCTGTGGGCAGGTCTTTGTACTGCGGGAAATGCTTCCTTATGATTTGGCAGATTTGCTTGTTGTTGTAGGTGCCCTGGGTAGTGAAGAAACGCTTTCCAACAGCCTCTGGTTTTTCGAATGCCGCGACGTGAGCTTTCGCGACGTCTCGAACATCAACCCATAGGGTAACACCGCTATCGGGTATCTCGTCCTTGAACTTGCCTAGCGCGGCGTCTCGTATGCGTTGGTTGGACGTATTTAGGTTGTCAAGATCCTGAAGTTGATGGATCTAGAGAAATTAGCAATTGTGCTGATGTGGAGAGTTTGAGAGGACCATACAATCGGTCCGAACACCATTGGCGGGTTCACAGTCGATAGAGTGAAGCCTGGCTTCTCGTCCTCGACGTATTTCCAGGCCGCCTTCTCTGCGAACGTCTTGCTTGCTCGATATCCCAATGAGACGCTGCCCTTGATATCATCCAAGGTCATTGGGTTCCAATCAGCCTCAGAGTATGTATGTCCCGGCCATGCCATCTTCTCTGGGTTTATTATAGCTGCGAAGGAGGATGTTATGACGACATGCTTGATCGTGGGAGCGTTCTTTTTGATCGCGCGTAGGATTCCCGTCGTACCGATGACCGCAGGATCAATGAGTTGCTAAAGCCCATCAGCTTGCGCTTGTAATTTCGTTTCACTGCACATACCTTTTGAATGTCGGTGACGTTGAAGTGGAACGGACTCGCTGTGTGGAGGACTACTTCAAATGGAGGCGTGGATACGACGGCTTCGTCGAATGCGCCTTCGACCGCGATATCGGGGACTATGGCAAAGTCTAGCTTGTCTTTTCCTACGTCTGGGTAGATCTTCTTGATCCTGTCGATTTTGTCCTGACTCCGGACTGTGGTGACGACGGAGTGGCTAGGCTGTCAGCGGATTGAAGAAGCACTGTCTTGAATTGCTCTTACCCATTCTTCAGTAGCACGTCGAGCGTGTGGGCAGCAATGAAGCCGCTTCCGCCTGTGAGCAATACACGAGTCATTATCCTTTGGTTTTCTTGTATAATTAGTTTCTGAGAAGTTGAGAAACAACCCAAATGTTCAGAAGGAAGATATTTCTGTTAAGACTTGACTTCTAGGGATACTGCTGGTATTTATGCCAACGAGCTTTCACCCCGCAGTGGGGCATGGCGGGCATTTATCCTAGAATGGCGCGTAAATATCCGGCATGTGTTCAAGGCACACCGCGGAAATAACCCGGGAGCTTATGTCAAGTCGTAATAACGAATATCTACACTTTAAGTCCGTGTCTGAGTAGAAAGTAGGTAATGTTAAGGAGTTTATTTACCTCCGTCACTCTATTGCCGATCTTGCAAGCGTATGGAACGGTTTATTGCCGATCAAAAGCCGACAAAGCAATGCAGATAAGCAAATTAGTTCGTTTGAGTTGCTGATTTGAACCTTTCGAGATAAACAATCTTGTGCAACTCCTACCACAGGTAGTTAGTGGGGGTAGAATATCCGAGAACTCTTGAGGCAAAATCCGAAGATAGCCATTGAACTTTTAGAATCGATTGCGCATACCTACTTCGTAGGGTCTCCGAGCTTTTGGCCTATACATCGAACTTCGGCACTACTAATGTTTACTAACAATGTCACACTGCTCGTCAGCATAAACGTCCTGATCAGGATCCGGGAATCGCCAATCGTCCCGGTGGTGTGGTCACGATACTTCTGCCAATCACATTCATCGATCGAAATGGTACGGCATAGAAGAATGCATGTCAGCAGCACCGCCGTACGACACATCAACAAGAGCCGAGAAGCAACTTTTATAGACGTCTAGAATGCAAGCAAATGTGGTTGATGAATGAAAAAAGGTCCACTAAGCCCTAATAGGATAAGTCAGGGGCCCTGTACCATGGTTTCAAAGGCCCGTTCCTTATCCTCACGACCTCTCGTTATCCGACACCTGTTCTCCAAAGCTCTCCGTTCCTCGAGCAGTGCACTGTCTTACAGACTACTCCAATATCTTCTGAAGCCCCCCTAGAGTTCTCTTGAGCTCAACTAGGTCCTGAAGCATGAACGGTGTCGCCGTTCCGCGGGATCATCAATCCCAAGCTCCGTAGGCTCATCTGTCTCAATGTTCAATGGCCATAATGCTAACGATCCGCTCTTAGCAGACGAAATCCTGCTCAGCGGTGCCACGAATGTCGAAGAGACTTCCGCCATGAGAGACACCTGAGGCAGCATCTAGAGAACTCCCCCCGGCATCAATCCCAACCTATACCTATACACGATCACGACGCCAACGAACAGACCGACCCCGCACCTCTCGGAGACTCGGACGATTTCACAAAGATATACTCATGCACCAGGTGCAATGCAGTATTGACAGAGCCAGAATTCCGGGCTCATAGCTGCTCGGGTTCTGATTTGGATGACGACGTCAATTGGAACTTGAATGAGATGAGGCGTGATTGTCCAGAGTGTAATGAGGTTTTCCCCGACTTGCTCGACTTCATAGACCATATGGGATCGCGAGCATGCGAGAATATCTGCAATGGATGTTCTCATCATATTCCAAAAGTGGAGTGGAAGAAACATTGTCGCAAGAATCACGCTTGCTTCCATTGCCATTCTCACCATGATTCGCGCAAGCTATTGCTCAAGCACGTCCGGACTTGTAATAAGCGTACAATTGTCGATGCAGATGTTGCAAGGATAAGCAATATTCTCGAAGAAACCGTCCTCGAAAACCGGGAGGGACGGGATTTTGTGTGTCCCCATTGCTTAGAGATTCATATGAATAAGACCAATCTTCAACAGGTACGTGGCTTCCATTCCCACGAGAATGTTCATTTGTGAAAATAACACGTGATTTTCAGCATATCCTCACGCATTTACCCGTTGATGAGAAATGCTGGGGATGCGAGCGACTTTTCAGCACGATACCAGGAATCATCATACATCTGGAGTCCGGAGCCTGTCCGTCGGCTACCTGCAAAGAAGAACTGAACGGGTGGGCTGCTGAGGTGTTCCAGTGGCGAAACTTCATCGAGAAAGACTGGGTGAGACGTCTTCGAAACCGCGTCCCCGTTGCCCCAGGAGACCGACCATTCTACTGCGGCGGTTGCGACACCACGTTCAGCAGCCTCAGTGCGCTGTTTCAGCATTGTGCGAATGGCTCCTGTAGCCAGGGAATATCAGAAGGGCCATTGGAAAGGCTGTCGCATTGGCTCGTAACTCGGTTGAAGCAGTGTCAAAAAGACAGCAGCGAAACATAAAAATAGATCTAAATAACATTTAGAGCTTTCGCCGATTTTAGACACGCTTATTTCGTCACTTGAAGTGCTTTGATAGAGTTAGAAAAAGAATTGCAATATATGTAAGTCTTTCATCTTAGCTGGATGCTGACCTTGCCGGGGCACCCTAAACATTGCCCTCCCGCTGGTAAAAGGAATGTACAGTGTGGTGAAGTGAAGTATTCCGCTCGATTAGTTCCCCAGTGAAATACTTTGGAGTGACGCACTGAGTAAGGGTATATATATGGTGTAATTCTTGTAACCTCTAACTAATTCGAGCAGCAGGCCGGTCGGGCGCAGTGGTAATTGCCCTGCGCAAAACAGGTGTCCCCTTCCGGGACACCGCCCCCCAACGACAACCTGCAGGGACTGTGAGTTCAAATCCAGCCCTTGTCAGGAATTGATATCATGGCTATTTCCCGAAGAATCGTCTGAAAAGCCGCAGCGAGGAAATGTTAAGTCCATCATCACGGAGAAACGCCCGGGTTTCTACACTCTCCCCCGAGGAGGGAGGTGTTTTGCTCCTTGAATCGTTTTTTGCTCCACCTTATCTTAATACCGTGACGTAGATCTGTGTCCATCTACCTACTCGAGTTACCACCGCCCAAATTGGCTCTGCAAGGTACAGTGACAGGTCATAGGAATCCGTACACTCGTTTACCGCTGCATGAGGGGCCTCGTAGTGTTTTCAGCCTTCTGAGTGAGAGCGAAGCTCGCATTTTGGACAACTAGTAAAGTCGCGAGGCTACCCCAGACAGCGCCAACATGGTGTACACAGATAGGAAGTGTATTTGCTGCCTCCGGTTTCTGCTAGTAAGTCGGAGCCCCACAGACAACCGCAGGAAAGTGTACGGATATCTATGGCAAGGCACTGTATTAGGCCTGTGAAGATGAAAACGGGCTTTTTCCGTCTTCAAATCGCTTGCCATTCCTCCGAGAAACACTTGTGCTTCCGGCCGCATCGGGACAGCATCAATGAATTCATGTCCTTGTTCTGAATGCTCTCCCGGCCCTCTCAGAATGACCATGGTATATCCATACTCTTAACACATGCTCAGCACCGTCTGAGGTGCCCCGGGCCACCTGAGACGGTTCCAGGCAGCAGTCCTGTTGAAAAGACGACAACGCGCGATGGTCGAGGGCGACAACAGCCTACTCGTCACCGTCTGCGGTGTCCTCGTGAGGTTACTATCTCATCAAAATGGTGAGATTCAATTTAGCATCAAAATCTGAATCTGCCATGAGACATCATAAGCTGTGGCAGACCAGTGGCTTTCTGGCCGTCAACCGCGGCTATCGCGTTTCCTTTCGCTCAAGCCGGCCATCTCGTCTCCGAGTCTAAGTCTACCTCACCTCCTTCTGTCGCACTCTTCAAGACCAAGCTCACCTCTTCCGCTCACCTTCCCAAACCCAAACTCCCCTCCTCTACTCACCTCCATCGTGAAGCCTCTTTGCAGTGACGCCCGTTGCTGCGTCAGCTCGCCTCGTCCGCTGACTTCGACTCGTCGCATGAATTAGTCTCATTTGGCCTGGCCTGGGAGCAAAAATGACAAAACGGTAAGCACTCGAACAAATCCTCTACTGTAAGCCCCACTGACGGCATCAACCAGACACTGGTGCCGGCGCTGCGATAGAGGATTCGTCGACCTTGCCGCCATATCTCAACACCAACAGAATTCGGGCCGGCACAACATTTGCAACAAATGCTATTACGATGCGGAGGACTGGGAGGCACTCTTGAATCACTATCGGCGTCGGAGATGCTACGAAGTATGCGATGCCTGCAACATCGCCATCATCCCCGGACAGATGCGGCAGCATCTGAAGGACGAGTTTGCCTGCTTCACATGTAAGAAGCATTGCGGGAACGAGCACAACCTCGAGCAGGTGAGCAAAAGGCCACCACCTTAAGATAATTGCGTCGCGATACGTGTCCTAATTCTCTTCTAGCACAAAATCGTTCACGCGTCTGCCGACCACGAATGTTGGGCCTGTCCCCGGCAATTTCGAAGTCTGCCAGCAATGATACTACATCTAGAGGAAGGAAATTGCGAATCCGGTCTCAGTCACCTAGACCTCAACGAGTCTACAGCGATGAGTCGACAGTGGCCACTGATCATCGTACACGAGTGGCGTGATATTCTTCTTGCGCGACAGGACTTGAGCCAATATCGAGGAATGGCCTTCGTTTGCCCAGGTTGCGAGTTGACGTTCCGAAAACTCAGCGCCTTCTTTCAGCACGTTGCAAGTACATCCAAGTACGGCTGTGATGAATACCTCGACTCGAACGCCACCCGGAAGCTCACGGTGTTCCTCAAGAATCGCCATTACTCGACGTTAACGTGAGGAATTGGGTACATCCAGACAGTTCGAGGTTCAGAGACGGAGGGGAGAAGTCGAAAGTTTTGATCGAGCGAGCTTCATGCTGTGTAGACCGTTGTGTCTATCAGTCACATGTACGAACATGTAGGTTGGAGTGGTGACCAAGGGATCAGACTGAGCTTTGGCGTGGATGAGTTGATGAACAAAGTCGTTGATGACGACGTCTGAGAGATTCTACTGAGTTTGTCGATTGCTCACAATTGGAGACTCACGATTTCTCGAAATGGGTTGATACATTTCATGGTGTACTAGAGCTTATGAAGGCCCGAGTTCCACTCCCTACACCCCTTAACCCGTCGTGGCGCAGCGCTCGGACTTAGGATCAGGCTCCGTTGAACATAAAGTGACAGTGTGACACCGTTTGAGATGGCCCGCGAAGCTATTAGCCTTGTCAACATTTTCCTTTTCCGATATCTCATAACGTACTAGAGGACCTCAAGCGGTATTAGGCAAGTGTACAAAAAGCAAAGAGGGAGTGTATTGCTCAAGTAATTCGCTCCAGTTCCTATCCCTCGAAGCTTTCTATTGGTTGCATCCTTCTCGATATCGTAGAGCCAAGTACGACGGGTTAAGGGATACTTTTCAAAAACCGTTCTCTCTATACATGCCTTCAATCAACTCATGCGTTTTCAAGGCATACTCAAAGTCCGGATACCACACCCTCTTCTCGTTCTTCTCATCCACCCCAGCAGCAAACGCCTCATAAAGCCTCGCAATATTCCTCGCCGCCTCCGGTAGATGCCCAAAGTCATCCGTCCCAAGGTCCACCTCAACCACCGCGCCGTCCTCAGCTTTGCAAATCTCGACCTTGAAATCATTGCTGCCGATATTCGGAAAGATCGAGTCGTAGCTCGTTACGCGGACCTCCGCCTTGGAGCCAAAGATGCGCCAGTCGAACACAGGCAACCGGCTCTTATCTTTTCGCGGCGTTGCGCCAGGCGGGATGCCAGCGGCATCGTGTTGCTTGTAAGTAAGCACAGCGCCGGACTTCAGGATCGCGTCGAAGACGACCTGGTTGGGGACGGTGTTCTTGCGGCCTTTCTCAATCACTTCTCTAGTTGCGGGGTCGACGACGTCAACTTCTGGGTACTGGTTGACGAGGAGGGAGTGGTGGGTTGATATCTCGCCCAGCACAGCCTTGAGACACTCCAGCACATGCCCAAAGTCAATGGTGAACGGATTCCCTCCGGTCTTCTTATCTACGAAGTAGTCGATGAAACTGGGGATGGTGGGGCCGACGTAGTTGAGAGTCGTGATGGTGGTGCTACTGGTCACCCGCCCGAGCTCGCCGCCGTCGATCAAAGCCTTGATTTTCGTGGCTATGGGAGAGAAGGAGCCCTGGATGCCCACTACGTTCCTGACGTTGTGGGCTTTAGCCAAGTCGGTGAGTTCTTTGGCTATGGAGTAGTTTGCTTCGACCGGCCACTCAACGTAGACATCTTTGCCAGCCTTGATGCTAGGGATGAGGGAGCCGGCGTGGCGATCGACACGGATGCTGCTTACGACCAGGTCGATGTTGGGGTCGTTGGCGACCTCTAGTTTATGTCTTTAGTGTCTTATTATACAGCGAGGCGAGAGATTAAGAATTATATACCCTCAGGGGTCCCGTAAGCTTTCACCTTTTTGGGATCCAGACCATGCGCTTTTATCGATTTCGCGGCTCGCTCAGCCGAACTGTTCTGCAGAGCGACCAGCTCATATTTCGAGGAGTCTCGGAGATATGGCAGATGAGCATTCGCCGTCCAGTTCACGCCCGTTGGAGTGCCAGCGTATGGAGCATTGAGGCCTATGAGGGCCACGCGGATCTTTGGAGACGAAGCCATCTTGAAATCTAGAATGGATGAGCCTCGTTGTGTTCTATGATTAAGCCCTTTATATATGAAAGCATTTCCTCAAACATAACGCTTATAAATCTAACTGATCAGCGGATGAGATGGGGAGATGGTGAATTGCCTAGACTGGCATTTTGGGCAGTACGCCTTACCAATTGAAAGACGTGATTTGGTGGTGAGATTCCTCGCCCTCTCGCCCTCTCAAAGAAATTTCAATCTGGCTAAACGTCAAGAAATGGTTTATGAATCTTGAAACTCCGCGGCAATAGTTGCAGAGCGAACATCAGTACTCATTTACAGAAGGGCGTAATTTGGAGTGCCCAACTACACAGCGATACTCTATAAGGGAACAGAAGGAGTGATCTTCGGACTAGCCATATCCGGACTAGATCATATTTGCCCATCTAAATATACCTACTTTTGTAGGGTAGGTACGTATAAATCAGAATTATGAACTCATGTCTTACTTTTCTGAAAACACTGCTGTGGTTCAAGACCTCAAGACAAAGAGTTGAAATAAGCTCCAAAAAGCAAGCTTTAAGACAAATCGTGGTGAAAGAACGGAGCAAGCGCTTCCAGGCTATATACTCTGTGATCTAGTCCCTGTAAAAGGATGCGTGGTTCCTAGGTCAATTGACGTATGAAGGGAAAAATTGCGTGGTTGAAAGAAAAGTCCAGAGCATCTTCATCCAAAGATAAATACCCGCTTTTAGTGGCGGACCAGTGGTTTAATTCGCCAAGAACCCTGCCGAGGGTGACAGAAAAAGGCTACTTTTGTGCGGGGAAAGGCATTCCTCAATTCCTCTACAACACCATTCCTATCATCCTGTGCGGAGTCTAGATCGGTTGTATGTGCTCTTTCTTCCATCGGACCTGGGGCAGGAACACCTCCGCGCCGAGAAAGTGTGAACGATCACCCCCAAATCAGGGGATCTCTTGTTGACTTTGGTATCGCCCCTGAACGCGCGACGCGAACTCGTTCGCCGCCACGGTTCGATCTTCACCATGGGCTGTTATGGAGACCCCATCGAATGCTCCTACTATGACGAGTAAGTGCTCAGTATGACCTCAAGCTCAACGATGTAACCTAATTAAGTTCGTTAGATATAGCTGCAATCGGTGTAACAGAGAATTCAGAAGTGAAAATGCCGCGCGGCAACATGTGCAGAATTCTCCGAGACACCACCCTTGCGATGTCGGTAGTTGCAACTACGATGCAGATGGCCGAGAGGATCTTCTAGATCACTGGAGGCAAGAAGAATGTCGCATTGTGTGTGAAGGTTGCCAAAAGGGCATAATGCCACACTACTTCGATCAGCATTTAGCAGACGAATACGTCTGTGGTACATGCGATAGACATCATAACAGCTATAGTAACCTCGAGCATGTTAGTAGGACCCAGCAAGCTTGAATCATTGTGGGTACAACGGGAAAGCTGACGCGCAATAGCATAAGCTTGTTCATCTGCCGCTCACTCTGGAGTGCTGGGTAGGTATACAGTCTTGGTTATATATATCTTGCTGACTCGTTCCTTAGGGCTGCGAGCGGAAGTTCGCAACTATACCAGGTAAATTCCTACTGTCACCCTTAGGACGCTGTTTCTAATGATTTCTCTCACCAGCGATGATGATCCACCTCGAAAGCGGATCGTGCACCTCAGGAATCGATGAAATCGATTTGAATCAATCGGCTGCGATGTGCTTTCAGTGGAAACACTTTGTTCGCGAAGATCTGCGCGACGACCTTCTTCACCGGGTTGACCTCGATCAGGAGTATCAATTGTCCTATCCTTTCGAGTGTCCTGGATGTCACACAGGTTTCCGCTATATCAGTGGGCTGTTCATGCACGTCGCAAGCCCCTCCTGCAATGAAACGCTGGATGATTTTGCGATGGCGAAGCTTATCCGTTGGCTGAAGAATAGGCATGCTTAGAATTCAGAAGATCGGCGGATTGCCTGGAGATCAAAAAGCGTGCAAGAGAGGGAATGTGAGTTAAAGCTTGAGTATGGTTGAGCCAGCTCTGTATCTAGTATATGCGAGGTTCTGTGTAAACATTTCATTAAAGGAGGGATCAACCCAAGACGGACAGAAGACTTGTATGATGCAGTCGATCTTTAAGCTAAGTTACCGTGAGGTAGGGTTGTAAGTTTCAAACGCCCTCACACTCAACTATGGATTACCTTTCCCAGACTCCTATGCTCGCTTTACGTCTCTCAACCCGATAACCCCGATCCGGAGGAGATCCGGATTCTCCTCGAGAGCTACACGGTCGTTCTGAGCTAGCTCATTGACATCCCAGGACGTCATGACGTAACGCCCATGAAGGAAAGCTGCCTCCGGCGAGGCGGCCCAAACCGCAAAAGCACCCGGAAGATCAACTAGATTATCAAGGGAGTCAGTCTATGCATCCCTCCTTAGAAGACAGGTTTATCATGCAGCACTTACCGTCATCAAAGGGGAGCATGTCCTCGGTGATACCCGAGGAAATCCATCCATCGCCATATACCATCCCCGGGTGGTAACTGATGATCTGAGTCTTATCCTGTGGTATGCTATTGGCAAGGAGCTGAATAGCGAGGGTTCCGCTAAGCTTGGTAAGGCTATAAGCCGGACGAGCAATAACGATGGGATTCTGAAGCATGTGGATAGCCGCGGTCGTTACGTTGAGGAGGGACTAGAGTCGGCGCTGGTCAGCTAATTGTCACGAATCGTGGTAACGAGATCGAAGATACTCACTTTCTCGCTCTTGTCGTCCTGCTTGTAGAATCGCTCAGCGAATTGCAGCGGGCCCTTGACGTTGGCCTCCATCTGCGACCAAACCTCCTCTATACCAAGTTCAAAAAGCGGCTTCGTCTCACTAAACTTGGCTGCATTCAGGACAAGAACATTGACCGTTGTGCCCTGGGCCTTGAGATCATCCCAAAGAGCGTTGACCTCTGAGCTCTTAGTCATGTCGCAGCTGCGTACGATGATCTTCGTGGGAGACTTGACAGCCGTCGCCTCTCGCTCGAGTTCAGCGCCAGCTGCTTTCAGTACATCGGGCCGGCGGCCAACGATGATGACGGTGGCTGCGGACGCAAGTACGAAGTTTCGAGCAGTGGCTTTGCCGATTCCTGTACCGCCGCCGGTGATGAGGACATTCTTGCCAGCTTGGTTCAGCTCCTTGCGGGTTGGTGAGATGGCAGGATAGGGTGTTTTATGGATTGTGGGCGTGAAGTCGGTGATGGGTACTTCTAGGGCCATTTTGATATGGCTGTGGGCAAAAAAGGTTCAGAGTGCGTAGATCGGGTGGGATTCAAGGGAAGAATGAACGTAGAGCTTGAGAGTATCGGCTGATATGGAAGAAGAAGACCAAAGGACTATCTGCGAGTCTTTTATACGTTAAACACCCTCGATGAATGGTCCATGATTCAAAAATAGCCATTGTCAGCTCAACCATCCGATATGATCGCATGCTCACAAATCCAGCGGGCGCCTAAGTGCTAGAGCAGGAGCGGATGCGTGATGCCTTGGCATCCCGCCGTACGTTTGATGGTGTTTTGTCCATGTTGCGGTCTCAGGGGCCTGAATATGGAGACAGGCCAGCGGACGCTATCCCAATCAGGATAGCTCCCGCCATTGCGGGAGCGAGGGGCCGCGGACAGCGACGACTGCGCGGACATTTCGCTGACAAATGTGCAAGAGTGCACGCAAACTCCCGTGCATCAGGGCATTCACTGCGAACATGGACAGAGACCCAGATTAGATGGCTGCGGACTTGAAGGCGTGCAGCGGCTGCGCCAAAGCGAAAAGGAAGTGTGACAGGCAGACGCCCGCATGCCAGCGGTGTAGGGACAGAGGCTTCAACTGCACGTACCCGCCTCCAAAACCGAGCCACTTCGTTTTATTGGAACCGCCAACATCTCCCCTTGCCGATATCATTGTTGGGGAATGTACGAGCCTGCCAGTGCCCACTGGTGAGCTTCTGAGCGGTGGTATCAACGCAACGTTGCCGGAGCCGGTCGACCTCACAGTTTACTCTCCCCGTCGCGATGGTGCCTGGTCCTCCGTGCCCTGGTTTCTCTCGCCCGAGACATGGAGAATCGACCGTTTCCCAGTCCAGCTCACTACTGCACCTTGCAATAATGTGCTAAAGCGCCATATCAGATCGACCCAGGCCTGGCTCGAGCAGTGGGTTTCAACGGGCAGCAACCCATTCATCCACGCTCATCTGTACCTTACTCGATTCCCAAGCTGCGTTCAAATTGCCTATACCACGCTATCAGCCTACATTAACCGGACCGAAGCAAATACCGAGACAATCTTACGGATTGTGGAAGATCGGACTAATGAGCTGCTCCTAATGAACGGAGTTGCGTTTGATGATCTCGAGCAAGAAAGCAGCACTTCCTCGGGGCACCTCGAGATACTGGACCACCTCGCTCGCGTCCATGCTTTATTTGTGTACCAGACAATTAGTCTTTTCGACGGCGATATTCGGTCTCGTCACCTCGCGGAACCCCGCTGCAATCTCCTAAACCGCTGGGTCACGCAAATGGTCGACTGCGCTAGTCATAGTCTCTCGCAGCTATCCTTCGCGTTCAGCCCCCTCGACTTGATACCAAGTACTATTCCTGCACCGTTCGGTCCAAACACCGTCACGGAGAATCTGTGGCATTCGTGGATCCTGTCAGAGAGTGTACGGCGTACATGGTTGACGGCTACGGGAACGTATGCCGTGTTCCATGCGCTGCAGCAGGGCTGGACGCTTTGTCCAGGAGGCATTATGTTCACGAATAGTCAGGGGGTTTGGCAGGCCGAGACGGCTTCTGCGTGGCAAAAACTGTGCTCGCAGGGGGATGTCATGTTCATGCAAAGGTTCGATGCTGAGAGGCTTTTCAGTGACGCGAGTCCCTCAGATGTTGACGAGTTTGGGAAGAGGATGCTGGAGATAACATTTGGTCTTAAAAAGGTCGAGAGTTGGAAAGAATGAAGGCTTTCCAGTTTTCTCTTTGAAGTGGATTCGGCTTGTATCATTGATTGACGTAAAGTACCTCTCGTCATTTCTGGGATCCAATCACCTCATTTCGTAGGCGCAAACCTCGACCTCCGCCGCAACCGCTCCCCAAACCTGTAAAAGAGAAACGGCGCCGGCATACACGCCAGACAAAGAAATCCAATAAGAGTCGTAGCCCACTTGACACCCAGCGTTTTATACATTCTCGGAGCCGCAAGCGGAAGTCCAGCGGCCACCGCACTCCTGATACAGGTGTTTGCCGCTAGAGCACTCGCCGAAGACGACAGATAAATATCAATGACAAACACGATCCCATTGGAGAATATGAGCTGGATCCCCGCTCCGACGAAGAAAAGTGATATAACTTGAGGGACCCATGACACATCTTTGTCGGAGGTCCATGCTAGCCAGAAAAGCCCAGCGGGGAGGAATATGCTACCGAGCATGATAGGCGGGAGACGATCCTCTGGAAGAACGGACTTGCGCGCTAGAAATCGAGGGAGGTAGTACTTCTTCGAGTAGATGCTGAGGACTAGGCAGCCTGTCAAGATGCCGATGAGCAACGAGAGGAAAGGGAGGGACGAAATGGAGCGGGACCAGCCGCGAATCGCTACGAACGTATACGGGATTGCGAAGAAGGTAAGGTACATTGTGGCGTAGACAATAGAAATATAAATTGTCATTACCAAAAGCTGAAATGATAGGTTAGTGGATAACGAATGCAATGAAGGGTTCAACTGGTGTCGAGTAGCTTACCATCGGCTCAGTAACTAGCATTTTCATAGGCTTGCTTAGGAACTTCCGTATGAAGTCATCGAACGGGTTCTTTTTCAATTCAGTACCTAGCTCCCTGGTGCCGGCCTCGACATGGCTCTTATGGAGTTTCCTAGCCGCTTTTTCCTTCAACACAGGCGCATACGTCTCGGGCACAAGCAGGAATGCAGGTATACCGAACAGCCCGGCCATGATCAGCGTGATCCAAGCCGTCCACCTCCATCCAAGAGAGCTTTCGGTTATAAAAGACCCAATGATTGGTCCCAATGTCGGTCCAGCAAAGGCTGAGGCGCCATAGACAGCCGTTGCGGTTCCTCTTTCAGTTGGGCCCCAGAAATCCGCATACGTGGCGCTGACAATGACTATTGGTGCCGCAGAGAAGCATCCAGCGAGCCATCGACAAACAAGAATGGCGGGAAGATTGTTTGCGAGTGCGGTAGGTATCTGCATAATCGAGAACAGTAGATATCCGGTGAAAAGGGGTGGTTTGCGGCCCAGGACTTCGGATAATGGACCCCAAAGTAGTGGTCCAAGGGCAAAGCCGATTACATAAAGTGAGACACCGAGGAGGGTAATAGTCTCATTAGTATGAAACTCTATCGCGGTGACGGAAATGGAGGATGAGAAAACGGAGCTGTTAAATGTGGCCGTGAGGGTCAAATTGGCGAGCAGGACGGTGATCATCCATTTTTTCCAGACTGGGAATGCGAATGGGTCATCATACAGTATAGCCTCGGAAATGGTCACGGAGGGAGGAGAAGTTCCTGATTGTGGTTGAGCACCCTTCTCGTAATCGTCACTGGGGGTTCCCGCTTCGACGTCGTCGTACTTCTCGACCTCATCGCTTCGATCGATGTCCATGTAGCACCGGTAAGAATTGCGAGCTTGCAGAGGGTCGCTTTCAATTTTCTGTTTATCATTGGCGGGGTTGGTCTCTTTAATACTTGTAGGAGGTAGGGTATATCTGCCGAGGCGTGCTCAAAGCAGTTTAGATCTTCCCCACACGGTGCCCAGGTGTGCCGCTTCACCCGAAAGTCTGTCTCAACGACCACCATGTCAGCAGTCAGCAGTTGAAAAATGATATACAAGCCTCTGGTCAGTGACCGGGAACTGGGTGTCTCAGTACAGAGCTTGGCCTCAGTATACTAGCTACGCTTTAGCTAAATCACTACTTTGTCCGAGGAGAAGGGATCGTATCAACAGTCGTACACAGTACATCTGCATAAGCTTTAAGAAGTAACACCGAGAAACGAGCATCATGTCAGCAATCAGAATGCGTTGGTTGGTTCTTTTATCTTGTGGATGTAGGGTACGGTCAGAACATGCAGGTGGTGCCAGGGAAGTCAAATCATCAGTAATCTGAGAACGGTGACGCCAATACGTAGAACATCTCAGGAATTAAAATATCTCATAGCCCAAGTCGATGTGTGATAGAGCATATTCATCATCAAACTGCGACCTTGCAACTAAGCTTTCGGAATAATGTTTCGGAATATTCGTACACCACTGAAGAGTACGCGGTGGCATCCCCCTAAGAATCAATATGGTAGATTTCATCTTGACGGCGTCTCAATGGTAAGCTCATTGGTATTCAACTTAATAGAATGATAAAAGATGAAGGCTAAAAAACGTCTGCCTTATATTATCTTGGGGTGGTGACCCGGCTTGCCGATTTTGGGATGCCGATCTTCCCCTCGGGTGCAACTTCACTCCACCACTGCTACCACACCTCACCCCGCAATCCAAGACGAGTCATGCAACGTATGCAGTATCTTTTAAAATCAAAATCTCTCGTGAGTCAATACAGGAAGTGTGCTTTCCAAAGAAGGTCATTTCCTATTCTCCACTACTCATCAAACATTCATCGACATCGTTTCCCCCACTTCCGCTCCCTCTCATCAACTACCATCAACATGTACAATCCCAAAGTCGGCGACAGGCTAGAAAGTCTCGACACTCCCTCAATGGTCGTCGACCTTGACATAATGGAAGAAAACATTCGCAAGCTCATGGGTCTCCTAAAACCATTAGGCGTCAACATCCGACCACATCTCAAGACCACCAAGAGCCCTATCCTCGCCAAAAAGCTCATTGCAGCCGGCGCAGAAGGTGGATGCGTGGCTAAGCTTAGCGAGGCGGAGGTCATAGCCGCAGAGGGCGTCGACGACCTGCTGATCACGTGCGAGATTGTTGGACCGGCGAAGGTCGCGCGGCTAGTGCAGCTATTTCGAAAGTATCCTAAGATTCGGACTGTGGTTGATAGTGAGGAGGGAGCTACTGCTATAAATGAGGCTTGGGCGGCGTCTAGTATTGACGAGCCACTTCAGACCCTCATTGATCTGGATGTTGGCTTGGAACGCACTGGGATCGCACCAGAGTCGGCTTTAGCTCTCGCGCAGCACATCTCAACCCTCAAGCACCTGAATCTCATCGGTGTGCAAGGCTACGAAGGACATCTGCAACACGTACACGGCCGTGAAGCGCGAGAAAAGGAGTGCCGGGCCTCGATGGCGATCCTCACCAGCACAGCCAACATGCTACGGGAGAAGGGGTTTAACATCCAAGTCGTCACCACTGGTGGGACCGGCACAGCTGAGTTCTGCGCAACCACGCCCGGCATTACCGAAGTGCAGCCCGGCTCTTTCATATTCATGGACTCGGATTATCGGAACGCCGTGGGCACTTTCTTCTCGCACAGCCTCACAATCCTATCAACGGCCATCAGCAAATCCGGCTCTCAACGGCGAGTGACGATAGATGCTGGCCTTAAATCCTTGACTACGGACAGCGGTTTTGCTGAGCCGCTGGCCATGCCTGGCGTCACTTACACCCCCATGGGAGACGAGCATGGGTGGCTGAGCTGGGAAGAAGGCGGCACTGACCTACTTATTGGAGCGCGCGTGCACATGGTCCCCAGTCACATCGATCCAACCGTCAACCTGCATGACTTCTACTACGCGTACCGGAAAGGAGTCATTGAGGAGATATGGCCGGTTGCAACTCGGGGTAAAGTTCAATAGGGGGGCTCTATACTTCAATATAAAATTAGAGGGGCTCAGTCAACTCTATTGTTCCCATCTAACCACTTTGTGCGTCTAGGGAGGAAAATTACCCATATCTAATCATGCTTGAAAATCTATAAGGAGAAGAGTGTAGATTCCGCACATTAAGCACACCTTTTATACATCACCTAACCTCCCGGAACAACCACCTCCCTTCCAGGACCCTTCTTTACGCTTCTCCATTCAATGAAGCAGGTACACAAGAACGACATCGCGGTAACCGCTACCACCACCCTGTAGGTATCCTTCAACCCTGCGGTATACGCCACCAGGACGTTATGCAGCTGATCCTCCTGTCCAATGTTCTTCAACACTCCTCGAATCGCCGTCGCGCCGGTATTCACCATCAGCTTCGGCGGGAGAGTGGATGCGTGCTGCGCGAGCCCTTTGATGAATCCGTTCTGGAAGACTGATTGGCCGACTGCGATAAAGAGGGCGCCACCGAGAGACTGGAAAAACATAACTGTCACAGTTCCGATTGGTATATCCTCCATGGGCAAAACAGTCTAAAATCAGGTTAGTGCGTGATGTGAAGAATATCTTCACGGGATACTCACCTGCACCGCGACGAGCGGAACATTGAAGCCGACACCTGCACCCAGACCCGTAATGATCTGGTAGCTGAACCACTTGCCAAATACGGTATCAACCTCGAACGTCGAGATGAGCCCAGCGCCGATGGTCATCAGTGCCGCGCTGAACATGATGACTGGGGCGTAGGCGCCTACCACTTGGCAGTAGACTCCGGCAAGGATGGAGGTCAAGACGGCGGCGAGCATGAGCGGGAGGATCTGGATGCCGGATTTGGTTGGCGAGGAGCCCTTGACAGCTTGGAGATAGAGCGGCAGATAATACATCAGCACGAAGATGCCACCTCCGAAGAAGAAGACGAAGCCGGCGGCTGAGGCGACGGTGCGCTGCTTAAGGATACGTGGTGGAATTGTGGCTTTGTCGCCGAGGTAGATCTGCGATGCAACGAACATGATGAGCATGATGCCTGCGCCGACGAAGAGACCGATGATGTGCGAGCTGTTCCAGGGGTAGGTGTTGCCGCCCCATTGGACGGCAAGGAGGAGCATGATAATGGCCGGGATAAGGATCGAGGCGCCGATGAGGTCGAGCTCCTTGATGCGGTCAATGTACTTCTTGCTGGAGTCTTCTGGATTCCGAGGGAGATGGAGCACGAAGAGGACGACTACTACGGAGAAGGCCCCAATAGGGAGGCTTTTTTGAGTTAGTGATGGATCAGAGTTGAGCGCGCTCGGTTGACATACTTAATGTAGAAACACCATCTCCAGGAGACATGTTGAGTAAAGACGCCTCCCAACAGTGGACCAGCTATTGAAGCCAATCCCCACATGGCTCCGAAAGCACCGAAGACCATGGGCCTTTGATGTAGAGGGACTATCCCAAATCGGTCAGACTACGCCCGGAAAAGGTCCAATGGACAGATATGTTACTTACGACAATGCGCGATAATCACCAGACCTCCCGAGAAGATACCTCCAACTCCCATACCAGCAATGGCCCTTCCCACAATGAGCGCAGTGCTCGATGGCGCGACAGCACAGATAAGAGATCCAAGTTCAAAGACGCCAATGGCTATCAAGAAGACGATTTTTATCTGAAGAAATTCGATCATGTCAGTATGGATGGGCATGAAAGGTCGAATTGATCGAGTAGGTACAAACATTAAAAACTTTGTATATCCGACCAAAACTTGGCTGCAGAGACGTGCTCGTCAAAAAGTACGCACTCCCATACCATCCAATATCCGAAATAGATTTGAAGTGGTCGGTAATTTTCGGAATGGCAGTTGCGATGATGGTTTGATCCAAAGCAACTAGAAAGACAGCCAGACACAGCGCAATAATCAGCGTTACGAGTTTGATGCCTTTGACATGCCCTGCGGTTTCATCCAGTGGAGCGGGCTTCTCGTCCTCGGCCAATTCAGATCCATTTTCAACGTGGACAGCGGTCTCCTTGCTGATATCGTTGTCGTTGGTGTGTAGCGAAGATACGGCACTCTTTGACTCGCCAAGGACGGATGGCTCTAACGTGTCGCTCTTCTCGTAGTCCGGGACTTGTGCTTCCACCTTTGGCGATGGAGCTCCTCCCATGCTGGGCTTCGTCTGGTTGTGGAAGGGAAATGTAACTAAGCAACTTTGATGACGACGAGAATGTCAGAGGGTGTGGTTTCCCGACGCGTTGACAAATTATTCCCAAAAGCAAACAACAAAAACGTCGCCAAGAAGAAAGAATAGAGATGATGACTGTGGGCAGCTTAGTAGATATAAGCCAGGCAAAATGTCAGCAACTATCTGCCCCCTGACGATGCGATTGTGCTGGACGGACGCATGCAGCGCCTGGTAGCCTGGCCGGGCACTCGGGCTCTGTGGTCGTGGACTGGAAAACTCCATGGGCCAAGGCGAGCCACCAGCCGTCCACGGTCTGGATTCAGCTTAGCTCACGAGTAAGACACATGATGGGCGTATTGAAACGCGTTAGGGGCGTTCCGACGGGCAGCCAAGGTCGCTGCGGGCTGTTGAGTTACCCCGACCCAGGATATGGGGACGCTTCATTGGTTCAAGGCTCCATGAAGCCACCGACAGATCTTTGTTAGAACCGCCACCATTTGTCAGCCAAAAGCTAGCGGACGGTATGTCGGGTGTTTTTTCAGTGCGAGTTGCGAACGAGTGGCTTGCGGGTGCAAGATCTGGGTGGTGCCAGTAACCCCTCGGGTAACCGCGTCGAACTCTAACCACGCGGTAGGGCTGACTGGCGCGAGGGGAAATACGACTACATATAAGCGCTTGAGAGCCGAGACATCTTATATGTTACGTTCGGCATACGTATTCTGACGTTCTCGAAGGCCGCCTTCTTCTTGAGCTGCTCCTGTGAGTCTTGGTGATAGGCGGGAGTTCGCCCAGTGGTGCTCACATCCTCCGGCTATCCATTCCTCACCGACTCCATCGTGCGATAACCGAATTCCTTGCCGGAGCCTGACGAGGGTAGGAGTCATCGATGGAACACGCGACAACTAAGGGTCGATCAACGATGAAAAGCAGAAGCTCCACATCACAAGAAAACACAGCTGTGCCCTTGACGGCCAGGATTTAACGGAGTTAACGTTACTGTTCGAGGGCATTGCTCGAGACGAGATACACGAGCCAGCGAGCAACCCCAATGGCATATCCCAGACCCCTCAGTAGGTGGTCTATCAAAGCGTCAAGCTAGCCTATTCAGGAAAAACCCAGCGAGGCTAACACCGTGCCATTCCCTCTGTCGTATTCGGCACGCTGCGCTATTCCTCATATCGTATTTACAACACTACACTGTTTCCCCCTCGTAATTTTGCCGCTGCGCTATTCGTTCTCTCGTGTTCCTGATCCTACGCCAGTCTCTCTGTCGTATGTCGTGTTCTTTACTCTATACAGCAGACGACCAGCTGAGCATCCGTAATTTGAAGAAAGTGCTCCCATCCAACTATTTAATCAGTAATAGCCGAGATCTCAAAGGTTTCCCCAGGCATTCGCCGTTCGGTCAGCACAACGGTATTCTTTATGTAATAGTGCTTATCCTATGAGCTCCACGACTGTCATGCTCGCTACGCCGTAGTCAAGAAGGTGCATTGCTATAGCGAAAGTTTACTGCTTTCGTAGATATCCTATGACTATCCTGTGATTTGACGAAAAGGTCACGTGGTATAGACTGCAAACCGCAACGACTTTTAGGCTCTTTATCAAAAGTGGTGGTACCGTGAAGTAGCACATCTAACAGCTGAGGATGACTCCTTCTCTAAGGCTCTGCTTCAATTGTGTGGAACGAAACATATACCGAGAGCCCAGTTCAGAATTCAATTCAATCTAATCAAGGCCGTATGACAGCACATCGGAGTGCCCCAGCAGCCGTAAGTGCTTGGATTCTCGAGACCATGATTTTGTCTGAATGGGACTCAACATTTATCTCTAAGTGCCCGAATCGAGTTGAACGTATTGGGCCGATCTCGTCCAAAGAAATCCATGGAAGCACCCCGGATAACCCCAAGCGAAACCTTCTCTAAAGCCCTGATATTGCATCTGGATTTGAAATCAACCGCGAGATCCTGAAGCGATATTGAAGAGTCGGGTTAACTCTTGCACCGAGAAGCTATCGGCCCACCCGCAATAAACGAAGAAAGATCTTTCCCCAAGGCTCAAAGTTCGCGTGACATGTCGGATTTGAAATCCGCTATACAAAGCGCCCAAGCTCCTCAGCCTTGCGCTTCTTGCTCTTGCTGATTAGATCTTACAGGTGTGCTCAGAGTACCAGGGTAAAGGAACACAGCAGGGAGCGTCTTCTTCATGAGGCTGATTCGAGGTGACAATGACTTCCGGGTACAGCCTCGTCAACCTGCCCCCTACCCCTTCCATCTCTTCCTCGCCGTAATCCCAAAGCTCTCTCCATCCCCCAACAGGCCCACGCCAACCTCCATATTCCTCGTCCCCCTAATCTCCAGCTCGCTCTTGATCTCTTTATCCATCGCACGCGAGCTGCCACGCACCAACTCCTCGGTCGCCGGCGCCAGCACCTGCGCGACATTCGCCCAGTCATTGCCGAGCATCGAGAACCGCGTCTTCCAGACAAACAGCGTCGCGATGACCGTAAATATGAAGGTTTGGAGGAGGATAAGAATGACTACGGCTGTGAACCCTCGCGTGTCTTGAGGATACAATACATTCGAGAAGAAGACAAACGTTGCATTGCCCTGCTTCGTGTATGCAGGGAACTGGTCGTAGTATGCCATGCCGCTGAGGATTGTGAGTAAGGAAGACATCGTTGATGCGACGGAGCCGTTTTGAGCCATGGCTTCGAGGAAGAAGGAGGAGAGGGCTGGGTCAGGGAGTGTGCAGTTGGTGATGTTGGGGGGAAAGGCGAGACCGATGGACAGGTCGAACACAAGAGCTGACCAATTGCCGCTTAGGCGGCTACTCTCGAATCCGATGGAGTTCGGGTAAATCAGGACTGTGTCGTTTGACGTCTCATTGGTGAAGGTGTGGGCGAGTATAAGCTCTGTGCGTTCTCGATTTCGCAGGCCATATCCAGACATATCTGCGAAGGCCTGGACGGGGGGTTGCTGCTGTATAGGAGCAGCGTCGTCATTCGTGGGTATCCATATGGTTTCTGAAAGGTTCAAGACGTTGCGAGCCTCTAGGGAAGTGATGTTAGGGTGCTGGCCCATCTGGATTCGTAGATCCGAGAAATCGTAGGCAGAGCGAGAAGTTTTATGCGAGCTGGGTTCCTGACGGCTGGATTCCGAAGACATGTGGGTACTCAAGTCGGCAGTTTGCCACGATGTGTAACAGAGAGACACGCTAATGGTCTGGTTGAATAGAACAATATTGTTCGCGGCGGAATCAGCTACGCTCATTCTCGTGGTCATATTGAGCCATTCCGTATCCGAAGGTTCGAAATGTATGCGTGTGTTGTTTTGCTGATCAGTGGAATAGTCTTGTATATTCTTAACGGCAGCGAGATCCTGTTCATCGTAGGATCGAAAGATAAGATAGGTAGGTCCCCATGACGGAAGGGTATCGAACGGTGTCGGTTTCATCTGCTCGACTGTGACGTTTGTGAGCTGGCTTTTTAGACTTCCAGCAGTCTCTCCTGGTACAGCTGCAAGCCTGTCATGGAGGAGGCTCTCATGCTCAAAATCCTGACTCCAAATCAAGTACTGTGGCCCTTGCATCTGACATATCGAGTAAGATCCTACTCCGACGAGATATTTACACTCGAACGGTATCGGGACCGGTGGTGTCCAGAGGTCAGGAACGTCTGTCGAATTAGTAAAGCTCCCAGAGATAGTCCATATTAGGCTTCCCGTCTGATCCATGGTCTTCTCGACACCAATAGTTACGTTAATAGTTTCAAAATCCGGCTGCTGACAGGAGACTCGAGAATCCACAACAAACGAGGATCCGGTGTATTTTTGAACAGTTTGTCGCGATTGAGCGTCTGTGAATGGCATGAATGCACGGAAAGTATACCCCGTGTCATCTACCTTTTTCTTCTTCGGCACTGCTTCGGTATATTCCCCAAAAGTGGGATAGAAAGGAGGGTTTCTAGCCCATGATATGCCACGGTGGATAAGCGGAGCAGCTGTTAAATTGTATAGATCCCAGCCTTGAACATCCCCAACACGTGTTGCTGTATTGTATTCGAAGTCATAAAAGAAAGTTCTGTTAGTCGAATAGCCTTCAAGAAGACCAAGTTTGAGATCGGAGAGTAAGGCCGTAGAGCTAAATTGAAGCAGTACGGTGGTAGTTGTCAAGAGGATGATCAGTGGCAGAAATAGATAGTGCGTGATTCCGCCTTCCTTTCGAGACCCAAAGAACATGGGCAGGAGGAGTCGCCAAGGCGAAGCCATTCCAGATCTCATAACAGAAACAGCTGCCGAGTCGCAAAGGCGCACAGCGTGTGATTCCAAAGCCAGAGCTGCCAGCATCGATGCACCGACTCCGGCAAGGAAGTCGATAATAGTTCGAATGATCATAGCAGAGATGGAGACTGCCCGAGTGGCCCATTGATTGACCATGAGATAGTGCCAATTGCCATTGGAAGAGTCGGAGAACCATAGAAAGACCAGGACTTCAACAAGGGTTAAGACAACGACCGGAGTGGCGATCAGGAGCGTGATCGCAAGCCAGCCCAGTTTGTGTCGCAATTTGATATGGGTCTTTCGTTTTTGGGGCTGCTTCAGATCGTTCGGAGATAGTGGACTTTGAGGAACTCTTGGAGAATGTCGGGACGATCTAGTATTGAAACGTCCATGTTCAGATTCGGGAGAGAGTAGAAGTCGGTCGGTAAGAGTGTCGGCGTCTGAGTCATTCCTGCGATGGTTGGGTAAACGGAGCGTCGATGCGATATCTGATATGCTCTCAAGTGATGGCCGGTGCTGCGGTGAGATCAACCCTAGGTCATCCAACTCATGGTCCGCCATTTCTGTTAACTACGCCAAGCTGCAATTTTTCGATGACTAGTTTGTGATTTCAACTCCGAAACCCCATTATACTAGGACTAGAAAAGTAGTGGCCAGGTACAGAGTTTGTGTGCCGTGCCATGTGCTAACACGAAAGCCGCAACCTCAAAGTTACAGGTGTGCTATAATAGTTACGATGGGTTAGAGTCTTAGAAACTTTTCGATGTGGGGTCTTTCCTGACGCATTCGAAGTAAACTTACCTGTTAGACACCTGCTGTCGTATGATAGCCAGTAAAATATGACCACAGCGATCAACGAAAAGGACATGCGACTACAGCAGAACTTGAAATGGGTTCGAAAGGCGGCACGGTAGAAAGCTTCGTGGTTCTTGAAGACGTCTTAGAGACGCGTTGAGTCAATTGAAGAAAGACGCTGCATCGTAAGCACGAAAGAAGAGGCTGTGGCAGAGTAGAGGATTAAGAAAATGGAGCGAGAAATCAAATAGATCTGGGCTTTCGGGAAGACAAGGCTGGGCTGAAGCGTGCTGGCTTTCGCGAGCATGCATACTATCACAGCAGATAAGTATGAAAAAGGAAAGGCTGCGGCTGAAGACAAGGCTAGATTCTGTAAGATCTCCAGTGGCGGAGAGGCGGGAACATGCAGGTGCTTTCCCACGACGCGTGATTGCTCTCTCTCAGCCTCCTATCTTGCGCAGCATAGCCCACGGATACAGGGATGGCAAGAGAAGGCAGGCATGCTGTAGGACGCACGATTTGAAGCGTTCCATGACGATTACTTCGTATACCCGAAGCTCTCTCGTTGTTGCGCGGTGGTCCGAGTGGGGGCTGAAAAGTATGGAGGCTGTAAAGCCACATGCATGGAGAAGTATTGGGAGGACGCTAGTCTCACTCGATCTTAGCCAATCATAGCTCGAGATATAATAAGAATTACAGCCTTCTTGGGTCGTGCAACATTATACTTTTTCTCTGCGTGCATAGAGTAGAGACGTAAAGTAATTGCTAGCTCGCTGCAACTTAGTTCTAATGGTAAGCCTGTCGCATTGCACACTGGTTGGTCACGCTACCTTACGACGATTATACCTGACGTGCTGAAGCACTATGATGTGTCCACCATAGCTGAGTTCCCGTTTGATTAGCATGACTTTCATTTGACTTTTGAAGTCTAGGCCATGGTCACCTCTGAGGCCTAGATAGCTGAATGTAAATTCTAAGAAGCTCTAGAGTTTAACATACATAAATATGCCATACCCTACAATTCCATCGTCCCAATCCTGGGGGCCGCATTCTGGCCCACGCCCCAAGGCCCCTCGGCCACGCGCCTCCGAATCATCCCATCAATGTGGCTCCTCGGCGGCTGCAACTCTTTCACCCGCTCTCCAAGCACCTTCAGCACATCGAACTTCGTCATTGCAACCTGGAACGCTGCACTCTCCGCATCGCCGCGACCACCCACCAGCCCCGAAAATGTAGTTGCAGGCTTCAGCAAGAACGGAAGCACACCACCACTAATCGTTGGATCCAGGATCAGTTCGAGGCCAGAGTCTGGGAAGTTCTGCAAGCGTGTGAGAATGGCGTCGGAATTTCCGTCGTTGAGCTGGGAAGCGGGAGACCACTTTGCGGTGATGATGGCACGGAGTAAGATTAGGGCTGCGATGGCGTTTTCTTTCATGGCAATTGTATCGGCGTGACGGATGATCTCAGTGAAGAAAGATGGCGTTTTGGTGAGGTAGAGGGATAGGAGGAGGCGGGCGTAGATTCGCTCGGATTCGAATCGTGCGGAAGAGGTCTGAACAGTCATACTGCTCAACGAGATCTGCGATAGTGGAAAGACGACATCGGGCTTTGAAAGGTATTAAGTCAGATTTTGGAAGTAGATTCGAGCACGCTTACCTCAATTGGCCCATGGAATATGGTTGCGAGTGTCTTCAGCGCGTCTGCACTTGTCAGGCGGATGGGAATGGACAAGATCGGAGATTCGTCCCAGGCATATCCCATCGCCCGCTGAGGCACCAAACTAGCTCGCGGTACTGATGAGAGTATGTGGAAGTCTTCTGGCTGGGCCTTGTTGATGGTTTCGTTGAGCTTCTCCACGATTCCAGCAGCCTCAGGACTTCGTTCAAAGTCGTCCAGATATGTAGACGCATAGGCGGAGATGTAGTTGGCTGCTGGCGCTTTCAGGAACGTTCGCTCCATTGAAGGAGTGTCGTCTTGCTGGTACTTGATTATGTGAGCATGCCAGCCTTCTTTCTTGAGGAAGTCCAAGGCCACACTAGAGCCACTAGATCTATAGAGCGTCAGACAGATAACGGATTTTGGTGATAGGGTACATACGTAGGCGCCGCGATGGTCTTTACGGTGGAGATGAGATCAGAGAAGAAGTTGATCAAGCTAATGTGCATCAAGATGTCGTCCAGGAAATCAACCATTTTCATGCTTGCAAAATGCAGAAGACCTTCCCCGTTCCTAAGTCCAACTTTGGTCTCTATCTCCGGGTGATGGCTTCTGACGATGGTATCCCAGTCCAGAGCTCCGACCTTCGGTAGCCAGTCCATCAGCCTAGCCTGTGCGACCGTCGTATTCCTCTTGTTGAGAGGGACTTCATCACCAGCTGGCAGAGACTTGAGGCTGCAGAAGAGGTATAGCAAACTGTAGATATCCTTATCTTCGAATAGTCGTTTCCACATCGCACCTCTTCCGTATTCGCCAACACCGATCTCATTTAGTCCACCGGGTAGGTTCTTTGAGGCTGATAAGAGTGCGATAAGTAGATTGGAGGCCTTGGTTGCTGTACCGGTATCCTCCGTGCAAAGCCATAGTCTTACAATCGCTTTGACGACATCTGACCGACTGGCAAGGTTCTCGGCATCATTTCCGGTGGCGGTCGCCTTTTCCAGCAAAGTCAGAATAAGGAGATGAAACGGCTCAGCTTTCAAGTTCAATCCCATGGCAAAGTCCAGCTCTTTGACTTCATCGAAGCTGTACGGTGCGGTGAGCTTTAGAACGAATCGAATCAAGGGAGATGGGTCCTGTTGCAGACTCGGCAGAAGCTGTCCAAGCTGAAGGAAGAGTGGATGTGTTTGTCGCCATCCTCCGTTCGGGAATTCGAGCTGGGATACGTAGAGCTCACATTGTCCTAATAGATGGACGTCGAGAGAAGTTGTCGGTTCCTGCTCCACTTCGCGAAGATGGACTTGGAGTTTCTCCAACACTGTGGAAGGATTCGGCATGGCTAGTCGATGCTATTAGTCCGAAATCTTTAGATTTGAAATGTGATGTGGCTGAGATAAGTGACCGGGCTGTCTCGTGGAATGTATGCAAGCAACAAGCCCTGTGAATGTTTGAGTCCGGTTATCGCGCCACCCTGGAAATACAAGGCGATCGAGAGCTCGTGGACAGCACTTGAAACTGGCTCTCCCCGCCCTCAGCGCTTTTACTTGCCGTAGCACAACAAGACACGCTTACGGCCTGTGGACTTTCTGACCTGAGGTGGCGGCTGAGTGGCAAGAGTCCTGGAAGGAATCTTCTAGAACACTCTCGGTGATCGAAAGGTTGTGCTTCAGATCGGTTCCTTCGAGAGAGCTGCTCCTGTAGAGCTCTCAGAACTGCTCGGCAATATTTGTATGAAGTACAGGTGAAAAGAAAGAGCGGCAATGTATGCCTGGATTAAAGTAAGTCGTATCAGCCGATTTTCCACGCTTTCAGTTGAAATACTGTCCCAGGTTTGAGAAGAACTCTACTTTTGATGGAGTATTTAGAGAACAGGCAGCGGTAGTGACGTTGAAAGCTGAGGTCACATTCTTAGTCATAATTTTTGCACGTGACGCAAATCACCCCAATCACAGGCGCAATCCTTGCACTACCTATATTGATTGCTGGCTATTTCAATCCCCGATGTAGCTATTTAGAAAGCTATTTATATCCAAGACCAAACAAGCATTGTCTCCAGTATTCGCACTCATTCATCATTCTCCGTAACCACACAGCACAAGCAAGAGTATGCATTTACAAAATCTTCTGAGGCAATGTACAAGCGTCGAGAGGTCGTCAATGCTCTACAAAGAATGACCATAGCTCACGAACGAATGGGTATACTGCCAAACCAAAACGCTACATACTCGACAAGCCGCTGAATCTTACACTAATGCACCAAGAATACAAAAGCCAATCCCCGACTACCTTTACAAAGAATAATCTGCCCGACCATCAAGGTCCAAGATGGCTCATTCTCTTGCTACTCCTTGGTGTCTCTCTCCTCCCCCAGTCCGAATCCCCCTCTACACTTCTCGCCCTACTCCCCCTCGGGCCTATATTCTCTAAGCTCCTCCTCCTCCTACCCTCCCGATTCTTCCGCACGACACCCATCGCACTAGCTTCTTCAATCACTACTCCATTGCCGTATTCCACACTCGGACTCGGCACACGACTCCTCCGCCCGTTCCCATGCTCCGCCATGGGGCTCCCCACGCGGCTCCTCCTACCACCGTGCTCGACCATAGGGCTCCCTACAGGACTACTCCTCCGCCCACCCCTCCGCTTCGCCCCTGTAGCCGGCGGCCTCATCACGTAATCGTACGTCTTCGGATCCGTCATCGCGAGCTCTCTTTCTAATTTCCACAGTGGCGCTTCAGGCAGAACCCTTGTGCTGACCTTTCTATCCCTGCTCTTCAGTTTCCAGAAGACTTCGACATCGGCGGAGTTGTTGTAGTCAACGACAAGACGCCAGTTATCTGTCAGCGCACGGCACTCGTAGACACCTTTATCGTCAACGCCGGGCCCGCCGAGACGTAAGCGTGTCCGCGCGGACGGGTGCACGTACTCGTGGGTGTCGTGGAGTGGACGGCCGGTGGAGCGGCCGGTGTCGGGGTCGATGGCGTAGTAAGTGCCCGGTGTGCGGGTTGTGCCGCCGCCCAAGGCGTAGATGCCAGCCATGCTGTTGTAAAGTTCGCCTGTAGGGGTTAGAGGGACTCTATTGCAGTGGGGAAGAGGGAAATGGTTGAGTGCAACTCTTTCTCGACTGGCCGTGTGTGGAGAGAGGCGTGGAATGTAGGAGTAATCATAATAGGAAGGAAATCGCAACCAAACATACCAAATGACCATGGCCTATCCCGTTCCCGCTGCTTGCGATAATACAGCTCATTCTCCTCATCCTGCTCCAGCACGTACTGCATGCGCATATCCAGAAACGGCTCCAATTGCGCCATCATCCACGCCAGCGTGATATTCGCCAGCTGCTGGTCATCATACCCACCACCAACATTACTATGCACACCTGGAAACCAAACCTGGCGCAGCGTGGTGCGGTTTCCCTCTGGCTTCTCCCAGACGGCCGGGGAGAAGGCCGAACGGCGCTCGTCCAGAGCGAGCGCTTGAAACGCGTTTTCAGTACAGTTGGAGAGCTTCGTGTCGTAAAATGCCATGTGTTTGGACTCCTGGCCCTGGAGGCCCAGTCGTGTTAGTATGGGGATGCGTGGCATTCCGAGAGACCCTGTGACATGTTAGGAGGATAATGAGCGGTGGCTTGAATTACTAACCGACGGTATCCCATACCGCAATAGCTTTGATAGGGATATTTAGACGCGAAAGACCTCTCTGACATGTATCAGCAACTATAAAGCAGGGTTTGACACTAGGTGAGACTTACTCGACCCAATTCTTCTCGATAATAAGGATCATCTGCACTCGGTTTATCTGGAAAAGGAACATCTGGGTACTTCGGGCGGTAATTGGGGTCGCGCCTATGCTGAACGTCCGTGAAAACCTCTGCCAAGCTCCCCAGCGCCTTTTTGGTGAGCAGCCCAATTTGCCCAACAAGCCCTCCAATGCTTCTTGCTGTGAAGGCACCTCTTGAGAAGCCTATCAAGAAGATCTCATCCCCAGGCGCCCAGTTGTTACACAAGAATGAGTATCCTTCCCTGACATTCTCTCCCAGTCCTTCGCCTATAGCGCCTGCTCGCCCCAGGGTCAGCTTCTACTCAAACCTTTACTCTGACCAAAATCCTGACGAGAAAGAGGCACGCTTTGAAAATAAACGAAAGTTGTACAGAAACGTAGGACGAAGATCCTAACGAAAGCGAAGCAATAAAACAACCAAATAAACAAACTCACCTCCTATAACCCTCCCCACCGCACCTCCATTCGCGCCCACCCCGAAATGATAATACACAATCTGCGGCACCCCATCCACACTAACCGGCCGAATCGCCCTCGAGATACGCGTCACATTACTCGGGATAGACAGCTTGCCATTCGTAAGCCCATTGTCTGCATTCAACCACGTGCCTAGACCATTAATCGTCAGCCCTATCCATTCCTTTTTATCATCAACTCATCATCCCTCATCATCACTAACTGTGACAACCCTTGACACATTCACCCCTCTGTTTCTTTCTTTGCTTACCGTCCCTCCATACCACACTGTGACACCCTCGCAAGTAAACAACCCAACCCAACCCAACCCAACCTAACCCAACCCAACCCAACCCCAACAAGGCCCAAACCCACCCCCCCGTCTCCGAAACAAGACAACAGTAGAAGAAAGGGGGAAACAAAGGAAAAACACTCACCATCACACGCAACAATCAACCGCTTATACCCCGCCTCCGCATTCCGCGGCGGCCTCGACTCCTGCCTCGCCGCCTGCCTGCCCCCCGTCCGCGATCTCGAAACCGCCCGGCTGGGCGCTCGCGAAGGCGCTCGCGAGTGCGATCCGTCCATCGAACTTCTGCCTGCACGTGCCCGATCCGCCGGCTGTGCCGGCTGCTTGCTTCGTAGTCCGTTTGAAACAGGGTTGACCGGTTAAAAAAAAACCAAAAACAAACAAACAAAGAAAACCGGAATGTCGTCCTGCAGCCTTTTTTTGCGCGACGCCGACGGCGTGGGAGAGCCAGAAAGCGCGAAGAATGCGCTCGACGCTTTGCCACGGTGGTGGTTGGGCAGCTGCGGTGTGTGTGCGCGCGCGCGCGCGCGCCTCCTTCGTGGTTAAGGCCCGATTACGAGGTTTTCGTGGTGCTCGGGCCAGATGTGTGCATGGGGGATCACGCTCGGAGGTTGGCAGGCGCATGCGGGTTAGATGGATGGTGCATGGTGAAGATAGAGATAGAAGATGATTGTGGTAAGGTAAACGTTTGTCGTCGTCGATGTTGACAGATTAGCGATCCCGCGCGCGTGGGCTGAGCTGAGGCGCTGAGCGGCTGGCGCTGGGGCAGCAGCCTTGCGCTTTTTGGGAGAGGGAACGAGGCGGACGGGCGTTGGGTTGGTTGGGTTGGGTTGGGTTGGACTGCCTCTGAATTGGGGGCCTGTTTGTTTTGGTTTCGTGGGGGATATTTGAGGGAGTTAGGGGGCTGTTGATGTTGTGCTTCTGGTACTATGGCGTAGGTTGATTTCTGTGAGGTACAATCGTGCATGATTTACTGAATATATCTACGCGACACAAAAGCTTAAAGCATAATAGATTGAAGTAGGTAGCGCGTAGCACTATATTTATCTGATAGCATGAATCGTCGATCCGAACCTCCTCATTCCTTTGAAATCGCCGTAACAACGCGCCGACAGACCTCATACGCTGGAACAAACTCCGTAGACCCGCGATACTTTCCATCGCCACATGGCAGCCACTCTTCTCATGCCGACCACGGAGCCGTGGTGCCCGCAGAGGCGCCGCACGCCACCCATGGTTAACATCCCGAGCCGTCCGGTCTCAGATTTCGATCCCGCGTATCAAACACCAAATCACGATCTCGGAGCCGCCGGAAGGTAAGAATTACCAAGTATGATCAAATTTTTATGTATGCGAGAACACGCTTTTCCGTACTTTCTTTCTTTCTCTCTCCTGACCATAGTCAGTTCCTAGCTCCCTCTCTCTCGCCGTCAGCCCAGCTTATTCAGCTAGCTAGCGCAACGCCCGATTGTCCCATGTCGCCAGTTCAGTAGTCAGTCCCAAACTCCTAGGTACAGATAGTCATACAAGCAAGCCAAGCCACGCCAGCGCCTCGGCCACGCATACTCTTCCATCTTACAAGGACACTAAACCGTGCGACCATCGATCGATCGATGAGTAAGAAGCACCACGCTTCCGTCTCATTCTCCCGAATCTCTCCTCTCGGGTGCAGCGTGAGCGGCGGAGGTAGTTTCTAGAATATAAACTCTCGATCTGAAACAAAAATGAACAAAATCTGACGCTGAAGTGTATGACTGAGATAGGAGAGGTTTCATTAACATCGTTGCCTTCGCAGAAAATCAGAAAGGTCCAATTGGGCGAACCCAGTGACATCAATACTCCCCAAACATATCCTCTAGCTCATCGAGCTCCACGGTCTCGGGGCTTTTAAGCTCAGACCAGGCCCAGGTCTCGTCGTCGCCCATCTTCACATCATCGCTGAATCCGGACTTGAAGGTTGCTCGAACTGTCTCAATCTCGAGATGCGGTTTCAACATGGGGCTGCTGGACGCAAAGGCGGGCTGGATGACGTGCACGGAGAGATGGTCGACCTGGCCAAACAGTGCTGCCGCAGCTTCCGAGTTCCGCAGCGCAGCGCTTTCTTCGGTTTCCTCAGCCTCCTCAGGGATTGAATCCTCCATTGATGTGTCGTGAAGCGAGGGAGACCTCTCGGACTTGATCTCGACCTTTGACTCGGAATCCTCGCTGCGACTCCTTTGCAGGAGGATAGAGGCAGTCTGGGTGAACTCGTGTTCGTCCCGCTCCAAGGGCGGTGAGACAGCTCGTCGATTATGTGAGATGTTGGACGTCGTTGGTGGGTGGGGCCCGCCATGCATTAGCGGATTGCGATTCGAGAACGGCGTGGAGTCGTCTTCGTAGTCGGGCGATGAGAGGTCAAGCTCCGGAGAAGGGGAAAGCTGAGACCGCGTCCGTGCGTCGGCGTCTTCCTCTTCCGAGGCTGCGGACGACAGGGAGGGCGAGATTATCCGTGCAGCTGCTGGGCCGGTGAGAGAGTCGGTGGGGATGGGCTGGTGTTCGCAGGTGGTGAGGTAGTAGTAGACTCGCTTCGGGTGAGTGCCGACGAGCACTTTGTCGAGGGGGCATTGTGACAGTGCAGTCCAGGGGCGTCGTAGGTACGTCGCGAGGCGTGAGGAGATGATAGCAGAGGGATTCGCAGAGCTAGAGGCGAAGTCAGTAAAATGTAGACGTGGCGAGAGTGTTTGCGCATGCTCCTACCTTTCGACAATTGCAATGGACGTCGCCAGGACGGCAGCTAGCTCCTTAAGCAGATGCGGTCGGTTACCCGTCTTCTCCAGCTGCTCAATCACACCTACGACAATGGTGTCGTCGATGCCTTCGGTGCTGACCTTTGTTTGCGACGACTTCCCACCAGGCGACGGCGGTGGCGTGTGTTCCGCCACCCGGCCGGAGCTCTTGGGTCGCTCATCGCGGAATCGCAGAGTCGTGGTGCGCTCCGGACTCAGAGGCTGGGGCGAGGTTGAGGGGTGCGAGCGCTTGACTTTCTTCGCGGCGTGGTGAGGTTGCTCGGTGCTGGCGGCTGAGGCAGGCGGTGAGCGGTGAGCAGCCGATCGCGAGCTGTTTGGCAGATGGATGCCGAGCGAGGGCAGCGACAGCGACTTTCTCCGGGTGTTGTAAGGCATGGCGGCGGTCGCAAGGCTGTGGAGTAGACGGTAGGTTCAGGTCGAGGGCGGGTCGCAGCCGTGGAATTATTTTGGGGTGATAGCGGCGAGAGAAGGTGCCTGGTGTTGTCCGCGCTCGTAAAATGGGCGAGAGTGGATTTGGATGGTCGCTATTGGCTGGGCGGCGGGCGGAATGCAGGCGGCGACACTGGTCCTTGCCTGAAGAGCTTACCGCTGGTATGCAGCGCGATGCAGCGTTAATGCAAGGCAGGGAAGGGAGCCTGGTGCGACAGAGAGCGAGCGAGGCTCGACGCCGGATAGGACGACTGCGCTGCTGGGTGTTGTATGCACGGCTGACGTCCACATCAAGGTCGGCTCCTTTCGTGGCCGGCGTGGACGGAGGGAGGATCAGGGGGTTGCCAGCAACTCGTGAGGTGAGAACAGCAAATGCGACGACGAATATCAGACACAAACAGTACAGTACAAGTGAGATAGGAGTCGACAGAGGGACGAGGCACACGAAGAGGCGCGAAGAGACGCGGAGAAGGCAGCGGCGGGGAGAAGCACAGGCAGAAGAGGAGGCTGTTTGGGAGGGTTGAAAGAGGGAGGAGGGACGGGCAGAACGAGGAGTTACGGGGTCCCACCTCAGGCCAGGAAGGAACGACTAGCCGAGTGAGGAGCCCTGGGGCGTGGTTTCCAGGATGGATATCGTCACGGCCCTGCCTCAGTTCGGTATGGCCAGGGGTCCGGCGACACGAGGAAAAGCTGCACACGCCAGCACCGTCTAACCAGTGCCACCTAACCACCGCGTCTCCCCAGCAAAATGCGCCGGCCTGCCGCCAAAACGTTGCCCGCGCTTCCCCGGGGTGTGTGTCTCGCTGCCGGGGCTCCCTCGCTGGCTGCAGCCTCCCATCCGACTCCCAAGCATCGCCGTGCCCGTCGCCACGAGGCTATCCGCGGCGACATCACTGCGGTCTTCGCGCGGCAGCATGACGCTGCTACGGCGCTGCATCGGCGGAGACTCTCCCATTGGCATATCAACCCAGGGCGCGCGTGGTTGTGCAGCCCGGGCGCAGGGAGTCGAAGCCGGGGCAATTCTGCCATCTGGTGATCTGATCGGCTTGAGGCAGGCCCTTGGCCCATCTGTTCCAGCAGCTGGCCGCCCCTGTTTGAGCGTCTCCACAGCCCAGTGGCCCCAGGCGGTGAGCAGTCGGCCTGTGACAGCAGGGCCTGCTCCACCAACAGCGACGCGGATGCGCGCCGCGAAAAGAAAAGAAGAAATTTTCCGCTGTCGCGCCGAGGTGCAGCGGCGAGGCGGAGGATGTGAGGGCGACGAGAACACCCTAAGCGGCCCGAGTCATGCTTCCGGGTCTGCTCGTGTCGTGGAGTGTCGTGCTGACGACCTCGCAAAAGCAGCCGTCTTCGCGGCTGGTGATCAGGGTGCTGGGGAAAACATGGCCCCACGTTTCAAGATGCTGCGTGTCGTCGGCAAGGCGACCAGAAAGCCCAACACCTTCCTGTGCCGTGGTAGCACGCGACAGCAGTCCCGATGCGCCAATCACCGCTCGCACATTCCAGCACTTCGTCACTTTTGTGGAGTTTGGGTGCGGTGTGAGGTCGGTTCAGAGCAAACAGATGGCCTCTCCGCCTCGCCGTCGATCGCGTCGCCTGTGGTCGACATTGACGTTGTTTGCTCGACTTGGCCCGCCGACTCTCCAATCAGACATGCAACCATCCATCAGCGCATGCAGGTCGTCGGCCGGCTGCAGATCTCGCCTCCACTCCAGCATGTACTCCCGCGATGCTGGCGCTAAACTGCTTACTCTTATCTGTATGTATATTGTGCGCCGCCATGGAAAACATGTGAGAGGTAATATCGCTGTGGGAGCTGCATGCCGCTTCCGGTAATCCAATAAGTGAAAAGTGACAGCTCTCCTCTGCTTCGTGCGTCCAGCAGGCGTGGTCTCGCCCGCGCAGGGCCCCAGACTGAGGCACCCATGCGCCTATGCATGCACTCATCCCCAAAAGGCCCACCACGGCTTCTGTGCCACCTTTTCCTGCGGGCCTCCACTGCCTCCTACATCTGATGCCTCTCCCGCAATCTTCTCCAGAAGGCGCGGCTTCGGTTTAGGCTTCAGTTCCACCCACCACGTCGTTCCAAAATTGTACCTTTTCAACTTGACCACCTCCAGCCCGCTCTCCTCGACAATCTTGCCAATGTCCTTGTTCCACCAACACCCGTGCTCGTCGGCATGTGCTGCTGCCGTCTTGTCCAGCACACCATTCAGCCATGCATAATGTGACCTGCCGTGCTCCAGCAGCAGTATGCGCCCGCCCTCCGGCTTTGCGACCTCTCCCAAATTTTGGAGAAGCTTGACAGGCTCTGCTGTCGAGCAGAGGGCCATGGTCTGGATAACATAATCGAACCCGTCTGGAGACTGCGGGGGTGGCGCTATGGGCTCCAGGGCAGACTGTGTGCGCCAGAAGATCCGCCTAGCATACTCCGGGTGCTCGTCCTTCCATTTCTTCTTCCCAACTGCCAGCATCTGCGCGCTCTGGTCCAGCATGGTCACCGTTGCCAGCTTCTTCGTGTCGTAAAAGGCGTGATTCCGCCCTGTGCCCGCCGCAACCTCCAGCAAGTGGCCCCTAGCCATTGATGCCATTTCCTTCCTGCGCTTGGTTATCCCTGTGAGCCATTCTACCGTGTCGACGCCGCTGTCGTAGACCCAGGCATTGTCGTCAAAGCGGTCCGAGGCGTCGCGCGGGATTCTCTTCAATCGAGGGTCGTCTCGGGTGAGGCTTATGTAGATGAGCGTGCTGTAACAGCCAATTCCAATCACTGTAACTCCTGCGAGGAGCAGTGGCAGCCTCCGAGCCCGCGAATATGCAGCAGCAGCAGCTGCTGGTGGTGGTAGAGGCGTCGTGGGTGGAGGGGCGCGCGGACGGTACTGCAAGGGCGGCGAACTGGCCTTTTTATGGGGAGCGGACTTTTTCTGGGGAGCAGATGTTGATTTACTCGACTTCGACGGCGGCTTGCCCATTTCTGGAGGCTCGTATGGGTGTAGTTGCGTGTCAATTGACGTTCTCAAGCGTGATGGAGTTGTCGAACGATCAACCTCGAAGCTATCAAATTCCTAACCGAGAAAAGGCCGACGCCCTACGCCCTTTACGTCTGCTTCGATAGCTGGCTAGTGTCGGCTTGGGACACAAAATCTCTCCCCCACTTTGCGTGTCTTAGATTTCATGTATCGATATAACTGCCACAGGTAGGCATCATAGTCAATCTCTCAAGCATCTTATTTCCATTGTTCTATTGATTACTTCCAAACTCCTGCCGTTGTGTTCACAATCGGTAAAGCATATCCGTCCAAAATGTCTGAATCCAAAATCCCTTCATCCATTCTCATAATAGGAAGTGGAGTATTTGGCCTCTCAACCGCATACGAGCTCTGTCTAAACCCAGCTTTCAAAGACACATCAATCACGCTTGTAGAACGGAGACCCTTTCCTGCTCCAGATGGCTCCAGTGTACGTTTTAGTCTCGTTTGTCAATGTTATATCCAATGTCATCATTAGTCTATCTGAAGAAACACAAACAAATTCTGTCACACATCATAAGTAACATAAGGAGAGTCTTTTTACCCATCCCACCGCTCCATTTCCCCTTCTTATCCCACTCCCTGCTTACAACCCGTCACTCATGGCTCCCAGATCGACTCCTCCCGCATCGTCCGCGCCGACTATGCCGACCCAGCCTACGCCTCCCTCGTCTCCTCTGCCATGCCCCTCTGGCGCTCCACCTGGGGCGAGGATGGCCGCTACAACGAAAACGGCCTCTGCATGACCTGTTCTCCCAGCGCCGCCTCCTACGTCCAACGCAGTGCCGCGACGATGCAGTCCCTCGGCGCACCCATCACCCTCCTCAACTCCCCCGCCGAGATCAAAGCCGCATGCGGTGTCGACGGCTGCACCGGGTCCTCCGGCTACCTCAACCGCGCCGCCGGCTGGGTCGATGCCGAAGCCTGCATGCGCTGGCTCTACTCCAAGATAAAATCCCTAAACCGCGTCACCTTCATCACCGCAACCGTCTCCCGCCTACTAATCGACCACTCCACCGCAACCGTCTTCGGCGCCCTTCTCACCACCACCAACACGCCCCTCCTCGCCTCCCTCACCATCCTCGCCGCAGGCGCCTGGACCCCCTCCCTGCTCGACCTGCGCGGCATCTGCACCGCCACGGGGCAAGTCATGGCCTACATCCCCCTCACCCCCGCCGAGCAAGCCGCCCTGCGCGCCATCCCCACCATCCTGAACCTCTCCACCGGCCTCTTCAGCATCACGCCCTCGCGCAACCTGCTCAAAATCGCCCGCCACGGCTACGGCTACGCCAACCCCGTCGCCATCCCCCACCCGGAGTACATCCCGGCCTCCACCTTCCCCTCGCAGACCTCCATCACCGTCTCGCAGCCCCTCACCGCCGTCTCCGACCCCACCCTCTCCGTCCCCGCCGAAGGGCTCGCCGCGTGCCGCGCCTTCTTGCGGGAGGTGTACCCGAGCTTAGCGGAGAGGCCGTTCAGCGCGACGCGGATATGCTGGTACACGGACACGCCGACGGGGGATTTCCTGGTGAGTTATCATCCGAAATACAAGGGGTTGTTTGTCGCGACGGGGGGTTCGGGACATGCCTTCAAGATGCTGCCGGTGATTGGGGGGAAGGTGGTTGAGTGTATTCTGGGGCGCACGCCGGCGGAGTTTCGGGACAAGTGGGCGTGGCCGAGCGAGCGGGTGGGCGAGGATGGGTTTGCGGGGGATGGGAGCCGGGGCGGGGCGAAGGGGATGCTGTTGCGCGAGGAGATGGGGAGGGGGAGTCGGTTGTAGATGAGTTAAGAGGGGATAACGGGTTGGAGGGGTGGTGGGTACGGTTATAATTGAAGAGGTATGGTTGCAGAAGTCGTACATTTGATGGTTGTGGTTATATAGCAAAGGCACAGCAGGTTTTTAGAACGTTTGTCATGTCACATCAAATAGCAAATTCAAGAAGGTTTGTAAATCGTGGTTGGTATTGAGCTACCCTCAGCAAAGTAAGCTAAGCAAGTAAGCAAAGCAATACCGCAAAGCAATGCCGGCTCTCCGCATCACTGCGAACGAAGTAGCCCACGCACGAATTATCAGTAATGTTTTGATGAGGAGCCATGACATCCATCGGTAGTCGCCCCAAGCTCTCATCCATGTTGCAAAGCAAGTCTGCCTGTGGGCCATTTCCAGCACTCGCCATCCCATATTCGCCTGAACCGCACCGTTCGCCACCTTGGCGCCCGCCCTACTAGGGCATAACTCGACAGCAATGAGAAGAGAATAAAAGACCAGCTCCAAGTGACCCAAATTAAGTTGGAGACCGATCAGTCGACGCATCTTCGCCGCTGCAAGAGGTGATCCGGCGAGTGCAGCCTTTCTAAAGGTGTGCTGAAGCAAAGACATTTTAGGAGATGCACCAAGGAAAGAGAAAGGCCAATGCCCGCCATCAGCAGGGCCCAAGCCACACCATCCAGAACACCATGCAATGCCGCAAGAGAAAAAGAGAGAAAGCAAAGGGGAAGGGAAATCACGCTCTTTGTAGAATGACAAGCAGAAAGAAAGATTAGAACCTCGAACTTTGCCGATCGTGAACGGAGTCCGACGAAAGTGGTATCGCATAGAGGTTCGTAATAGGATCGACGAGGACGACAGTCACACGTTTATCCCTACGATCAAAGGTGTTAATACAGTGTTGAGGCTTTGTGACTCGAAGAGAACCACTACCTCTGAGAAGTCGCTAAGCTCAAGGCTTGCGGAAATCCGACAGCACCGGGTAGATGAGCTCGAAGGCCTGGTAGATCTCCTCACGAACTTTGGCGCCAGTCAAGACGATCTTGCCGGAAACGAAGATCAGGAGGACGATCTTGGGCTTCATCATGCGGTAGATCAGGCCAGGGAACAGCTCGGGTTCGTAGGACGAGAAATTGTGATGACGGTTCGCGAGTCCCTCCAAGCGAATGGGGAAGCGGATGTCGCAACTGCCGACAATGTTCTGAATCTTGAAATCGGTGAACTTGGCGTTGAAGCCGAGCTTCTGGATGATGCGAGCATACTTGCGCGAGGCAAGGCGGGAATCATCCTCAGACTTGGCACCAGTGACCTGCTTTGGTGAGACATGGACGAAGATGACAGGAGACCCAACACTTACCACCATCTTGCCGCTGGCGAAGACCAGAGCGGTGGTCTTCGGCTCACGAATACGCATGATGACGGCAGCAAACCGCTTGGGGTTGTACTCAGCGTTTCGTGCGTGGAGAGCGATCGTCTTCAGGTCCAGTCTCGCGGAGAGATTGACAGTGGCAACGATGTTTCTTTGGCACTTTAGAACCTCATCTAGACATGAGGGACTGAGATAAACTTACTGCAGGGTAGGGATAATGCCACTAGCAGAGTTCTGGGTGTCTGGGGTCGGAGCTGGGGTCTGGACACCGTTCACAGCGCTGGCATCCTGAGAAACGTTCTTCTCAGAGGATGGCGGAGTGAGCTCGTGCTGGGCAGCTCCTCCCGGAAAGGACAGAGAAGTCGGAGCGACAAAGGCCTGCGACTGTTAGCAGAGCGCAAGTCAAGGAGACGCGGTGTCCTTGCCTTAGCTTGGACAGCAGTCTGAGGGTGAGTAGTGAGTGAGTCCATTGTGATGGATGGTCAGTTGTTGGTGATCTGTGTGGTTGTCTGGACAGTCTAAGAGGGTGATTAGACCAGGCCACGGACGAGTGCGACGACGATATCGACCCGGCACGAGGTCGCAGAGAGAGCGCAAGGCCGGTCGATAGAGGGGTCGTCGTTGAAGCGCAGGGCGGGTTCCTACCAAGTAGTGGGAGATTGTCAACCGAATGAATCCCTTCACAAGCGCTGCCAAGTGTGACGTGCGACAACCGCGCGGTCGCGAATTACGAGGTGGATGGCGGGAGATGAATAGGTGATGGCAGCAGTCAAGAGCAAAGCCAGTTGGCCCTTGAGGGAGTGCAGAGAGTGGAGACGCAAGCCGGTGGATGGGGTTGATGTGCCGAGTGAGGCTGTAGTGCGCAGGCTAGGCTAGATCCGATCGGGAAAAAGGACCTGGTAGAGCTGCGCAAGCAGAAATGTTAGTCCTGGGCACGGGATTGATGCAGAGACGCTGCAGTGGGCGTACGCAGGCCGGCAACGGTGGTGTTTCGAGGCTGCGACAGTGGTGGGGACGGCGAGGTCGAGCGGCGGCCAAATCAGTGCGAAGGCTCTGGAGGTGGGCGGCCGCTTCCTTAAGTACTTCGCCTGTTGCCTGCGCCAAGCCGCTAGCGCCACCCGGCTTCGCCGCTTTAGAACCTTCCAGGGCCCGTGCACCCTGACCGCCGCCCCTTTTTGCGCCCGCGACGCAGCGAGCGCGACACCACAACACCACGCCCAGCACCCAGCCTGGCCGCGAGGCTGTCCTCTGCTGCCTGCGCCTGCTGCCCGCGCCTGCTGCCCGACTGCGACACCAGCCTGATCGCACAGCGCCTATCGCGACGACGAGCGTCCGGGCGCAGCACCTCCTCGGCCAGCATCGGCGCCACCGAGGCCACGCAAATCCTCTCCTTGTCCTACGGCTCCTCACCACCGGTGAGTCAGATCGTACTCCTCCACCGCGCAAACCTAGGAACCATCGCAAACCGACCATCCCGCCGTCCAGCAACCAGGGCTTGAGTTAGGAACATCATACTGTGGCATGGAGATGGGCTGTTGGGATCAAGCGTGCAAGGCTATGATAGCTAGGTAGCCTGGTCTGCGGCCTAGACCAGCGTCGCCTGGTAGAGTTGCGGCCCCCTCAACCCTGGAATTTGCCTTCAGACACCTGGCCTCTGTCTGCGATGCTCAAATATGGGAGCATCCAGCAGAGACAATCGCAGACGTAGTCAGCTTTCGAAGCGCGATAACTTGATTGCGACTCAGGCGATCCGCGCGTACGGTAAGACAACCAGGGAAGCGTGTGCGAGAGGACCAAGCAGAGCACAAGCGCTTGCCGGGCTCCCCAGCACTGTGTTCTAGGGTGCGATTAGCCTGAGAAACACAACGTAAGGCGGCAGTATGTTTCACATTCGGCAGACAACGTCGAGAATTGACGCGCAGTCGCCGGTGTCTGTTTCATCAATAGCAAAGACAGTGATGTAGTATTTTGAATTGTGTCTAGCATTTCATTCGACATATCCTCCTCGTCTTCGAGAGCACGCTGGCTGGACATGTGCAAACCACCTTTGTACGAACGACATCAAGTTGACGTTGACAATCTCCATGAACTCACAGCTCTCGAGTGCATCACTTTGAGCGTGATTTCATCGCCCAGTCGTCTTATACTTGCGTGGCTAAAACAGTCAGTAGCGTAGATGAAGCAAGATTAGAGTTTCTTGCACATGGCATTGCGCTTGTGGCGCTCCCATGGTAAAAAGCTCCACGTGCAACCTTCTAGGTTTGGACGTCTCAGACTTGGGACCGTCGATCTTAACTCAACGGCTTTTCATATCGCTTCCGGTGTTCTGGATGCTGGCTCCAAATGTCAACCCAGTATTCCGAGACGTGGCATGTGTACTATTGTACTTGGTCTTACGTATCGTAAGGTTCCATGGTCCCAGTCCGACAGGCCATGAAGAGGACACTCGTTTTCCTATCACGTTGAGTTTAATGCCACACTGCTTGAGGTCAGAGGCTTGATCACCGAGATAATGTCGAAAACTCGTCCGTCACCTGACAGAAAGACTAAACAATCCAATTGAGATTAATCGACTGAATTGTGGATGGCTTTACGTATCCGCCATCATGCTTGATTCGCCCTTGCAATTGGCCAAGAAGCTCTAGATGCTCTACTGCCTTAGCGCTCGTATCAACATCGCCTTTCATATGGAGCTGCACCCGTGACTGATTCTTCAAGTCCATGGCGCCCCACGCAAGGACGATGGGCTGTTGCTTCATCGTTCGCAGTTTCCATCTCGCCAGGTTGATGGTGCTTCCTCTACTTCGAAATCTCGTGGCGGCAACCTCACTCTACACTCGCGTTAGAGCTCCCGAGTCCACACTCCATGATTCCTACGACGGCATTCTTAAGTCACTTTGAACATTCTTTCTGCTGCTGGTGATGAATGATGGAAGACTCTACTGGCAAACCCCCTGATGAATGGTAACGATTTCTTTACTCGCTTCTCGTATCCATCGTCTTCATGTTCTCATCTCCAAAAGCGCAATCGAATTCCTATGCGACATCAGATTCCACAGATCCATCGTGTTGCCTCCTGATCCCACAAAAGGCCGCTTGAGCCCATTGAGGTTCTCCTACAGCGACTATGGATACCACGACCCGTTGCACCCCGAATCCGAAGCCGTCGTCCTGTTCTGCGGTCCCCTAATGGGCGGCCGCTTCGCATACGCCCAGCTCGACACCCTCCTCAAACGTCACCGAGTCCGAATCATCCACCCCGACCGCCCTGGCATAGGCGGCAGCGACCCTGTCAAGCTCCAAGATCGCATCGCCACCTGGATCGGTACGTTCCCCTCCCTATCTGACCAACTCCAACTCAATCTCACGCGTCAAAGAACTGGTCCCCTACCTCCTAACCCACCTCGCCATCCCCCACGTCTCGCTCGCCTCCCACAGCGGCGGCTACATCTACGCCTTCAATACCCTCCTCTCCCTGCCCCACCTCCTGCACCCCTCCACGCCCTACCTCGCCCTCTTCGCCCCCTGGGTCCACCCCTCCCACTCCGCCATCACCTCCCTGGCGCTCACAAAGTACCTCCCCACGGCCGCCGTCGGCAAGTTCGCCGCCCTCGCGCGCTTCCTCAACCACAACGTCGCGCCCGTCGTCGGCTACAGCGGCGCGCTCCTTAACCAACTCAAGCACCACGCCCCCGCCGCGCTGCCGCCCGCCGCCGCCGCTTCCAACCGCGCAAGCCTCGACGCAGAAGCAGGATCGGCGCTCGATGCAGCCGACGCCGCCCTCTTCGCGAAGGCAGTCTCGACCACCTCGATGCGCTACATCTTCGCCGAGGCCACGGACGGCATCTCGGAGGACGCGAAGCTCTTCCTGCGCAAAGGCGCGCACGCCGCGTGGTCCTTGCCCAGCCCGGCCCCGGAATGGGCGGATGTGGACGAGTTTGTGCCGCTGCTGTGCGCGGGGGTGTTTCTGAACAGCATCACGGGGACGCTGGCGGTGGATGTGTTCCACGCGGCGAGCGATAGTATGGTGGGCGAAAAGGGGCAGAGGTGGTTTGATGAGTGCTGGGACGCCGAGCGCTGGCCGCAGGGCGTCGGGGAGCGGATGAGGTATAGGAGCCAGGTTGGGCCGGTGGGGACGGATCATAATTTCCTGCTGGCGGAGGAGTGGGGGTTGAGTGAGGAGTGGGCGGGGAGGGTGAGGGAGAGTTTTCCGGTATGAGAGCGGTGGGGAAGGACAGAGGGAGATTAGGGGTGTGGATGTGCTTTTGTGACGTTTTGGCTAATATTAGGGTTTGTTCTTAGATTTACCGCGTCCCCTTTGACGAGGAGGAGTGGTCGGACGGTGCGCGAGCTCCGTCGTTGTCACGGAGATCCAGTTTGAAGAACTGGCTTAGGGGTGGGATGAAGAGCAGTAATCTGATCACTTTGGTTAGTGGGAAGGGTCGCTGACAATTGAGAGTAGATCCGATGAATTTTTCTCTCTGAGTCTGTTAAAGACCTACGAGGGACACTTGGATCTCCTCTTGCTAAAGATGGACCGTCGCCAAACTCCTAGGAATACCAGCGCTGTTAGCTAGTCACCCTACAATTCCACTCATCTCCCTAATCTGACATGAACGTTGCCCCTTGATGTTCCCTAAATACCACGAACAGCACCACCTCTTTTTACAACTTCTCTTTCTGCAGCCCCTTCCAGCCCCACGCCTCAGCAATCAACTCAGCCGCGCGCTCGCCAACTCCCAAAACCGTGAGCATAGGGTTGATCGTCGGCATCTCCGGGAACACGCCCGCATCCGCAATTCTGACCCCCTCCAGCCCCTTGACCTTCAACTGCGCATCCACCACCGCTAGCGGATCCTTCTGCAAATCTCCCATCTTCGTCGTTCCAGCGGGATGGTATACCGTGTGCGCCACACGACGACCGTATTCGCTCAGCTCCTCATCCGTCTGCAGCTTCGGGCCGGGTGCAACCTCGCGCTTCAGCCAATGCTTGAAGGGCTCCTGCTTCGCGACCTCTCGCGCAGCGCGCAGACCCGCAACAATCGTCGCGGCGTCGTAGCCCTCGGGATCCGTGAAGTAGCGGAAGTCCAACGCGGGCTTGTCGGCCGGGTTGGCGGAGGTCAAGTAGATGCGGCCGCGGGAACGGGCACGGGGGATGTTCGGCGTCATGCAGAAGGCGTCGATGGGGGTGTCGTAGCCTAGGCGGGAGGTGTTGAAGCAAAAGGGGATCTGGTAGCAGTGCATCATGATGTCTGCGATGTCGCCATCGCTGCCAGCAGCGTTGGGGAGCTCGCGGCGCAGGAAGATGCCGGCGTCCGAGTCCATGGTTGTTTGGTTGATGGGGACAGGCTTGTTGAGCTCCCAGATGATGATGGACTCGGGATGGTCGAGGAGGTTCTCGCCTACGCCGGGGATGTCTTTGACGACGGGGATGCCTAGGTCCGAGAGTTGCTTTCGGGGGCCGATGCCAGAGAGGAGAAGCAGACGAGGCGTGTCCACTGCTCCGGCGCAGATGATGGTCTCGGCCTTGTGACGGATAATGCGCTGCTCGCCGCTTTGGAGAGTGAGTGTGACGCCGGTGACCTTGTTTCCGTCCACGTTGACCCGGTTTACCCAGGCATTCGTCAGGACTGTCAAATTTGGGCGCTTTTCGTCACCGCGTAGAATGGGATGGATGTACGCAACACTGGCGCTGCTCCGACGTCCGTCGTCTGGGTTGTAAGACACAGAGAAAAACCCAACACATTGCTTCAGGGAGCCCGTGGTCTTGATTTCCTTGTTGAAGTCGTGCACCACCGGGATGTTCAATGACGTTGAGCAAGATTCAACCCAATCCAGGCACAATTGGTTTCGGTGTCGCTCGTGGACTGGTTGGATGGTGTTCCTAAGGTTGTCCAGAACACGCGTAAAAGTCTTGAAGCTCCAGCCGGTGCACCCTTGGGCCTCCCATCGCTGGCAGTCGTACTCAAACGGCCGGAAAGAAATCAAAGTATTGTGAGAAGAGCATCCGCCCAGCACCTTGGCGCGGGAATGTCGAATGTGAGAGTTGCCCATGGGCTGCTCGGTGGTCCCGTAGTCGTAGTCCAGCTCGCCTCCGAGAAGACTCAACCAGTCTTTCAGGAGCAGGACTCGGTCATCCATGAAGTCTGAAGGGCCAGCCTCAACCAAAAGGACCTTCTTGTTGGGGAGATACTCTGAGAGACGGCTGGCAATGACACACCCTGCGGTGCCGCCGCCAACAATGACGAAATCATAGCTGTTGACCTCGTCTGCAGAGATTTCAGTGGTGGTGGGAGCCATGACGGACTACCGTCTGAGGTTGTGGTCTTTGATAATGAACAAAAAAGAAGCTGAATGCTGATGCTGATGCTGAATGTCGCGGACCTGAAGGGTTTTCAAAGGATGAAAAAAAATAAGCTCAGCTTTCCCCACAGCCGTCAACAACGGATACGAGTGTCATGCCTCAGGCGGGAGGTGATAGGGTTTTATCGTGGAACCCTTGCCACCAGCCGCTTGGGCCTGCTGGAGCTGTCCTATGGCGGGCAAACCCCGGTTTTTGCGATTGGGTGAATACAAAGGCGTGGTGCGATGGGGCGCTCTTACGGGTAGTCTGAGGCGTGAGCCGCAGAGAGGGGCACGCTTGCGTGATTGAGGGCAGTCTTTCCGGCCAGTGGTGAAGCCGGGCAGATGTGCGACCAGGGCGCCCCTCCAAAGTATTCTGTCAATGCTTCTCTGCGTCGCTTTTTGGGCAATCAGATCCCGCCCTTCTCCAGCAAACTCTGCTCAATTAATCAACTGAGGCTCTCGGACCACTGGTCAACTACAGATACCGGCCTCTTCCGCGCTATTTGATAGACGAACCCGCCGCCTGCAGTATCTGAGCTATTTTCTTTCACTCAAGCATCTCCGTTATCAAAGTTGAAGCTTCGGAAAGCTATCGTCGGCGGGCGTGCATCAAAGCTCCTGCGTAGACGGCATTTCTGGCGGCATATTCCCTCTCAGCTGTCGACGAGTACGTAGGAAAGGGCGTCAGCACCTTCAACCATCGGACTTTCTACGGAGTCTACTCTAAACGTCGCGAGTGCTTAGGAAGGCTCGGGAGTAGCAAGACCGTACTCACCTGCCAGCATTTAGCTCTAGACTCCCTTCTCTAAAAACGGCGACCCGATCATACGATTCCAATATGGTGTCTCTACCTTATCCCCCTCGCTCCCTCTACTACGATGGCAAGCCACAATCGGCCAATTCGGGCAAATCATCTCAGAACATAGATCCATCAACGTCTCTGCCAATTGCAGAGATCCACTCGGCTTCCCACTCGGATGTTGATGCTGCAGTCGCCTCTGCCACAAAGGCATTCCCTTCATGGTCCCAAACACCCGCTATCCAACGCTCTCGCATCCTCCTCAAAGCCGCCTCCATCCTCCGCGAACGAAACGACGAACTAGCAGCAATCGAAACGAAGGATACGGGCAAAGCTTTTTCTGAAACGTCAGCTGTCGACGTCGTCACAGGCGCCGATGTCCTCGAATACTTTGCGAACCTGGTGGGAGGCGGAGGATTGAACGGAGAGACCATACAGCTGCGGCCAGATGCATGGGCGTATACCAAGAAAGAGGCCCTAGGAGCCTGCGTCGGAATTGGAGCCTGGAACTATCCTATCCAAATTGCGTTATGGAAGAGCGCGCCGTGTCTAGCGGCAGGCAATACCATGGTCTACAAACCCTCCGAGTTTACACCGCTACACTCGACTCTACTAGCAGAGATATACACAGCCGCTGGGGTGCCTCCCGGAGTGTTCAATGTGGTCCAGGGAGGTGGGGATGTCGGAGCATATTTGACCTCGCATCCTGATGTCGCCAAAGTCAGCTTCACAGGACAGGTCAGCACCGGAGCGAAGGTAGCAGCATCTGCAGCGGGAGGAATGAAGTACGTGACCATGGAACTAGGCGGCAAATCTGCTTGCGTTGTTCTTCCCGACGCAGACATCGAACAAGCAGTCGACGGGGCCATGATGGCAAACTTCTACTCCTCCGGGCAGGTCTGTACCAACGGAACGAGGGTGTTTGTGCATGAAAGCATGAAGGAAAAATTCGAGGAGGTCCTATTGCAGAGGATGCAGTACATTCGACCTGGAGATCTCATGGACATGAACACGAACTTCGGACCTTTGGTTAGCAAGCCACATTATGAGAAAGTCCTCAGCTACATGAAGCACGGAATCGAAGAGGACAAGGCAACGCTACTTTACGGCGGACCTGGGAAGCCAGAATGGCTAGCATCTGCCAAAGATGAGGTCAAGAATGGGTTCTGGGTCCAGCCAACGGTCTTCACGAATTGTAAGGACAGCATGCGCATCGTAAAGGAAGAGATATTCGGTCCTGTCATGTCCATTCTGCCTTACAAGACTGTGGAGGAAGTGGTTGAGCGTGCGAACAACACATCCCTGGGCCTAGCAGCCGGGGTATTCACTAAGGACCTAAATCTGGCCCACAAGGTCGTTGCACAATTGCAGGCCGGGATAACCTGGGTCAACACTTGGGGTGAAAGCCCAGCAGAGATGAGCGTGGGTGGGTGGAAGTTAAGCGGAGTAGGCGTCGAGAACGGAAGGCGAGGCATCGAGGCATGGGTCAGGAACAAGAGCACTTTAGTTGAGATGAGTGGGGAGGTGCCTACAGTCTTCGCCAAATTGTAGTAGCTCCAAAGTTATAAATGTACATATATATTACACGTGATACTCACATGATCGGACTAGCCGCTGCTGCCTGCACCTCCGACCTCACCTCATATGCATGCATACATGAGAGATAAACCCTACTTCCACCAAGTGTAAAGGACGGAGCAATACTGCCATAAAATCAGCCCGTTCGATAAGCGTGCACACAATCGCCACAATGTCCGAGACTACCTCTACCTGGGACATGATGGATACTGAGGATTCCATGACCCTAGATGGCTCAGTTAACGCCTCCATCGCGCCTAATGGCGCAACTCCCACTATCTCCGGGGTCCTTTCATTATTCAGTCAACTGCGGGATGCCGACAAGACTGCGGTGGCCCAGTACATTGCTCGAGGCATGAGACGTTTATCTGGCGAGCCAGAGAATACAGCATTATCTTCTCCACCTCAAAGGGACGGCCCTCATTCTTGCAGCCACTGCCAAAGACTGGTGATCAATTATAATTCGCCGGATGTAAGGTTCTCTCATGACACTCACAGGTCGTCTCTTCGATGCAGCAAAGAAGACGTCCTGAATGGCTATGCGGAGCAGTGCGTTCTGTTTATCTGGGTTGTGGAACTACTGGAAAAAGGTATGGATCGACTGAAGGCAGATATTTCAAATACGCCTATCTCACGACATCCCGAGTACCACCAAACGTCTGGAGGTGGAGCGATCAAGGACCTGGAATACATCTCGTTCGACGACGGCCTGGAGATACACTTCCAACTCTCTAACTCAACGTTTACTTCTGCATTACACCGCGGGGCAAGATTATGGCTCAGTTACAGCATCGACCCATTTTTGGTTGATCAGTTGTGGGAATCAAAGAATCTGAAAGACAAAGAAAGCTACCCGACTTTCATTACATACTACGAAATGCGTGCACCAAAAGGCCCGTTCAGGATAACTACAACTAGTGGTTAGTTATTGATTCTTTTTATAGTTTAATTACATGAAGCGTTCTAATATTTCTTATCTCTCCACCAATCCTTCAGCCAGGCCCTGGTCAATCATCCTAATAGGGCATTGGCTAACTCTAGTAGATGATCCAGCTGCCGCTTGCTTCCCCGATCGACCAACCAACTCAGACATGTCTCCAGATGCCATCATTGATAGGGCGCGAAAGTCGTTGAAGGAGTGCCATGAAGATCATGACAGATGTCCGAAACCGAGAGGTGTTATGCCTTCAAGGGTCATTGATATAGGTACCAAGCAACCGATATCATTCGTACGGCTGCATTGGACGGAGGAAAATGAAGTCGGTCAATACGCCGCGCTATCGTACTGTTGGGGTGGCGAGCCACCTATCAAGAGCACTAACTCAACAGTCCAGGATTTCACAGATGGTATCCGCTTCTCCCGGTTTCCCCAAACCCTGCAGGACGCAATGGTACTAGCAAATAGATTGGGTATACGTTACATCTGGATTGACTGCATATGCATCATCCAAGACGACCCAGAAGATGTCTCGAGAGAAATTGGGAAGATGCCGAGTATATTCCAGGAGGCTTATGTCACAATATCAGCATCCAGCGCTCGAAACGTGCAAGAAGGCTTCTTGCAGCCCAGACCCTCCGTGTCGAAACAAAGCATAAAGCTGCCATTCAGGACGCCGACTGGGGAGGCGGGATCGATCCTCATAGAGGAGCCGCATCGATACGCGCCTCAAAAGAATCCGATCAGTCTGAGAGCATGGACTCTGCAAGAACACATTCTATCTCCTCGAATTCTTGACTATGGTTGCGAAGACGCCTGGTGGATCTGCTGGAGCACCAAAACTCCTCTAGACGACGAACCAATGGATGTCAGTACCGACCAGTTCCGGGAAAAGAAGTTCTCCCTGGAATCATGGAGATCGACCCTCCGTGACTACACCCGGCGCTTCTTGACATTTCCAGGAGACAAGCTCCCTGCCATCTCTGGCGTTGCCGCGGACTATGGCCTTACATACCAGAGCGAATATCTTGCCGGCCTTTGGAAATTTGCGTTACCCAAAGACTTGCTGTGGAGCTCTGCACGGTCTGATATCTCGAGGCCAACGGTCCACCGCGCTCCATCCTGGTCGTGGGCAGCGGTTGACGGTGAGGTTAGTTACAAATGGTGCCCCCATTCATTTTCCGATCCAGCTTTGGTCATCGACTGCCGGGCTACGCCAGCATCATTAGAGGCACCGTACGGCGCTATCAGCCCAACCCTTCCGGCCTACCTCAAGATACAAGGACTCATGAAACAGTTCAAATGTGGCACAACAAGGCAGCGTCTGTTTGAATGCGGTACCGTAGATGATCCCACGAATCCCACGACTGCTACTCACGTTGGACGTGCTCAAGGCGATGCAGACGAAAAGTTACCTGAGGATGAGCATGGGTGGTCTCATGTTTGGGCTCTCGTTGTGGTGGAAAATCCTATGAGAGGACTGCTCTTGGTGCCTGTGCGCGAAGGGTACTATCGGCGTGTCGGCCTCTTCTACCGGCTCTGGGGAGAGGGCCTAGAAGGATTCGAAACCGACACCATCACCATCATTTAAGCAAGCAGCTAGTGCTCTGAAGAAAAAAACTTGTGTTTGATCAACGTACGGATATCTAGCATCAGTGTGATGCATCCCAAACGTCATGGTCACCCAGCAACCTTGCTTTATCTTCCACAGTCTTCTTCACCTTCCGCCGCCGTATGACCATCAAATACGTGATGATGGTGAGGAGACCAAGACCAACTTGAACCAGCCCTGCGTAGAACGAAATGGACTGGAGACATCAGCGCCAAGTCTACCACCAAAACAAGAAAGGGGAACTCACCTGCGTCTTGCAAAACTTATTAAAGTTCACGTCATCATGGAACACATGCTGGATCTCCCTCGCCGCAGCACTGCACGTCCATCCCCATAGGTCATTCGACTTCCCGTTCTTGTTCTTCTCCGACCTGTACAGCGACGCGGCTATGCTCCAGACAACCAGATTCCCGATCATAACGATCCAGGTGAAGAAGGTAGATATCGACGCGGCCCTATTCGCGTTCTTGATGCCGAATTTGTACGACACCAAAATCACCATGTTGAGCACGAGCGCAGTAGCCGCGACGGCAAAGTACATATACGTGGGCCATGTTTTGGAGTCCTTAGCCCACGGGTTCCGGTTCACTGTGGCGCCATTCTTGCCCGGCGCCTCGCGGAATGTGTCTTTGGTTGTGAGGAATTTGTGGAGGGTGAGGGTTATGGGGATGAAGACGGCGATGCTGACGAGGAAGGCGAGGATGCGGCTTATGAGGCGAAGGCGTCGGATTCGGGCTTTCAAGACCTAGAAATCATCAAATACGGGACAGCAGGTTGGGATCGGTGGAAAAAGTAGTTACCTGGTCTTCCTTCTTCTTAAGTTTGGCCTTCTCGATTTCTATCACATCATAGGCATGGAGACCGTCGTGGGGGTTGTGATGCGTATCTACAAGCATCATAGGCCGTAGTGGGGAGTGCTGCGGTGGTGGAGAATGCAAGTGCTGGTGTGGAAGATCGTGCTGCGGTTGTGGATGAGGCTCGCTGATATTCGGGTTGTAGTATGATGCTGCTGCCATTTTTTCTCCCAGTATTGAAGCACTCAAGCCTGCTCAAAGACAAATAAACTCTACAATAACAGTTGGTCGCTGATGGCTAGTTGAAAAGTAACGTAGAGTGCAGTAGTGCTCGGCTCCCGAATCACACTGGGCAGACTCTGAAACTGATGTACAGTGCACGAAATGAAGACGTCCTTAGGGAAGTAAAGAAGATGGAGATCGCTCGTCTTATATCATTCCCCCATGCCCGCCTCCTTACCAAGCCAAGGTAAGTCATTTCCAATGGTGCGCCTTGGGCGATCAGCCCTCAGCCCTCAGCCTTCCCGAACCTCTAGGGGGCGGATGAGGCGCCGGGATCGCCTGGCATCTGACGAGCTTGTCCTCTCTAAGGTTCTCATCCTGCTAACCAGACTTGGCTTCCTTTGGCAAATAGAAGGGCGCGGGAATGGCGTCAGCTGGTGCTTTGGAGGTGCGGCTTGCGGTGTGTTGTAGTGAGAATGGTCGGTGCGGTCGTCAGGGGCACGGCTAGTGTGGCGGGGGTGGGCTGCTTATGTGAACAGCGTATGAAAATAGATCTGCCGGAATATTAATGGGTGTGGAGTCTAGTGCGATATTCGGGAGTGGCGGCTTGGAGTTGGGATGTCTACGAAGTATGTAAGTCAGGACAGCTCCGTTCATGAGCCAGCAGACTTAACTTTTAAAGAGATACGAAGGCAATTGCAGCCTACAAAATGCCGAAGAAGATCTGAAGATAGAAATTCATGCTTCGTGGCGCTCATAATGGCTGAAACTATTTGCAGAGCAACATGCGCACGATCCAGCTTCCCACCACCATCTTCTATCGCCATAGCACGAAGGTGCTCCGAGTCCTCTTCCCCTTCCTTTTCTAGGCTGACTGTATAGCGTATCTTACATACGTGTCGTGAAACCGAGTCGGCCTTGAATCAACAGCGCGCCGTCCAACTTACCTTGCTAAACATTCCAAATGATTACTTTCAACGTTGCTGACTTTCTAGGCAAGTCAACAGTACCTACAAGAAATCTGGCGCAATAGTCGCATGTTCAACGTCTAGTGAGTCAAGTGCAGCCTTGGAACCAGGCAATATAGGTATGCTATATCTGTGAGACTGCTTGCTTGTTAGAAGTATTAGTTTTTCTTCAGATTCCCCGCGCCGTACCCCTCTTGCGTCCCAAAGAAGACTTTGAATTTCCGAAGGAAATTATAAGAGTAACTTAACATGCAGGAACTCGTCTCGTAAGAAGCGGTAGAGTAGTACCATAATCTGTTAGACTTTGTCATGCATCGGAATTGGTCAACTGGCCAGTCGAGATTAACTAAGTACCATTAGCGGTCCTCTAGAATACTAAAGGGAGTCGATGTCCATGAGTTTCAAAATTCGATTCCCAAGTCACAACATGTCCAGGCCTTCTTTTAATCAACTGCCGCTCCGCAAAGGCGACCCTCCCTACTCTGCTTGGGGATTGTATAGATTAGACGACCAACTCGGAACTCTCAATCTTCTGATACCGGAAGCGGTGAAAGAAGCAATCAGCGAAGTCAAGATGGGCATCAGAATCAGATTCGATAGTCCTATGAAATACCTGACGCCACCTTCGCATGGGCGGCGGCCTCTTGAAACATAATGTTTTCAGTAGTAATCCGCCTACGACATTCCACGATGATACCGTTGAGATGAACACCCAAGACAATGTAAAAATAAAATGAACCGAGGAGCTCAAGGATATCAGATCCCGTCGCAATGGGATGGCTTTCGACACTACGGGATCAAAAAGAAAAGAGGTTGTACAACGGTGTTACCGCGAAGGAGATCTCGGGACCAAATGCCACTTCGACCCTAGTCATGCACTGTACGCTCTAGAGGCCTCGAGCTAATCACAAGAGTGCTAAAACTAGACACGGTATCGTCGGTCGAGGAATCCTCCTAGACTATCTCCGCTGGAGCGAATCGCAGGACAAGCATTACGAGCTGCTTTCAGACCACGCCATCACCGTCGATGGCCTCAAAGCCGTCGCCGAAGCTCAGAAGATGAGATCAAGCAAGGCGATATCCTCATCATGCGCTCTGGTTTCAATGTCTGCTACGAAGCGCTGAGTGAGGAGTAAAAGGTGGAATGGAGCAAAGCCAAGCCGACGAGATGGGTAGGGCTAGAAGCGTCCCTTGGGATGGCACGCTTGCTTTGGGATAGCGGATTTAGTGCTGCTGCTGGAGATGCACCGGGCTTTGAGAGGTTCCCCTTCGGAGGTGAATTTGAGGGAGAGAAGCTGAATCTTCATGAAATTTTGCTTAGTGGGTGGAGTATGCTGATTGGTATGTTAGATTCTAATGCGCCTTTCGCGTCTTTTCGGGCTATTTAGACGCCATCGTTTCTAATGATGTGTATAGATGAGATGTTTAATGTTGAGGACTTAAGTGACGAATATGATCGACAAGGGCGGTATTCCCTTTTCTTGACCAGTATGCCAATGCATGTTCCAGGGCTTGTTGGGATTCCACCACATGCTATTACTATATTTTAGAATTGATAGAAGAACAAAAGAGTTGAACTCGCGTCGCTGAAAGATATAGTCCTACATCACAATCCTCATAGGTCATTACCAAGAGAGACCAAAATCAAGTGCCAATGTCCTTGATGCCACTACCACCCTTCCAGAAGGTAGTCCACGCATCCTTCCACCTCTTCTCTTCTAGATCCTTCAACCACTCCTGGAAAGGAATCTCTTCGTCCTCTAAGCGCATCACACCGTTTTTCACTCCTTTCCAACCCTCGATAGGGCCTTTGATGTACTTATGATCTTTTCCGCAAACTGTTTTCCAAGATTCAGACGGTGCGCCATGATTTTGACCAAGCCTTTCCGCGTGGCACGACGTGCATAGATCGGTACAGGCGCAGATGATGCAGTAGTAGATGGGTGTTGTCCAAGAATCTACTTTAGTGCCGCATTGGCCGTCACACCACACAGAGAAGCCCGCTATTTCCTCGTCGGGTGCTCTTTCTAGCGTTGGATTGTCCAGTTTCGCCGGCTTCGCGTCGTCTGAAGCCTCGAGTAAGTCGCTTGAGGCCACGAGAGCATGCACAGGTTCTAAATCAGTATCTGCCTTGGTACTCTTATCAGGACTACCTTCTACTTGAACATTTTCGGTCTCTTCGCTTGCACCGGCGGTAGTATCGGGTTCGAAGTTCGGGTCATTCGTCATTGTTGTTATGGTCGTGGTTGTAGATCTAATCACGATGCTTTCGACTGGATCTGGCGTTTCTTTGATACTCCTGTTGATTTCGGTTTCATCAAGGGCATCGGCTTTGATGGTATCTTTAATGCCCGCCTCTTTGGCCGGCTCGTTTGTGATCGGGCTGTCGGCATCCGTAGGCTCGGTTTGACCACCTTCCTTAGTTTGAGCAGCGTCGTCCGCTTCGTCGCCATTCTCCGAAGATTTGCTTGATGAGCTATCGTTTTGGATGAGTTCCGGATTCATCACAGAGAACTGGCAAGATAGAGCAATGAGAGCATCTCTTTCCAGCCCTTCCATACAAGCTAGTACCTTTGAGAGCAACCGAAAGCTGCTCATGTCATTCCAGCCTTCCGCATCGGTGAGACCATTCACACACTTCTGGAAGACCTTCTGCATGTGAGCTTGATACTCGATCGCAGGGCCTAGTGAACGCAGCATGATAGCTAACATCACGCCCACTTGCGACTGGTCAAGATCTTGTTCGGATTCTTCCGCGAAGGAAGCTGCGGGAAGATTCCTCATTTCTTCCAGCAACGCGACTTTCTGAGCTGGTTCGGTTGACGAGAGAAACTCTGAGAAGATTAAGTTTGCCAGTCCTAGCCTCGTGGAGAAGAAGGTAGATTGCAGGCCCTCTAGATCCTCTTCTTTGACTGTTGTGGCGAGAATATCGTGATACATCTCCTTGGCTTTCTTCTCGTCACCTAGCACTTGGCCAAAGAAAGCGGCAAGCTCTGAATGAAGGAAGAGAATGCGAGGGGACTTTGCTGGGCGGTACTGCTCGTACTCCTTTACGATATCGTTAAGAAATTTTAACCCCTCGTCGTTGTTCATCTTCGCGGACCGACAGATTGGATCAACTGCTCTCCACTCGGTGATATCCAGAATCCAATCAAGATATTCGCATCGTTCTTGGGTCGTCCAAGAACGCAGCATATCAAGTAGTCGTCGCCCTTCTGGATCGTTGTCCTGGGTGAGAAGTTTCGCCATAGAATTGAGTCGCCAACCGCCGATAGTATTATTTTGATTGACAGTTCTCGCTTCGTTGTAGGCGTCAATGGCATCTTGCGTCCTTTCAAGATCGGACAAGAGTGAAGCTTTTGTAATAAGCACCCATTCCTTCCATTCAACAAAGTCGGTATCCTCTTTCCAGTCAGGCGGAAGAGTCGCAAGCGCTTTGTCGATGGCGTCAACCGCTTCTTCTCGTTTAGCAAGATTCTCGTAGGCATCAGCCAGTAACCAGCCACAGCAGAACTTGTCCTTGTTGTTGTCGTATAGATCAAAGGCCTCGCGCAGGTATTCGACTGCTTTTTCGGAGTCCTCCCAGGTCAACATGGTTCCTATGGCTCTCATTTTACCGGCACCGCCCTGAATGTCAGGAAAGCGGTCAGCGATTTGCTGAATTTTTGCCATGTTGTCAGGATTTTCGTCTGGACTTTTCCACTATTATACGTAAGCTGTAAGTCCGACACTAGAAGAACTTGAGCAACGCTTACGACTTCGAGAGCAGCCTTGGCAAAGCTGAATCCCCGATTAATGGTCCAATGAGTTCTTGACCTATACCAGTTATTAACATGCCCACGAGCTAAAGGAATCAGGACGCCCGCACGATCCTCTGAGAAGCTAGAGATCCATTCTCTAGTCTCGGAAGGAAGAGCAAGGTCTTTAATTCCCGCTCCTTTCGCAATCCACCTCATCATTACGTCGATCCAAGTGACTTTTTTCGTAGAGCCACTATCCGGGTACGTATCTTTTGCAGACATCTCGAAAGTTTCGATGACTACCGAAACATTGTGGGCGTTGCTAAGAATACCTTGAAGCGCATTGAGGACCTGAATGGTCTCAACATCTGAAGTGTTTTCCAGGTCAATTTCGATGAGATGTTGATACCAGTAATTCGCAGCATACGAAGAAAGGACAGGTGCATCTTTTCGAATGTCCTTTTGCGCAGCGGTGATCAGGGTTGATGTCGCCATCTCGAAGATCGTGAAATGGGCAGTGGAGGGAGGTGTGCGCAAGCCCGTATCGTCGACGTCGACGGCTTTGAAGAACTCTCGGAGAGAGCGTTCTTGAAAAGTCAAGTTAGCTTGCTCATTGCCCAACTGCTCGAGATCGACTTTCTCAACGGCACTGTCACTGTCATCGTCCCCTTCGTCGATGCCGTCTTCTTCGTCATCGACAGTTCGTGCGAGTTCCAAAATTCTGTAGCCGTGATTAGCATATCTGTACGTGCAAAGGGAGTAATCTCGGTGAATCTGCTGAGTGTGTACACCTGTTTGATGGCGTCTGAAGCACCTCGAAGATATTTCAGAATTCCGAGATACATCATTTTGAAATGTGTGAAACTACTTCGAGGCGCTACAGACGGCGTCAGCATGGAGTAGACGTAATGGAATGATTACCTTGCTGAACGGCCAATGATTTCATCTTCGACATCAAATGAGCCATCTGGAACAGTCATCTTCACTAAGTCTTCGGCTTCTTCCAGAGTCAACGATCGTTTGGAGTAAGCGAGCCACGCAAAAAGCCTCTTCAATGCCTTGTACTGTGCATCAGTTCTTCCTCTGTGACATTCATCTAGAAGCAGCTGGTACAGGGCCTGGAGGTCATCGGGAAGATTTTTCTCCAGATCCTTCAGCACTGCACCTTGACGACCAATGTAGCTGAGACGGCGTAGCATGTGTTCGATATAAAGCATTCCTAGATGATGTTAGTTGGTGCAAGGGTTTGGCGATTTGGCTTACCATCTGCCTTGCTCTTCACTTTTTTCAAAATCTCACGTAGCACTGGTCTTGGGAACTTTTTTAGCCTTGGCAGGGAGTTGCAACGAGATTTGATCAGAAGCGTCATATCGGAAGAAAGGTTCTCTCTTGTCAATGTCAAGATCTCCGGATTTAAAGGCGCGATTGTAGAGGACAGAGTCCTCCTACATGAAAGTAGCATTCGAATATGCAAGTTGCCTTCCTCGCGTTGGGCAAGGTATTCAATCAAAGTTGAGCTTGCTTTGCTTCCGTTCAACTCATCTAGTCCGTCTAAGACCAAGAACAAACGCCCATCTGATTTTGCTGTATATCTGTTGGTGAAGAACCGTTGCCATGTGGTTTCGTCTGTTTCACGCTTCAGTTCGGCTCGTAACTGATCGCGATATTTCCCATCGTGCTCTGCAATCTGCAGAGCGAGGCTGGCAAGACAGTTCTCGATAGATTGGAGGCCGGCTTCTTCTCTGAAGCAGAAGTAGGCGACTGAAATTCGGTCCTGATCATCATATTTCTTCCGCAATTCTTCTGCCGCTGCGTACGCTAGAAAGCTCTTTCCCGTGCCCTCGCCACCAGTTATCCAAAGTACTGGATTTGGACCTTGGATCCATTCCGTAAACTTTTGATCATTGCACAGCCATTTGGCGGTCCCTGGGACGATGTCCTCTCGAATGTCCTTTATTTGAGCTTTGAGTTGGGCCCTAGTATTTGACCAATCCGAGAATTCAAATTTGAAATGTTTCCGGATCTCCTCGAGCGCAGCATGCTTCTTTTCCAAGACGTCCATCTTGCTATTGGCATGACTCTTCTGGTTCTTCTGTGGCTCCTGGGCTTTGAGACGAGACATTTCTCTCAGGTTTTGGTTCTGCGTCTCCTTGATAGATTCGGTAAACAGCATCGTCATTTTTTGGAGTTCGGTTTTCACTCCGGTAATGTTCTGGTCAACATTTTTGATTCCCTCATTGGCATGATGAAGATACTCGTTGGTCACGCCGACTTTCTGGTGGATTTCCAAGACGCTTGATTGCACTTTGTCGACTTTGCCGTCTACGATGTGCAATTCCTCACGGGTTTCTCGAATCTCTCGAAATGTTGCAAACCCAACGGCTTGGCCAAGCTCCTCGATTGCGGTCTCCATTTGCGAGTAAGCAGCTTCGAGGTCCGAATCAGTACCGTCCCAAAGGGCGGAAAGCCATTTCTCTATCGGAAGTCAGTCGTGCTACTTAGAGTACTAGACCACCAGTTTTAGTACACGGATATACCACTGTTCGAGGGCCGCTTTTGAAAGCCAGGCACTACTGCTAGGAGCGTCCTCATCGCCAAAGTTCGGCAATTAAGAGGCTACGTAGACTCCGTGGCATGGAATTTGACATCGCGCCTAGATTTTTGAAACCCCAGGGGGGTACCTCAAGCAGTGGCAAACGAGTGTACACAGACTTATAGCCTGTCACTATAGACGATGAGATGTGATACATACTGAATCTTTTTTCTTCTTTAGCACAGTCCTGTGCTATAGCACAAATAGAAAGGATGCAGGAGAAAACGCATGTTACACATCTGATGAAGGCACCATGAGAAGGTGTTTTTTTCTCCAGAATCGACAGGCGATCAAGGAATCTCTGCGAGTTTGCAAAGAATCTCTCCACTTTGTCATAATCTGCTTTTACGGCAACGAATGACTAATGAAATCAGCAACGTGAGACAGTAGTAGATTGTTGAGAGAATACCTGAAGAACTTGACCAAATGCGGTGAATACCAGCGAAACCGGCATGGCTGGCGGGAAGACCTGGGAACCTCATCAGTCCGACTATTACAAGGATACGTTACAGTACTAGATCATGAGACTAGGCACACGGAGTTATCACTGCTTGGTTCCAATCTTACTCACTCGACACCAGTGTGAGAAGTAGCCCAGCTAGTGAGTAGCTAATTAGTCAAGAGGCAGTCTGATTTGCACTGCTTAAAGCTTGACATGGCGACTACATTTTTAAAACCCCATGGGGGTTCTCCAGGCAGTGACAAACGAGTGCGCACAGACTCTTGATTTCCTGTATGTGAACTTACCGCGGCAACATTCCCCACCGTCTGAATTCCATTTAAGACTTTCTGTATAGTGCCCAAATTGTTTCCGAAAGCGGCCCGGACCTTGTCGACTTTAGATCCATCATGTCGAAAGCCTCCAAAGCTTTGTGATTCCTTCTCCGTTCCTTTCATTACTTCATCCATACTCTTGAATATCACGAATCTGGGGTCCATGGATTTCCCAGTTCGTTTCTCATACTCGCGAACGGCAGCGCTCCATATTGCCGCAAGGTCCGATTCTTCCTTAGATTCCATTTAAACGCCGTCTGAGATGGCCCGGCAAGCTATCACGCTCGTCCAAACGGTCGTTTCAAATTTTCGATAACATACTAGAGGACCTCAGGCGGTGCTAGGCAAGTGTACACAAGCAAGCTTAGAGTGGGTGTGTATCTAAAGCATACGAATTTTTGGAATATAATCATAGATCTGTAGATTGCCACCGCTTTTTGTCCAAGGGAGCCTATCTATATACGAAAGTAAGCAACGTACCTATTTTGCGGCTGAGAGTTTCACGAGGGGACAGCCAACCCAATATGGAGAGCTTAGCCTTGCCAGGATGGACGGATTCTCTTTCGGTTAGTAATGCAGTGTGGGGGCCAATTTGCTGTCTAGGGGCGGGAGAGAATCCACCTACACGGTACTCATTTCTCTGGGCACCACTTGATGTTGTAAGCCTTGTGGCATGTCGAGCTCGCGACTTTTCGTCTCGATGATAAGCTTTTGCCCTTTGGCGAAGAGTGTCGCGGTGCTGCAGCGTTGGGCACGAGTGAGGACACGCTCGAAGAGAATTCCATGAGCTTCGCTGATGAACTACCAGCAGATTCGAGGAGCTAATGGAGGCAGCATTTGTCAAGGGTCGCTGCAGCCACACGCATGTCTGACAGCGGGCAACCTTTCTGCCTTGGAAGAATGTGGCAAGTGTGCTCAAATAAGCACTGCGTGCGTCGAAGACATCCCAATCATCAACTAGGAGCGTCTGTGCAAACTGGTTCCGGTGAACGCGGTCATGGAGGTGTTGGCTGTCCTGCTGCGGAAAAATTTCCCTGCACTTTGGAGTCATTCATCGTGTCCAAGTGTTTTCAGCTGAGAGATACCATCCATCAGGGACGTTGGGGCTGTCGAGCTGCTGAAACAAGAAGCATATCGTACAAAGGTAAAGGCCAAATGCCAAGCCGGAGGATTCCGACCGAGGGGGGTTGGGGTGAAAGCTTAGTTAACGTAATCCACAAGTTAGTGGCCCGCACAAGCTAGTGGCCCACCCAACTCAACACGCGACGCGTCGTCCAACAACCACCCCAATGGCAGCACCACAACAACAAGAAGCCATCTTTTAAGAAGGCAGAGTTATTCTAGGCGTTCAAGCCCACAAGACCGGCCAAATTACATCCTTCCGAGGCGTTGAGAAACTATACGATGTGCCCAGAAAGACGGTTACGCGTCGCGCCCGTGGTATTCCTCCACAACGCGGTGCTATCTCCAAAAATCGCCGTCTTACACCTGTACAAGAAGAGGTTCTTGTACAGAGGATTCTGTCGATGGACCAGCGTGGCATGCCGCCCCGTATTGCTACTGTACGGCAGATGGCCAGCATTCTAGCTAGCCAACGCGTTGTACAGAATACCCCCTTTACTGTCGGCCAGAACTGGGTGCGAAATTTCATCAGCCGCCATGACAACCTAAATCCAAATTCAATCGCAAATACGACTATCAGCGTGCTAAATGC